GCAGCAAGCTGGAGCCGACGGCTGGCGAGGATCCCTCGGAGGAGCCACTGCTGGCAGCAAGCTGGAGCCGGCGGCTGGCGAGGATCCCTCGGAGGAGCCGCTGCTGGCAGCAAGCTGGAGCCGGCGGCTGGCGAGGATCCCTCGGAGGAGCCGCTGCTGGCAGCAAGCTGGAGCCGGCGGCTGGCGAGGATCCCTCGGAGGAGCCGCTGCTGGCAGCAGGCTGGAGCCGGCGGCTGGCGAGGATCCCTCGGAGGAGCCACTGCTGGCAGCAAGCTGGAGCCGGCGGCTGGCGAGGATCCCTCGGAGGAGCCGCTGCTGGCAGCAAGCTGGAGCCGGCGGCTGGCGAGGATCCCTCGGAGGAGCCACTGCTGGCAGCAGGCTGGAGCCGGCGGCTGGCAAGGATCCCTCGGAGAAGCGGCTGCTGGCAGCAGCCTGGAGCCGGCGGCTGGCGAGGATTCCGCGGAGGAGCCACTGCTGGCAGCAGGCTGGAGCCGGCGGCTGGCGAGGATCCCTCGGAGGAGCCACTGCTGGCAGCAGGCTGGAGCCGGCAGCTGGCGAGGATCCCTCGGAGGAGCCACTGCTGCCAGCAGGCTGGAGCCGACGGCTGGCGAGGATCCCTCTGAGGAGCCACTGCTGGCAGCAGCCTGGAGCCGGCGGCTGGCGAGGATCCCTCGGAGAAGCGGCTGCTGGCAGCAGCCTGGAGCCGGCGGCTGGCGAGGATCCCTCGGAGAAGCCACTGCTGGCAGCAGGCTGGAGCCGGCAGCTGGCGAGGATCCCTCGGAGAAGCCACTGCTGGCTGGCTTGCTGCAATTAAATTTTGAAAAAAAGGTGGAGAAAAATTAAAATCAGCCCATCAAAGATGCATCCCCTTCAGCTTAGGAAGCCTTGGTATCGCCTATGGCTTTGTCAGCTGTCGGCTTTGGTTGCATTTTAAAGAAGCAACAAAAAAAAAGAAATTTTTGAAAAAAACAAACCAAAGGCAATTTAGTAGGAAATTCTAAGGGTTAGCTGTGAATAAAGTTAATTCTGGTAAAATATTTCAAGTACAGCGAATTTGTGTGATGTGAATTTGCAGGAGCTTAAAGAGACTTTATGTACAAATCAATGCCTAGCCAACAATAATAAAAATATCTTGTCAGGAACAGCTCGGACATTAGGGGAGAAGCAAGACCTAGAGAAACTTTTTACCCGCAGTTATTCTTCCTCTTCCCTCCGCAGGCTTGGTTGACATTTTTCGGTGTTTTATTCCTTTAATTGCTGATATTCTTGGTGTTTTTTCACTGTCATCATCGGATAAGAATTTGCGCATTTCCAGCAAAACGGCATTTTTCCAGGGGTCTTCCAGATAGCTTGACACGAGGAGAGGCGCGGGCTCAGTTGATGGTGACATATGCGCGCGATAGTTAAACCGAACACGAGGGAGAGCGCGCACTGACTGAAGCTGCGGCGGCAGAGGCAGCTGTATATCAGGTATCCAGAGGGAGCTTGAACGAGAGAGAACTTGATCGACTAATACACACTAGCGGCGAGAGCGAAGCTGATAAGCTTAGCTCAGCTCTCAGTGTGTGCGCTCATACAAGCAGGTGTGTGGGTGTATGTTCGCGAGCTGAGCTCGCTTATCAGCTCTGCTCTTGGCTCTGCTCTCAGCTCTGCTCTCAGCTCTGCTCTCAGCTCTGCCTCAGCTTTGCTCTCAGCTCTGCTCTTAGCCAAGCAGGTGTGTGTGGGTGTGTGTTCGTTTTTCTGAGCTCGCTTATCAGCTCTGCTCGTAGCTTTGCCTCAGCTCAACCTCTCTCCCTTGTGCTCACCTGTGAGGGAGAGGTAGATCGAGTGGAAGGGAGAGGTAGACTTAGGGAGAGAGAGCATTACTGGGGCCATGCATTTATGGATAATTCATCCAAAAATGCTCGAAATTCAATTCGGAAAGCTGTTTTGAGTTGCTTTTTCTAAGCTTAACAAAACTGCATACTCAGTTTTGCTAAAATACTTACCTATAAAAATGTGAACTTTACAACTCGGCCAAAAATGCACGAAATTTAAAACTTAGTATGCAGTTTTGTTAAGCTTAGAAAAGGCAACTCAGAACAGCTTTCCAAATTGAATTTCATGCATTTTTGGCCGAGTTATGAGGGTTTTTCATAAATTATAGGCATCTCACTAACTGCCAGTGATGCTCATCTAGCTATTTTGCTAAATAGCTCATAACTCGGCCAAAAACGCATACTTACCTATAAAAATGTGAACTTTACAACTCGGCCAAAAATGCACGAAATTTAAAACTTAGTACTAATTCCAAAAAAACAACAATTGTTTTATTTTCCATGGAGAGCTAAGGTATGGTATTTACATTTTTTAGATTTTTTATTATAAATAACCTATTTATAAACCTCATTAGCTTCATTAGCTAGAACTGCAGGCCGCCAACTTAGATTAAGATTTCAAAACTGGGTTTAATGGGTATTACTAAACCCTTGCAAGTTGTCAATATTTCACTCAGAAGCCTACAAGTCAGTGAAGGAGTCATTTCCCACCCTATAAATCATATATATTCTTGATCAGCATCAACAGCCGAATCGATTTAGCCATCTAGGGAGGAAAAAAAAATTTTAGTAATTTTTTCAACATTTGATAAGGGGTTACATCATTAAAATTTGAAAAAATTTGAAAAAAAAATTAAATTTTAAATTTAGTATGCAGATTTTTTAAGCTTAAAGAAACTAAGAAAACCCCGCTTTCCGAATTGAATTTAAGGCATTTTTGACTTAGTTATAGATTTTTTAAATTTTATTAATTTTATTTTTTTTTTCAAGAAATTGTACAAAATATTTGATAAGGGGTTACATTGTTAAAAACTTAATTCTTCAAAATGTCTTAACTAAAAATGCAGATTTATGAACGTAAAAAAAACTTAAAAAAAATGCAATATTTAACACAAAATTGTTTAAATGTTGTGTTATTTTATGGTATTTAATTGAATAAGCTAACTTTAGTCATTTAGCCAGAATAAATTTTTGAAAAGTGACCAGTTTTTCGCCAAATTAACCATACCCTTGCCCCTCTTAAAAACTAAAAAGAAAACAAACTGTAAATATTTTTATAATTATTTTATTTGGTAAAATATTTGATAGTTTATTTAATTGTTTATTTCATAGTTTATTTGTTATAATAAGCATTCTTTTACTGGCATTGAGCAGGAGGCACAGTTGGAGCTAGCTTTTCAGGAATTACTATTTGGGGGGAGGCACTTACAAGGGACGAGTTTACATCTATGATTTGATTTTTGAGCCTGGTAAACTCTTTTGCTAATATTATTATTTATATTTCTTGCACAGTAATCTCTCTTCTTTTTTATAAACTATAAACTATTGTGCTTTGGGCTGATTAAACGTTTAAATCTGCTAATAAAATCAACTTTATTTACAAACAAATTGCTCTTTGTGCCTCATTGTGCTTAAAATAAAGGAGAAACTGATTGCCTATAATTTATGAAAAACCCTCATAACTCGGCCAAAAATGCATGAAATTCAATTTGGAAAGCTGTTTTGAGTTGCTTTTTCTAAGCTTAACAAAACTGCATACTCAGTTTTGCTAAAATACTTACCTATAAAAATGTGAACTTTACAACTCGGCCAAAAATGCACGAAATTTAAAACTTAGTATGCAGTTTTGTTAAGCTTAGAAAAGGCAACTCAGAACAGCTTTCCAAATTGAATTTCATGCATTTTTGGCCGAGTTATGAGGGTTTTTCATAAATTATAGGCATCTCACTAACTGCCAGTGATGCTCATCTAGCTATTTTGCTAAATAGCTCATAACTCGGCCAAAAACGCATACTTACCTATAAAAATGTGAACTTTACAACTCGGCCAAAAATGCACGAAATTTAAAACTTAGTACTAATTCCAAAAAAACAACAATTGTTTTATTTTCCATGGAGAGCTAAGGTATGGTATTTACATTTTTTAGATTTTTTATTATAAATAACCTATTTATAAACCTCATTAGCTTCATTAGCTAGAACTGCAGGCCGCCAACTTAGATTAAGATTTCAAAACTGGGTTTAATGGGTATTACTAAACCCTTGCAAGTTGTCAATATTTCACTCAGAAGCCTACAAGTCAGTGAAGGAGTCATTTCCCACCCTATAAATCATATATATTCTTGATCAGCATCAACAGCCGAATCGATTTAGCCATCTAGGGAGGAAAAAAAAATTTTAGTAATTTTTTCAACATTTGATAAGGGGTTACATCATTAAAATTTGAAAAAATTTGAAAAAAAATTAAATTTTAAATTTAGTATGCAGATTTTTTAAGCTTAAAGAAACTAAGAAAACCCCGCTTTCCGAATTGAATTTAAGGCATTTTTGACTTAGTTATAGATTTTTTAAATTTTATTAATTTTATTTTTTTTTTTCAAGAAATTCTACAAAATATTTGATAAGGGGTTACATTGTTAAAAACTTAATTCTTCAAAATGTCTTAACTAAAAATGCAGATTTATGAACGTAAAAAAAACTTAAAAAAAATGCAATATTTAACACAAAATTGTTTAAATGTTGTGTTATTTTATGGTATTTAATTGAATAAGCTAACTTTAGTCATTTAGCCAGAATAAATTTTTGAAAAGTGACCAGTTTTTCGCCAAATTAACCATACCCTTGCCCCTCTTAAAAACTAAAAAGAAAACAAACTGTAAATATTTTTATAATTATTTTATTTGGTAAAATATTTGATAGTTTATTTAATTGTTTATTTCATAGTTTATTTGTTATAATAAGCATTCTTTTACTGGCATTGAGCAGGAGGCACAGTTGGAGCTAGCTTTTCAGGAATTACTATTTGGGGGAGGCACTTACAAGGGACGAGTTTACATCTATGATTTGATTTTTGAGCCTGGTAAACTCTTTTGCTAATATTATTATTTATATTTCTTGCACAGTAATCTCTCTTCTTTTTTATAAACTATAAACTATTGTGCTTTGGGCTGATTAAACGTTTAAATCTGCTAATAAAATCAACTTTATTTACAAACAAATTGCTCTTTGTGCCTCATTGTGCTTAAAATAAAGGAGAAACTGATTGCTTTTGTTTTAAATTTTACAAAAAAAGTAAGCAAAAGAATTAAATAAAGTTATAGATTTTAGCTTACACACTAAGGTGATGCTTTAAGTAAGGTAAATTGCACTTAGACTAGGCGGAAGTATACAGCTCTTTCGTTTGAGTCTGCGAGGAAATCAAAGATCTCTATATAAATTCTCTAGGAGGAGGACAGGCAACACTGGCTAAGTATGTACAGCGATCTCTTTTCCAATGTGCTTACACCTCCATGCCGCCATCGGAACGCTTGCCCTGCTTGAGCAGCGCCTCCTCGGCGGTGAGCTTGGTCTTCTCGGTGCGCGTATGCCAAACGAGCACATCCCGGCAGGCATTGGCCAGCGGCTGCAGCTTCTCCCGGGTGGTCAAATGCCGCAATATCTCGCTCTCCTGATACCCGCGCTGCACTTCGTATGAGAACAAGGCCTGCGGATTGCGTATAAACAGATCCATGCTAATGGCAAAGGCGGCCATATCGATGGGGAAGGGTCGCTCTGGCCGCCAGGCGGCATTAAAGCCAATCACCTGCTTCTGATCCTCACTGAGGTACGGCCGCTCCACCATCAAACCGCCAACGAGACCCACCGGCCAGACACCAACCCGTCCCCTTTCTATTTTCGACATTTCGGCAAATAGCTCCGTGGAATAGGAGTTGTCGTCATCCATAAAGAACACTATCGAATGGCGGTCAGTGTCGACGTTGTTGCGCAGCCAGGTGAGCGCCAGGTTGCGCTGCTCCACGCCCCGGGGCTTAATCCAGTTGGGATCCTTGCCCTGCAGCTTGAACTCGGGCGGCGTTTTGATGTTTAGCTGCGTGGAACGCTTCTCCAGGCCGGCGCGCTCTAGCAGACCGGTGACCAGGGGACTCGTGGCATTCGCATCCTCCACAATGATCCAGTGCAGGTGCGGCAGCAGCATAAACAGGTGCGATAACCTAAAAGCGAGGAGGAGGATCGAAATTGGTTCTTAAAAGAGCTCTGGGAGCACACGCTACCCTACCTGGTCAGCTCCGCCTTCTGTGCCGGTCGCGTATATGTCGGCGTCACCGCGTAGATGGTCGGCAACGTGTCCGCCTGTGCGTACATGGTCTGCAGGTAGTCCGGACCCTGGCAGGTGCGCTTTCCATTCCGGTGCACCATCATTAGGATCACCAGGAAGACTATGATCAGCACCAGCACCTGGCGCGGACGAATGCGAACCTCCGACATCGTCTGGCTGCTCTTCCTCTGCACTCTGCCAAGTCCCTAGAGCCCTAAAATGGTCAAAAATTGTTTGTTTACTTTAAAAAGCTAAGAAATTGCAGGGTAGAGTGACCGCACGCTGTTTCGTTTAGAATGGCAAATTTCGCCAGTCAATAAGCGGCTTTATCGATTATAAAATCGTTATCGCGGTTCGAGTACACGGTAAACAGTATGTTGGACACAAACCTGTTTTAGCATAGCAAATAAAATTTAATAGCGTTGAGCATATAAAACGTTGAGTATGGCATTAATTTTCATTGGAAAATATAAGGTGAGTATCTAGCGGGCAAATAAAATGTAAGGTAAGTATCTGGCGGGGTAACATTATTGCAATATAGCTAGGTGGGCATCACTGACGCTAAGTGAGATGCTATTTACTCCCAATATTGCAATATAGCTAGGTTGGCATCACTGGCAGTTAGTGAGATGCCTTTTTTCCCAATAATGCAAAATAAGTAGAGGCGCATCACTGTCGGTTATTGAGATGAGCATCACTGGTGGCAGTTTGGATATTGCCTACAACACAATTAACCGCCAAATTTAAATTTAAATTAAAATTAATGATAGGGCCCTTAACGGCCAAATTTGAATTTAAATTTAACGAAACTTGAATAAACTGTTATACTTTATGTTATACATATATACCAATTTCCTGTCGACAACAACCACTTGAGTGCAACAACAACCCCTTTACAACAACATCTCTACAGCAACCCATCCAAATTTCCGAAAATTTCTATGCAAATTGCCCGTTTCCCAAATTGGGGTAACAGGCGAACAGAAATCAGCAGCAAGCAACTGAAAACTGTTATAAACTGTTATAAAAACTCCAAGTTTCGAACCTTCTGGGAGCAAGCGTAAGCTAGCGGAGACTCAAACCTTTTGAATTCGTGCGAACGAGATACAAATAGTTTTCGCAATAGGAGTAAGTGAGAGGCGAACATAGTGTGAGTTCCCTATGTTTTTTAGGGCATATTAGTTCAGCAGGGCAGCTGAATGTAAAATTACTATTAAGCGCCGCTATATTTATATAAAATTCTGTATTGTTAAATATTATAATAAAACAACTATACAAAAAAATATATATTTAATTGGGAAAAAATATAAATACATTCAATATAACCCATTTATACGTAGTCGGTGGGAGATGTCAGCAGCAGAAAGGGTACTCGCTGGTCGTTGCAGCTTCATTAATCATGTATGATCGTGCGAACGAGACAAACATAATGTGTAATATAGGCCCCTCTCGCTCTTTGTTTCGCAGATCGTGCGAACGAGATACAAATAGTTTTCGCTATAGGAGTAAGCGAGAGGCATGCCTAGTGCGCGTTCCCCTCTTTTGGGAACCGTTACTTTAGGACAATTAATTCTGCCGGGCAGCTGCTTGCTGCAGTTTCTGCGCGCCTGGTACTCAGATCTGGGGACGGGGGAATTTAGGGGGGGAATCGGGCATACATTTTGCTGTCATTGTTGTTGTTGTCTACCAGGCGCATACCAGGCGGTCAGAATCAGCAGCAAGGCGCCCAGCAGCAAGTAAATTTTTGTGAGCTATGCTTGTATTGGTGCGCTCTTCATTTATTTTCTCTATATGTATTTGTGTATCGTTCGCTGAACGTGCGAACGAGACACAAATAGTTTTCGCTATAGGAGTAAGCGAGAGGCATGCCTAGTGTGCGTTCTCCTCTTTTGAGAACCGTTACTTTAGGACAACTAAATGGTTTGAAACTTGGGATTTTTATAACAGTTTATACCAGTTTTCAGTTGCTTGCTGCTGGTTTCTGTTCGCCTGTTACCCCAATTTGGGAAACGGGCGAATTGCATAGAAATTTTTGGAAATTTTGATGGGCTGCTGCAGGGATGTTGTTGTAAAGGGGTTGTTGTTGCAATCAAGTGGTTGATACTTTTGGTGGATACTTTTTATTTAAATTTTTCCCAAAAAATAATTTTAAAAAATAAAACAGTGCCTGTACATTAACAATAACAATAACAGTCGTCTTTATTAAGTGTAATATGATGTAGAACATGGCTGGTTTGTGGTAAAAATATATAAACTGGAGCTCACATGTATAAGCGTTGCAAGTTGGTTATATCCGTGTTGCACAAGGGGCACGAGTATCTGATGTTCAAGCAAGAACTGAGGCAATCAGAGCAAAAGACGTGGCCACAATTGGTTGCAATTGGGCACAGCAGGTCATCAATGCATATGGGGCATTTGTAGCAGAAAGGACTTTCGGGGGGGACTGCTGCCTCCTCCTCGTCGTCATCCCCAGTCAAGTCTATTATGGCTTCTGGTACAATATTATCGGCTAGGCGGCGTCGGTTCACATTCCCGGTGGACTGTGACGAGAGGAAACTCCGCCACGATGGAATCATTTTCGTTTTCGCTCTAAATTTTATAATATTATAATGACTTTGAAGGATGACTGAAAGTAAAGAGTCTAAAGAATATGGAATATAGTAGAAAATGTGAAAGTAAAATCAAATCTTCAGCGATTACTTGTAAGATTTTGCATCCCGCAATAATTATTACACTTACCTTACACCTTTTTTTTAAATAAAACTTGTTAATTTGGTTTTTAAGTTTATATATATTTATTATTATAATATATGGTGGGCTCGACTCTAGGATCGAACCCTAAAAATGAATTCTATGACACATTCGGTTATACAAATGGATTTCTTTTTAAGTTGTATTTTGTTTTTGTATATAATAATTTTTGTTTAGTTTTTGTTTTTTTGTTGTTTGTAATAATTTTTATTATAATTTTGGATTAACTAAGGGAAAAGACAGGCGACGACATGAAATGGACATTGTATATAGAATGACCATATGTATACGTAGGAATATATATATGTAGATATAGGGTTCTTTAAGACTTAAAGTTTAAGTAAATTGTCTGCCAATCTGCATATGTATATATATTTATATATATTTGTATGTGTATATAAGGGAAGTCATATCGAAACACAAACTGAAAACAAGAGAGTTGCTTGCAAGTATAAAAAATATGCTCATTCTGCTTATCCGCTTCCTTTTTATCTCTCAGATGTGTATAAAAAACTTGATCCTAAATCCACAACCTCAACCTGGCCAGCAGTATGCGTGTGTGTGTGTGTGTGTGTATTACTCTGTTTTTTCTCAGTTTTCTTAATTTTTTTTTTAGGTGGAAACAGGAAGCGGCAACAAGAGCCAAAGTTCTCATTGCTTTAACTGCGATTTAACTCTCATTATTTTGGTATGCTCGTCTCTAAATATATCTATTTATGTTTACAAAAATATATTTATATAGTAGATGTAATGTTTTCTGAAGTTTGAACAATGGTTTTCTCTCAAGACTTGTGGATTTTTCTCTTACTTTTTGGTATGTATTGAAAAAAAAGGTTGAGGCAATATTTGTATATATATTTTAATATTGTATACATATTTCTTGTAAATGGATATGTTTTTTTTCACTTTTTCACTGACTTTACTTTAACGTTTTTTATTGTTGCATGTGGTGAGGGTTTCTTCTGTTTTTGTTTTGTTCTGGAATGAATTAAAATCAGAGAAGAGTTTAAAGAAATGAAAGAATATATAGGCAGACTCAAAACTTGTTTACATTGTATAGAAAACAGGTGTTAGTTTATAATAATAATAGCTTAGGGCAGCTAAACGCACCGTGTACCGAGTGGGATATTCTCAACTGGACTTTGAATGTTCTTATATAGAAAAGTATAAAAAAAACTAAGTTCCTACTTAACTAAGGTACAAAATTGGAAACAACAAAAAGAAATAGAATATAATGTAGAAAAGAATACGGAATATCTTCACCGATTTTTGTATTTTTTTTATCATTTTTTTGGGGCTTAAGAAGCTTTTTTTAAGGCTAGGGATTAAGTAGTTGAAGTAATAACTATTACAACTATTTCATATTTTTGTAGTTTGTATTTTGTGGTTCAATTGTGGTTTATATTTAAAATATTGTATTGTTTTTCGCCTCTCTCTCTCTCTCTTACACACACTTTGCTCTCCTGTCTCTGTTTTCTTTTTATATATTCTTTTGTTTGTTAAATTTTATTTTAAATATCACGGCATTCAGCTGAGGTCTCTCTGATCTGATCTATTTCTTATGCTTATATATCTCTCGATTTTTTATTGCATTGGCATTTCACATTCTAGTTTTTTTTTGTTGTTGTGGGGTGTGTGTGTGTGTGGTAAAACATTAAAAAAAATAATTATAATTATAAAAAATGGCCGACTATTTGGACTACTTTGGAAAAGAAGCTAAATTAAGCTAGGATAGCTCGGCGGCGAAACAGAAACAAAGAAGATGAAGAGTGGAAAGGCTAGCACCAGGGGTGGTATCAAGGAATCTAGGTCTCCTCGGCGGACCGCGGACTAAAGAGCTGGCTGCAGATGCGTCGCAGCTGGAGCTGGCCACCAATTAGGCCCGCCCGTTGCATTAACTCTCACAAATTCCGCCTGCCCAGACGAATCTCTGCTCTATCCCGCTGCCGCTGCCGCCTGCTCTCCTCCTCATCCTCGTCCTCGTCCTCATCCTGATCCTCATCATCCTCGCCATCCAGTGGCACATCCACCTCGAATGGCTGACGTCCTGCAGTTCCAGCTATGCCAGCACTCTCGCTAAAGTGCATCAAATTGGTGTCCATCAGGCCACCGCCGCTGCTTCCATTCGTGAGGCTCAATGGCGGCGATGACTGCGACGGCGGTCCCTCCAGCGACAGCCGGCTGTTGGTGCTAATGCTGCTCATACTCAGTTGGTCATCGAACACATCGATGTTGACCACCGTCGAGAGTTCGCCAAATGACTGCCGTATCGGATAGTCGGTGGCTGCCTCCGTGGCCTCCAATTTCTGTGACTTGTGGTTCATCATCGGCATCGAGGTCGTGGCATTCGGATTCGAATTCGGTGTGTTGCCTTTGGTTGGAATTATATTGTTGTTGATGTTGTTGTTGTTGTTGTGCGCAGTGAGGCCGTCCAATTGATCCTTGGTGAAATAGTTGCCTAGAATTTGAGAGGGCGGGGGGAATGAATTAGAAACAAGTTCACAATCTGCTTAAATTTAAATGAAAACAAGAAAGAAAGCTAACTTTGGCCAGCCAAAGTTTGTATACCCTTGCAGGTGTAACAATTAAAATATATCATAACTAAGCCAAAAATGCATTAATTTCGATTCGGAAAGCGGTGTTATGTTAGTTTTTATGAGGTTAACAAATCTGCATACTTAGTTGGAAAAAAAAATTTAGGTCAAAAATTGAGAATTTTAATGATGTAACCCCTTATCACATTTCGCAAAAATGGCTCAAAATTTGATTTCCTCCAAACATGGCTTAAACGATTCGTATTTTAATGCTGATCAAGAATATATATGGTTTATGGGGTCGGAAATGACTCCTTCACTTAAAAAAATATTATTTTGTATTATAAAATCTGATTTTTTATATTAAAAAATATCATAACTCGGCCAAAAATGCATTAATTTTAAATCGGAAAACTGTTCTGTGTTAGTTTTTATGAGGTTAACAAATCTGCATACTTAGTTGGAAAAAAAATTTAGGTCAAAAATTGAGAATTTTAATGATGTAACCCCTTATCACATTTCGCAAAAATGGCTCAAAATTTGATTTCCTCCAAACATGGCTTAAACGATTCGTATTTTAATGCTGATCAAGAATATATATGGTTTATGGGGTCGGAAATGACTCCTTCACTTAAAAAAATATTATTTTGTATTATAAAATCTGATTTTTTATATTAAAAAATATCATAACTCGGCCAAAAATGCATTAATTTTAAATCGGAAAACTGTTCTGTGTTAGTTTTTATGAGGTTAACAAATCTGCATACTTAGTTGGAAAAAAAATTTAGGTCAAAAATTGAGAATTTTAATGATGTAACCCCTTATCACATTTCGCAAAAATGGCTCAAAATTTGATTTCCTCCAAACATGGCTTAAACGATTCGTATTTTAATGCTGATCAAGAATATATATGGTTTATGGGGTCGGAAATGATTCCTTCACCTAGAAAAATATTATTTTGTATTATAAAATCTGATTTTTTATATTAAAAACTTCTTGATTTTTTTTTTCAATTAAAAATATCATAACTCGGCCAAAAGAGCATTAATTTTAAATCGGAAAACTGTTCTGTGCAAGATTTTCTACAGTTAATAAATCTGCATACTTCATTTAAATTTTGAAAATTAAAGTTTTTATCAAAATCAAAAATTTTAATGATGTAACCCCTTATGTTAATGCTGATCAAGAATATATATGGTTTATAGGGTCGGAAACGTCTCCTTCACACTTAAAATAAAATAATAAATATATAGTTCTTGTAAATAATGTAATATATTTTTTATTCCAATTAAAATAAGTGAAATGCAAACCATTGTAGGTGGTCTTGAAGATGATACGATATTTTTAACCCCCCCCTCCCCCACGAAAGATCACATTGTTGGTTGTTGTTTTTAACTAAAATTGCATTTATTTAATGATACATCATTTAATTTAATTAAATTTTAGTGTTTAGCGATTTCCCTCATTTGTCTCCTTGCCTTTTTTCATCTCTCAAACGTTAATTAAATCATAAATACTGCGAGTTACATTAAACTTTTTTTTATACGATATCTTTTTATATACAGAAAACAAATAGGATTCCTCTCTCTCTCTCTCTCTTTTTATTTTACTTTTTACAATCTTTAAATAAACATAGAAAACGGAATAAAAGTGTTTGTAAGTTCCTACAGGAGACCGTTTTTAATATTAAAAAAAAAAAAAATCAATAAATAAACAAACATAAAAACGAAATAGATAAATGTGAGTAGAAAGGAAAAAAAAAAAAAAACTTGAACGATTTACAGAGAAAACTTAACGAAAGCAAAGCCTAGAAACAAGTTGAAACAAGTTGTGACATTTGGACAGTTTAGTGATCGATAATTAATCGATATTGAATCGATTCCTATTAGTTTTTTAGTTGTAGTTTATTTATTTGTTTTGAATTGCTTGCAAAAATCACACGCAGTTGGGTAATCAGGCAGGAAAAACTCTGATATCTAGCTTCTCCCAAAGAGGTTATTTCCTTGTTTGTTAATTATGATTTTAAATTGAATTGAACGCCCATATGGAGCTGCATACTACATTATCTTCTTGTTGTATATATATTAAACGCAATTGAGTGTTTTTTCCAACCGAGTGTCCTGGGTGTTTGTGTGTTTTTACCATTTCTAGCGCCTTTTACAATTTTTGTATGTACAATTTTGGAGAGCATTAAGTTAATCTCGTGTCTGTGTAATATAAATATATATCCTTTTATCTATATATAATGTGTGTATATATAGAGTGTATAATTTATAGAAACGTATAGCTAACAATATATAACTTTGCACTTAAAAGTTTGGTTAGTAATTTAAATTTGTTTTTTGTGTGTTTTTTCCTCATTTTAATGTTTTTTCTTTTGGTTTTTCACGCGTTTTTGTTTTGTTTTTTTTTTTTATCGTTTAAGTTTTCGTTTTTGTTTCAATTTAAATTATGCACTAAAACTAGAATTTCCTTTTTACTTTCCGATCTCTTCGATAAATCACAATTATTATTATTTTAATTCTTTTTTTTTGCAGTGTTTTGTGTGTTTTTGCGTTTTATGGTTTTTTGCTTTTGTTTTCTGGTTTTTGCTGAAATATGAATTAAGCTAGAATCTGTCGTGGTTGTCTGTTCCTGGCGGGGATGTCCCTCACACCGAAATATATATGAATATGGATCTTCCTGCTCCTCCTCCTCCGCCTCCTCCTTCTCCTCCTTCTCTATGTTTTCTCTCTGTGTTTGCTGCTCTTCTACTTTGCCTGCTGCCGCTGCTGAACCTGCTCCTGATCCTGCTCCTGCTTCAGTATGGGCTTGGTTTGGGAGGAATCGAACCCTGGGCTTCGTCCTGCCCGCTCCACTGGCTCACCAGACTCTCCTGGCTCTCTTAACTCTCCCGGAACCCGGTCCGACCCGGATGACTGCTGTAGGGCATGGGCAGTGGGTGCACTGCCGCCGGTGGATTGGACCACCCGATTGGCGGCGTACAGGTGCCACAGCACCACAAGGCTAAAGACGCACAGCAAACAAATCGCTAATTCTTATCTCTTGCGTCGCTTTGTCTTCTTCTTTGTGGCACTCGGCGGGCTTGTCACGCCCACCGAGGTGACGCCGCCACCGCCTCCGACACCAACGGCACCGCCTCCCTCGGCATTGGTCAGGCTGGAGGAGGCGGCAGCATTGCCAGCACCACTAGAACCCATAACTCCGCCGGAAGCGCTGCTCGAAGACAAGCCCAAGCCCAGGCCCAGACCCGTGCTATCCGTATGTAGCGTCGTCTCCACGCTGCTCTCCTCCGCCGAGGATGTGGACGACGAGGTGGCCGCCTCAATGGCCGCTATAAGATTGATCTTGTGCTCCAGCTTCTTGGTCTTGAGCTTGTGCGGCGCGGCACTGCTGCCGGATGAGGATTGCTGGCCGTAGGTCAGATTGTCATCGGATGTGGTGGCCGGCACGGGTCCCTCGCTGTCGGTGGTAACAGTTAGGGCCGCAGCACCGCTGCTGCCAAAATGCAGCAGATCCTCGGGCAGTGATTGCTCCGGCTCCTCAAGCTTCCCCAAACCCAGCTCCAGTTCCAGTCCGAGTTCCTTTTCCCGCTCATCATCCTCATCGTCGTCATCGCCGCCCGAGAGGGTCTTGGCCAGCTTCTGCATCTCCACTTGGGAATCGCACATGCTGATGCTGATCAGCGGACGCAGCTCCTCGTCATCTGGCTCCCGTTCGCGGTCCCGCTGCTGCTGCTGCAGCTGGAGCTGCTTCAGTCGCTTGTGCTTCTTGCTGAGCTTCTTGGCGGGCCCCTCCATGATGACAATCTCCTCGGAACCGGACGAGTTGTTCGATGTCGAGGTGGACTTTTGCAGGGATGACGTTGAAATCGCTTCCAGGGGTAGGTAACTCTGCTCCTCCGTCTCTGGTTCCTCTAGTTCTGGTTGTGCCTCTGCCTCGGCCTCGGCCTCGGCCTCTGCCCTCAGCCGATCCTGCTCGTTCTCATAGTGCAGGGAACCGCAGAGCGCCAGGATCAGGTTCTGTTCGGTAAAGCCACGCGGTGGTGGCGATATCCGCCTCGGTATCGCCGCACTCTCCTGCAGTGGGCTCTCGAAATTGATGAGACTCAGCTGGTTGGGCTCCACATCCCTCTGCGACTTGGCCACCTCCTGGACTTCGAGTGGCTCCAGGGCTGGCAGCGGTGGCAACTCCTCCAGCGGCTTCAGGCCGCTGAGAAAGTCCTCAAAGTTGTCCTTGACCGAGGAGGAGGAGGAGGAGGAGCGTGGTGTCGACTTTGGCTCCTCTTTCGGGGGCGTAATCAAGCCGGGCAGCAGTTTCTCATCCCGCTTCTTCTCCGGACTCGACTTGCCCAGGCTAGGATAGTCCTGGACAGTAGCAGAGAGCTTGGGAGTTGCTGTGGCCTCGGTGACAATCTTCCAGGGACTGGGAATCGGAGGTGTTGCTGCTGCTGGTTGTGATTCCTCCACCACTTTCACCACATAGCTAATGGGAAGAGGAGTGACCACCGATGAGGCTGACTTCTCCAGGGGTTTCTCCTTTGCCAGCGGCTTCTCCTTTTCGAGGGATTTCTCGCTTGGTTTCTCTTTTTCTGTGGATTTTACCCTCTCAATGGATTTCAATTTCTCTAGAGGTTTCTCCTTCTCCAAAGGATTCTCCTTCTCCTGGGATTTCTTCTCCTTCTCCAAAGGTTTCTCCTTCTCCAAAGGCTTCTCCTTCTCCAATGACTTCTTCTCCTTCTCCAAAGACTTCTTCTCCTTCTCCAAAGGTTTGTCCTTCTCCAGAGGCTTCTCCTTCTCCTGGGACTTTTCCTTTTCCGGCTCTGGTTTCTCCTTCTCCTGAAGGGACTTCTCCTTCAACTCCTTTTTCTCTTTTTTAACGTTGTCCACTGGAGCTAGAATTTTAATTTCTTCCTTGGCAGGAGTTTCACTCTTCTTTCTGGGCACCTCCTTGGCCTCCTTAACCTCCTGACTCTTGGTCTCGCCACTTTTCTTGCCAATCGTCGTCTCTGGTTTTGCCTTCTTTGAGCTCTCGCTGACCTTTTTCTTTGTGTCATCGGAGAAGGCCTCTTCTGCTTTGGGAAGCATCTTTACCGTGACCACAGGATCCTCGACCAGCTTCACTTGCTTGAGAACCTTTTCGGGCTTTTCTTTCGTAAGTTTTTCTATAGGCAGCTTTTCCTGCAACTCCTCCTCATCCTCCTCATCCTGCTCCTCCTCATCGTCCGCATTTGTGGTGCTCATCTCCACATGCAGGCTCAAGCCCTGGGCACTGGCACTGCTCACCATAACAGCGGCAATGCTGCGCTTGTTGGCCAGCAAGCTATCGGCATGATCTGATTCCAGATCGGAATCCAGCGGCTGCTCTGTCTCAAGTTCGGGTTCTGGCTCAGGCTCAGGCTCAGGCTCCATCTCCGGCTCCATCTCTGGCTCTGAACTCCTTGGCTTCTCCGCTAGAATCGTGGCTCTCCCGCTGGCCTTTGGCTGCTTGTTGCTGCCACCACCCTTGGTCTTCTTGGCAGATGATTTGCTGGAAGCGGGAACGGCCTCGTCCTCCGAGGTGCAACTCCCACTCTTCTGGCTGGCAGTTTTATTGTTATTGTTGTTGCCCTTTGGCTTGTTGAGATGCGACAACTCGGCGAATCTCTGGGCTTGAGCTGCATCCTCGGCAGCGGCCAAAGAGCGGAGAGACTTTTGTTGCTGCTGTTGTTGCTGCTGCTGCTTTTGTTGCTGCTGCTGCTGCTGCGCCTTGTGCGTTTGCTTCTGCGACTTTTGCTTCTCCTTCTGAACCAACACCTCATCCACTTCCTTGGCAATCACTGGAACAATCAGCTTATTGGCCAACACCACCGGTGGCTGGCAATTGGCCGCCTGCTCTGGATTATCATCCCGATCCCGATTGCGTTGTAGCAACTTTTGACGTTCAGTGGGATCATTACAAAATATGGCCACCACCGGACGGAAGAGGGCCTCGTCACAGTTCTCATGGATCACGGTATCCTCGGCGGCCAGCTGGCCCACCACCTCGTCCAGCATATCCGTTTGCAGTTCGCCCGAGATGCCCGCATTGAGATCGGTGACCGTTCCCAGGGGATTCACCATTTTCTCCACTCGCGAGTAGCTGCAAATGTTGGGCAAAACAGAGGCCAGAGCGGAAATCGTTGATGAGCCAGAGTCCAAGTGCTGGGTGGTGGTCTCCTCCGCATCCTCCGATTCGTCCAGCTCGTTGAGGCTCTCGTGCTCGGCGAGGGCATCGTAATAGCAGGCATTATCACAGGTCGCCGTTGTTGTTGTCGCCGCTGCCTCCAAGGAAGCTAGCGGCGCAGCAGCAGGATCTCCGCAGGAAGCAGGAGCCTGGTGATCTGCTTCGAAGATAGAGGCGAAGGCGGACGGGTCAACAAACGGTGGGCGGAACACAGAGCGGAGAATAAACGAGAAATAGAAGAAGAAGAGAAAACAAATTATGAGAAAAGCGCATTTGATGTTTTCTTTGTTTTTCGTCAAAAAACAAAAAGCCAAAAGCGAATTTTTTTGGGATCTTGATTCGAAATTCGAAATTGTTTAATTTTTGGCAATACATTTTCATATTTGATTTTTGTTGTCTTTTGTTTTTATTGTTTTTATTGTTTTTTTTTTCTCTCTGTAAACTTGTTTTTTTTTTTATATTATAATTATAAAAAAAAACTATATTTTGAAGCAGTTGATCGATCGAAAAGAAAGCGGAAAACACTTAAAAAACAAATAAAAGAAAAATCGAACGTGAAACAGAAAATAAATAAATAAACTTTTTAAAAAACGAAAACGATACTTTGAAACTCTTATTTTTTTTTTAGTGTGAAAAAGATTAACGAAAAGAAATTAAAGTTAAGAAAATAGCGTGACAAGACACGATGTTTTTTTTTTTTAATTTTAATTTTCATTACATTTGAATTATGCTTTTTTGTTTGGGAAATAAACGTAAGAAACTGGAGAATTTGGTATACTTGTGATTATATATTTTTGAATAACGTTCTTGAAACTTAAATGGCTTTGGCTTTTTATTAGAAGATTCATGTAGATTCATGTGCTCTTTCCTCTCAATCGTTCTCTTTCTCTCTCGCTCTCGTTCTCTCTCCCATCTCACCATCTCACTCGCCCTCAGTCACTCAACAAAGGCTATCTCACTCGCACGTGCAATGATACTTTTACGCAGAAGAATTGCTTTGTTTTTTTTTTTGTTATTTTTATAAACTAAAAGTGTATGAAACAAATCACAAGAGACGGGGGACAAACAAAGAAGGAACCCGTAGAAGAAAGTCTTGCAGAAGAATGGGAAGAGGGTAGCATCAATAATTAAGATTCCTTACTCCAAGGATTTGTGGTGAAAAGGGTTTAGGGTATGGTAAGCAGTGTAAGCCAGAGGTAAATCGTGGTGAAAAGCCTTCTACCAGGAAAAACCAGGCTAGATATCAAGATCAATCAGATTAACCCGATGAAATTCCTTAGATAATGGTGAAAAAGCTAGCTGTGGTGTTGGAGAAGAATTTAATTTGGGGTGGGGGGCTTCCTAGGGGTTATATCTGCTGTGTCAAAAATGTTGTTAGCTTAAATTTAGTTGCATTAAAATAGAAATAGATTCACAAAAAACACCAAAGAAAATTTTGTTGTTAGGTTTTGCTTAAGCGATGAAAAAAAACAAGGAAGAAAAGTTCAACAACAACTGAAGGTTCAAAAAAAACACCAACACACCACAATAACACACACACACACACACACAGAGAGAGTGGGGAAAGTGAAATGGTAGAGAAATGGAGTTTTATGAAAGAATCATGCAAAAGTGAAAGTGAGAGGAGGGATATTACATCATAATCATCAGCAGTATCAATATCATATTTGATTTTGATCATCATTATCTCAACAACCAACAACCAATGCCAATTTCGTGGTGTTTCATAATCAACATTAAAATATATAGCCTTTTTTTTCTATACTTTTCACCAAAAAATATTTGGAATTAAACATTTTCGTTTTAAAAGCATTTGAACTTAAAAAACATAAGAAATTTATATGTATTCGTATTTGTATTTGTATTTCTATTGCATGTATGTGTGTTTCCAAAACAAAAACAAAAAATAAACATTAAATCAAATCAAAAGAAAAACAATAAACAAATGTTTTAAGGAGAGTAAACAATTCATTAAATAAAAGAGAATTGTAAAGACATCGAAGAAATCTAGTTAGCCAGAGACATTGATGTCCTCCACATGACCCCAACCAGGAGGACATCAACACTCGCTGCTAGCTAGCATTCAAGTGATCTTGCACAACATGCGATATCGAAGGACTCTCGACTAAATTTGACTATGGATCTCCACTTACCCGTTGTCTCACGCCTTGCCGCCGCCGTCGAAGGCGATTCACGCATGGCATCCGCCAGATCCTCCTTGAGACGAGTGTCCCCATGCCCATAGTCCGAGTCCAAGTGGCCATGCCGGAAGCGATCCATCAACTTGGGACTCTGCTCTATGCTGCCTATTATCGGGGTAGAAAATGGTTGAGTCTCCCTAGCTCCTAGTCCCCCTTTAGGCTTCACTTACTGTACGATCCCGATTCGATGAGCACTGGTACTCCGGTGCCACTGCGACCGGTGGTGATTCCCGACGAGCCCCCGCCGATGCCAGCTCCTCCCACCGAGGTGGCTGCATTCAGGGGCATATTCAAAGGACTGGAGCGATCCTTGATGGCCGGTCCCAAAGCTGATGCATTAGCTGCCGTCGAGGGCAGAGTGGTGGTCGAAGTCTTGGTGACGCCAATCTCCACTGCCTCGGCATCCACATGGTTCAGATTGGAACTGAGGAAACGGAAACATAAACTTGTATATATTCCAATCAGACTCGATCCTGAAGCCATTTACTTACCCGCTGGGCGTATTATAGTTCTTGAAGACAAACTGCGGCCCCATCCACAAGCGACGATGAGGACCCGCATGCGTTATGATCTCCACCTGGGCCAGCCAGCTCTCGGCCCGCTCGTCCGGCTCGTCAAATTGATGGGCACTGTCCAGCAGCAGGCTGGCATGGCGATCCTTGATCAGCCAATTGTCCAGCCCCAGCGGTGGTATGATTTCTTGAGATCCATCCTTGCGCCGCCCCAGATTCCACTGGGCGCGTGCCTCCACCTCCAGCTCGATGGGCGTGTCATCACATATCTTCTCTTTGGCAACATCTGTAATCGAGGGGAAAACGGAATGTGTTAGCTGGAGATGCAGTAGACCAGGACATGGCCATCACTCACTTGAGGCCAGCTTCGTGTCCAAATCATACTGGATCAACGCCCCGTGGCCGGCCATTACGAAGAGCGAGTCGACCGCCTTGCGCTGGACGCGATGCGGCTGCTCTCGTGTTGCCATCGGTGGCTCCAGTAGCCAAGATCTTGACTTGGCAAAGATGGAGCAAACGCTCAGCGGCTTCCCACTGTCATCCGACAGCGAGGACAGACGCTGTCGCTGCCGATGGCTATGGCTGCCACTTGGGCCTCCATGAATGCCGGAATTTATTCCAACTCCCATGCTGCCAACGCCACCACCGCCACCGCCACTGCCGCCTCCTCCTCCTCCAACGCCCGAGCCCAAACCCGCTGATCCTGGCGGTGATCCCAATGTGAAAGGCTGCCGCAGCTGAGCCAGCGGCTGCACCACCGCCGGCCTGGGATATGGCGGCAATGTGGGATTATGGTACGGCTGCAGCGACTGCACAAACGTCGTGCTCTCCGAGTGCGAAATCGGTGAGCTGGAGCGACCATCCGCTCCTAAGCCGGCGCTCCTATGGAACCTGGACAGCTTGTTGACCACATGCAGCGAGGTGTGCGTGCGCACGCCCATGGCCCCGCCATAGGGCGTTATGGGGAAGACGTGGGTAGTGCCACGCAGCGTGGAGACGGCCACCCAGCGTGAGTCCAGCGAGAAGGCAATGTGCTGCACTTTGGCGCTGGTATCGCCTCGATGCAGCACATACAGATGATGCACGGCGGCCAGGCTGGGGCCCACGGGATGCGGTTGGACGCGGAACACATGGAAATCATGGCCACGCCGATCGGCGGTGAGCAGCAGCATACCGGAGCTGTCAAACTCCATGGCCACCAGTGCCTCGCTGTGGGCCACAAAGTGGGCAACAATCGGATCACCGGCTGCCTGTGAGCCGCCCGTTGCACTCAGCGGTGTGCCCGACGTGGGGCTATAGTCCTTTACCGGATGCTGTGGGCAAAGGATATTTGTCAGTTGGGTGACAAAATCCCGGGAACTGGAAACTCACCTTCACATCGATGATGGTTACCACGCCCGACTGCTTGGCATCCGGGCCGCCGCTGGCCGAATCGAAGCTGCTGCTCTTGGAGCTGGCACCGCTGCCGGCGGTGGTGCCACCAGTCAATCCGGCGGCCACCTGCTCGCCCAGCTCGCGCAGCCCCTTGCCCAGGGACTTGGCCGCATTGAGCACTGTTGCCGTATAGCTGGGTACACCCTCGCCGTCGCATCCGCCGCCGCTGCGCTTGGAGTGCAACAGCTTGTGCTCCGCGTATGCCAGCCAGCGTGGGCCAAGGGCAATGGGATTGGGATTAATCCTGCAAGCATAAATCAGTAGTTTTTTGCTTTGGGAATCAACCCAAGGACAAGGACAAGGTAAGTACTCACCCCGGACTGGGATAGCAGGTGGTGATGGTTAGACGGTCCTCCAGTGTCCTGGCATCGAAGACGGCTATCCGTTCGTGGAACGTAATGACCACCGCCGATCTATTCGCCTGAATGTCCAGCACGGCGTTCTTGAACTTGATCGTCTTGACCTGGACGCCCGTTTTCAGTGACAGAAAGTTAACGGCACTGAATTGGGCAGCTGCCGAAACGGCGCCACTGCCGCCGCCTCCAATCCCACCACCGGAGCCACCGACTGTGCTGATGCCGCCGCCTCCGCCCATGCCCGAATTACCCGCAAGGAGGCCACTGGACGCTGCACTGCCACCATCGACAAGAGCCACCAGGGGACGCTTCTCCGCGAAGGCATCGACGGGCTCATCTGCCCGGCCGTTCTCGTCCAGAGCTGCTGCCGTCGCCGGTGTGGGCAGCACTCGGAGGGCAGTGACGACGCCATGGCGCCACGATAGCACCTCAACTGCCTCACCGTTGGCGGGAATGGCCCACACCTGGACGCCCAGTCCGTAGCCGAGAATCAGAAGCAGCGGTGGCGCCGCATTTCCCTCCAGCTCCCAATCGTCGCCGAAACGTGGATCGCTGACATCCGCACATGTCTCGAATCGGGCCCAGGTGATGGTGTCCTTGGGATCCTGAACCGGCTGATTGGCCAAGGTCACATCGTTGATGAATCCGATGGCCGAGTCCAGAATGGAGCGGTCCGACACTGTCTGCGGCGGCACAATGGCGGGCAGCGTGCCCGTTCGCGAGCCGGAACCGGAAACATGACCGTGACTGGAACCGGAACCCGATCCGGAGACGGAGGACCCCGGTCCAAGGCCGGAACCGACCACGCCGGTGGGATGGCGGCGAGGCGAGTCCGCGGACATGATGCGGCGGCGGTTGCTGGGCGGTTAGCTCCTGAATCGCTCCTCTCTAGCTGCTACCACAGCTGCTGCCAATGATGCAGTGCCTCCACACTGGAGGGCAGGGAGGGCTGGCAGTGGGTGTGTGTGTTTGTGTATATGGGGGGGGCGGGAGTAGGTTGGTTGGCAGTCTTGCTGTTCTAGCTGTTCTAGCTCTCCCGGAGACACTGCGTCTGGGATCGAATCTGTCGCCTCTTTTTCTCCGCTTTCGCCGCTCTTTCGCTTTGTTGTCAACTGCAAATAGAAAGCAAAGAGAGAGAGTAAATAAACAAATTGATCTATCACACACACACACGCAATACGTTCTCTCGTGTTCTCTCTGTTGGCTCTCCTTGTAAGCAATTGGGGTGGACCCTGATTACAAAAAATGTGTATATAAATTATTACAGTACCCCTTTAACAAGCTTTCACGGAACGAACATAATACTACGCAGTGTGTCGAGTCATTTTTAATATCTTGACAAAAACAAAAAAAATATCTTGCCGAGCATGGTGAAATTTGAACTGTGAGGTCATAACATGAACCTGCGATTAACATCACATGATGAAAATAAGCCCAAGTTCCTACATTTGAGAAAGTAACCAATACAACAAATCCAAACACAAGTCCAATCATGCCAGCTGTTATTTAAGATTCCACAAAGGTCCACCCTAATGCGCACATTTCATAGTTTCCTTTGGTCATTCCATTTCGTTCCGTTTTGTTTTCCCTTTGTCTCAATCAAACTGCTTTAATCTTTGCACGGAGCCACCCCCCACTGCCTGCCTCTGCCCCAACGCCACCCCTTCCGCCTCGACCTCCTTACTTCTCTTACCAATTTATTAGCGAATTACGTGTATTTTCAGCTTTGCATTTATTTTTATTTGATTTTTTTTGCATTACTTTCTCGGTTGTGCCCCTGTTTCTTTTGTCAATTTCAGTTTCATGGGACGTAAATTAAGTGCAATAAAACAACAGTAGCACCAAATAATGCTTACAAATTGAACGTAACAATCAACGCAAAAATAAAACAATATTTGTTATTGTTTTCCTTTTTTTTCACTTTTTGTATTGCAAAGCCAAAAGAAAACGAAAAACAAACTTCAAACAACAACAATAAAAACCTCAAAGTCACGCAGAAATCATCAGGCCATTTGTTTTAGCATTAGCTTTTTGTTTTTGCCTTCTTTTTGTGGTTGCTATTCGCCAGCAGCAAACGGAGGGCACAGCAGAATGCAATATGCAAGTACAGAGGCTAGCAATCAGTTGTTTTTTTTATGCGGCCGTTTAGGCCATTTTCTTCTCCTTCTTCCAAGTCCTCTTAAAAGGCAAGATAATACCAAAGCAACAGTTGTCCGGCTAAAGAAAAAGAAATACATTCCCACAAATGTATTGGTTATTTTAAAACCCATCGGAGATACTACATATGATAGAATTAATTACAAAAGATACAAATGTATCTCAGTCAATTGATGACTTATAATGCATTAACTGAAAATAAACTATTAAATAATTATAGAAAATACAGAAAAATAAAGACACACACACAAATGAACTTGCTTATATTTTAACCCATCAAAGATACTACAAATGATAAAAGATACAAATGTATCTTAAACAATAGATGACTTATAATGCATTAACTGAAAATAAACTATTAAATAATTGTAGCGAATAATAAAACGGAGTGATCCCTTTTAACGTTTGGATTTACAATTTAAGAACTAGTTAATATCTTTAAATTTAAAAAGCTGCCCAAAATCAGACTGAATGGACAGACTTTATGGTATGCCCTTTAGAAACATTTATTATTTGTTTCTTTTACATTAAAATTTAAAGGACAACCTATCAATGATTACTAAAGTTTCGATTTGTTGCAAATGCATTTTGCGAAACTTTTCCACGTGCGATGGCAATTGATTATATTTCACCACACAAGTCCCATTTTTATATAGATAGAAATGAGGTAATTAACAAGCACGATTATATATATATGTACGTATCTATGCACACATAGTATAAGCACATGGAATTGCAATTGGCAGATGATAAGACACGAAGTCGTGCAGTAAAGGCGTAATGATTCAATTAAACGCTAGTAAAAAATGCCAAATACTAGTTAAAAATTTTTGCAAGTGGAAACCACTTAAGAGAACTTAAAATTCCTAAGACAATATTGTGAGGGGGGGTTAATAATCAGGGAGGGCTTAAAGGTTAAGCCTAAAAACGGTATCACAAAGCAGAAGGCGGAAGGGGGAGAAGGCGAAGGTGGGAGGAGTGCATATGCATACGCTGCATTCCTCAATTGGCTTGACACACGCGCAACAAAAACAAAAACAAAACCTATATCAACAAGCAATGTCACACACACACCCACAACGACTGCTGGTGCGCGAGCAAGAGAGTTCCATCTTCCGCCCCCTCAGAACCCCACTTGCCCCCAGTGCCAGTGCCTCTATTTCGCTCTCACCTTATGCGACATCAGTAACGCATTTGTCTTTGTTTAGCAATAGGCAACCCAAATGGCATAAATTCACCATTCACTGGTGGGAGTGCAACAAAGACAGAAAGGTTGAGAGAAAGAGCACCACCCCAATGTTACAGTCAAGCTTTGTGTATGTTATATTAACTAAACATCAAAATTATAGGTCATACAGATGCCTTTACGAAAAATAAATACAAAAGGTATATGCTAAGAGTAAACTATAATGAAAATATTTAGCTAAATTAATAAATAATATGAACTTGTCGTCCCCTATACTTTGCGCTATATTCGCTTTATCAAGTAGCCACTGTGGCAGTTACCAGCTGGCCTCTCACTGGTTTACACGTATCCTTGACACTCGATCAATTCCAGAACAAGTTCAAATGAGAACTCGGCCAACGCATGAACAAGACGAAGCTCAAGTTCGCTGCAATTTCTTTATGCAACGATGAGAGGAACCAGGGGGGCAGAAGAATCACACATACGTAGATAAAAGAGAGACCCCAAAATAGAGTGCACATGTGTGTGTGTGTTTTGTCTGTTCAGTGCTGAGCTGCTTTTTGTTGTTGGGGCTCCCATTGTTTATGCTGGCCATTGCCAAAAGACACTTGACCAAAAAAAATTATTTTTTTTTTTTATTTGTTTCCCATCTTTTTCGGCACAACAATAGCTCACACACGAGTTCACGCTGCGAACAGGTGTTACTCAAAATACACAGACACACAGAGCTTGAGTGTCAGACATGCAATTTCATAAAGAAAATAAAATTAAATAAATAAAAGTGTTTTAGGTCGTGATATAGCGTATCGACGAAGCGGATTCTATAAAGCACAGGTTCATCAACCCACACACAGCTGATTATTCTCTGGCTTGATTACGGCCGAATAATAATTTTCTATTGAGGTTTCCAGATTGAGAAACACTTTCCACATAGTATCAATCACACCCCCCGAAACAAACACAGCCGCAAGTGATAAGACAGTCGCGACCCATCCCCCAACCTCTGGCAGTCCTTGGGAGCAAACAAAGGAACCCCTCGGTTCTCAGGTTTTTTACGTTATAGATCAAAATAGAACGTAAATATCGTTAAAAACAATATTTATTTTGTTTACTGACTTTTCAGACAATGGTTGGTTCGATGTAAAATATTTCGACTGTAGTGCTGACAAGGGGGAATGAATTTTTCACATTTTTTTTTCTTAATGTTTTCATTCGGTTCTTGTTTCTGCTTATTGTCAATGCACCCACCGCCGCCTCCCACTCGCCCAAACATTCCCCCGCCCCTCTTACAATCGAACCGCAAGTTGGCAAATTTTTTGGCAAACATTTCTATTAGGTAAAATCAGAAAATGGGAGTGATTGGGGGGAGGGGGCAATGCCACTTTTGATGTACATTTTAATTTGTAAATGAATCCAACACAATTTGTGTCATCCAAATATTTTTGTGTTATTTTTTGATTATTCGACGGACGTCGTTGTTGTTGCTTTTGCATACATTTGGAAAACAAAGAGCCAAAACTCGCAGCAATTATCAAAATATGTACAGAAGTCGGAGAGCGAGAGAGCCAGTGAAAGAGAGGCCAAAATGAAAACAAAAATCTAACACAGATACAATAGAATGCACACAAATGCATGGGGAGCAACTCAGCTGCAACGAAATTTTGTTGTTGTCCTCTCTCGCACACTTACAGCATCGTACAGTGGTAAGAGCTTTAATAAACGTAACTCAAATATCATGCATTAAAACCATTAAATTAAATTTACGTCCATTTTTTGACCGCTTTGATGTAAATTGTAAACTCAACAAGAGCATTTTCACTATAATAAAACGAATTTTTAGTCACTTTTTCTCTGCCCACTCCACTGTGCTTAATGTGTTCACTATCAGTTCGTTCCATTTAGTTTCAGTCCGTTTCCACCGTTTTGTTGTTGCCCATCTAATGCGCACATACACGTACATATAGATTGTGTTGGCCTGTGTGCGTGAGAAGAGGGGGCGAGTGAGGGAGAGTGAGCGAATGTAGCTGTGTGATTTTTTTCCCCCTTCATTGTTTGTGTTTTGAAATAATATTTTTTCGCGTCACAGGCCAAAACAAAATTTCCACTACTTTTGACATTTAAATAACAGCAAATGTTCCTGCTCTCTTGCCCTCTGTCTCTCACTCTCCCTCTGTCCAAAGCTTCTTTTCCGTTCTCTTGCTCTATTCTTTGGCTCTTTGTTTGCACAATTTACACGTCTGTGATTTCGACAGAGAAACAATAAACAAATAGTTGCATAAATGGAGGTTGTTTTTTGCATTTTTTTTTTTTTACCTAAGTTCCATCATATGATTTCGATTCCTTAAATACACGATTTTCAATTTTTTTGCGCGTCAAACAAAAACAACTGCTAGAAGAGGAAGAACTTACCACTTGCGTTGTTGTTTCTGTTTCTGTTCCGTTGGTTGAATCAGCCAGCAGCTGAAGCACAACAACAGCAACAAATGCCACTCGTTCCTGTTATTCCTCGCGTTCCACTTCTCACTCGTTCCGCAGAGCGCGCGCAAAAACAACAACACAAACAAAAATCATATGTTTTCAGCTGCTGCTCTCTCGATTACACTCTCGTTCTCTGTGGCTTTTGTTTTTGTTTTCTGCTTTTGCCTTTGTTGATTTCCTTTTTGGTGTTGCTTTTGTTGGAGCCTCTCTTGTATTATTATTTGTATTATTTATATTATTTCTGTTCTGTTTCGTTGCAGGCGGCAGCAGCAGCAACAATCTCAAAACTGCGTTTTGCTTTTCCCTCTTATTCTCCTCTTGCCTCTTCTGTTTTCTACGCCTTCTTTCTTTCCGTCTTTGCCACGCCCTCCGATTGGAGTGTTCTGGACTTAATTCTCAGCTTTTCTACGCCTTTTCGAACTCCCCTTCTTCAAGTTAAAAAACTTGAGTTTTTGTTTGAAAATTGTCGAGAGAAAAATGATGTCGAAAATCTCTTTTCGCTGCCACTGCCGCCCTATTGCTGGCTCGCTCGCTCGTACACTCGAACGCCAGCACAACGGACACACACACTCACGCACACACCACCAATACAGACAGACTGCGTCGTACGTTTTATTTTTCTATTTTTCGTTTCGTTTCGTTTCTTTTCGTTTTTCGTTTACGATTTTTGTTGCTACTGCTGTTGTTATTGTTATTGTTGCTTCACAAAAATTAACTGCGACATTAAAGTGGCCAAATGATCTTGTTTATTTGTTGTATTTTGATTTGCTTTCTTAATACGCCCGTTAAAACTTATATCGATTAAGAATAACGGATTTATGCGTCGCAACAAACAAAAAAAAAATTATCCCAGAGAGACGAAGACGACTGTTTGTTGCCAATAAAACGTAACAAAAAAAAACTGGTACTAGCTAGACTGGGTGGCTGGCTAGCGGGCGTTTCGGTTATTTTTGTGTAATCGTTCAGCGGACACTTAGTATTATTAATTGTTATTATTTTGGTTGCTGCGCTATTTCTGTTTCTGTCTGTTTTTTTTCTAGGGATGTGAAAATACATCAAAATATCAATATATCGATATATATATTTATGTCGTGATAGCTATCGATATTGCGATATTTTTTGTACGATATATTATTTTAGTGAGCCCAAAAGCCGCAAATCTGTCCCGAATTACGCCAAACTGGCCACACTGCTGCCTCAACAACAAAATAACCTCTTCATTTCACTTTGTTTTGTGCCGCCGTGAAATTCAGCAAGCAGCAGCAGCAGCAGCAGCTGCATCAGCATCAGCATCTGTCCGCGAATTAGATAATACAGCCGGTAACAGCGGGGATTCGCAACAGAACCCAGCGGAAGCTGCGCCACTGCCATAGTTCCGGGATTGAAGGGCGGCGCAGCAAGAGCGCGGAGTCGCAATTGGCTCTGGAATCACCACGAGACGAGACGGAAACTGATAGTAAGTAGGCTGCTACAGTTTGACAGATCTAATAGCAAAGTTGCAAACAAAATTTCTAAATTTCCAAATTTTATGTCTAAATTTGACTGCTTTCAGAAAACACCGCGAGGAGCACGGCAGACAAACTCCACAGATTGCTAGAAGAGACTCTCAACGAACTGCAGCGCCGATGCCCAGGAACAGTTGCCATCTGACGACGTTGGACACTGAGAACAAGCGGCCGAGCGCCAGGGAATGGGCGAGCGCGTCATCTACCACGAGCTGGCCGCCGTGCACCATCACCATCATCCCCACCCACACCAACACCATCAGCAGCAATCGCCGCACTCGCAGGCGCTTTTCCATCATCCCCAGCCACAGCAGCGTCGGCCAAAGCAGGGAATGGCGGCCATGCCGGCGTTGGCCAGTCCGAGCCATGTCTATGCCAATGCGAATGGCGCGGCGGCCTGGAGGGGAGCGCGTCAGCAGCAGTACTACCCTAATACCATTAGTACGGGACACGGGCCTGGCCCCACTGGCGCCGCTGCAATGAAGCAGCTGCAAGCCAAGCAGTTGGCTAACTCGGAACAGCAACAGCAGCAGCCGCCGGTGGCTAGCGAAGTAAGTGTAGGGGCGACGGACACACTGCCCACCACGCCCAGATCGGGTCAGATAAAGCCACCGCGCAACAAGAGCGAAGGTAAGCATGAGCCGGAAGTGTGTGCGTCTGAGTGCTAATCCTAAATCAATTCGCAGAGGCCATTGCCGATCTTCTTGTGCGCATTCCGGATGTGGGCCAGCTATTCGATGTGCACAGTCGCATCGGGAATGGTACCTTCAGCACTGTGCTCTTGGCCACAATGCGACGGGAGGCGAATCTACCGGAGAGCCTGCGGCGAAAGTTTGCCATCAAACATCACATACCCACTAGCCATCCGGATCGGATAATGAAGGAGCTGCAGTGCATGACCAAAATGGGGTAGGTTCTTTATCCTCTATCTTAGCCCATAAACCCTTGGGGCCCACCGTCCTGACTCCCATACACACACACAGACACAGAGGCCGGCCACCCACACATGGACGGGCGGCGGCTTTCGTCCTCGCCTGCGTCAAACGCCGTTAACCGACGTCAGCCGGTCATACGTCATAGCAATTTATTTCAGTTTGCCGGCCGCACGAACAAGGCAGGGTGGCGAGAGGGGGAGCCACACATCCATACATACATATGAACAAACGAACGAACATACATACACAGACGTTCGTTTATTGCACTTTCACACGCCATTCACGTGCCCATTTACAGTTACAATGCCGCGCACAGCTCTCTCAGTCCGTCCCGCTCTGGCCCTTGACGGCTGTAATGTTTGTTTACAGCGCGCACATCTGTACGTACATACATACATATGCGTATGTGTAATCCTGCAATCCCAGCCAGCCGTCTGATATCGATTGCCCGCCGGCAGTTGCCAGCAGCTAGAGATTAGATTACGCATAGGCTGAACCCGAACCCAAACCCGAATCCGTATCCGTTCAATACCGCCTCAAACTGCCCGGTGAGCTGGACACACAGCTAAGCTGGCTAAATAATACGTATTACAGAGAGGGAGAGCAAAAGCAGTCGCATGTGGGCGTTGCGTTTATGTTTGACATTAGCCGGGTGGCTCCTGAGCCCACTGACCACCCACCACCCATTCGCCCCCGCCTCTCCCGTTTGTGTCTATTCAAGCGATTTGCGCAAATTCCTCAGCCAATTGCGTCACAGCGACAATAATTATGACTCTCCATCGCCATCTCGCATCTTCTCCATCGCTCTCGGTTTGTTCCAGTGATACGCAGCCGGCTAGAGGGGCTAGGCAAGCCTGAAAATCCTTGCGAATTGTTATTGTAAATACCCTGATTTGGCTATTAACTTTCTAAATTGCCAACACTGTTCTGCGTGTGACGTCGTCGAAGCTATTCTGTCTCCTTCGCACGCAGAGTGGGCAGGAGAGCACAGGTGTGTGCGTGTGGGTGGGTGTATCTGTGTTGTTTATCTACAGGGCACAAATCAAAGGCCCTGAGATGTCTGATAAGACTTTAATCAATCCTAACGAGGATTAACTAAATCGTATTTTATAAAATTTAATTTGATTGTCTTTAAAAATAGCACTCTCCCAAACAATTGTGGTAAATAATGAGCAAGAGAGTGGGAGAGGAGGGGGCCTAGTACAGAAATTAACAGGAACTAACAGGAATTTCGCTAATCGCCATCTCGCTCTTTCTTGTTGCAGGGGCACGGAGAACGTCGTGGGCATCCACTGCTGTCTGCGCTGCGACGCCTCCGCCGCCTTCGTGATGCCCTACATGCCGCACGACCGTTTCCATGACTTTTACACGCGGATGGACGTGCCAGAGATCCGGCTGTACATGCGCAATCTGCTGGTGGCCCTGCGGCATGTCCACAAGTTCGATGTCATCCACCGCGACGTGAAACCCAGCAACTTCCTGTACAACCGGCGACGGCGCGAATTCCTTCTTGTCGATTTTGGCCTGGCCCAGCATGCGAATCCGCCGGTTATGGGCGCCATAGCTAATCCAGGAGTTAACTACAACAACAACAACAACAGCAAGCGGCCACGGGAACGGGAAACGGAGGCAGTGCAGGCAAATGTCCAAGCGGACGCCGGTTTGGGTGGCGCTGTGAAACGGATGCGACTACACGAGGAGGGCACCAAGATGCCATTGAAGCCGGTCAACGAGATTGCTCAAGGAGAGGCGCAGCCCGCCGATGGATCGAATCCCAGCCAGCAGCCGACCACGATGCTGCAGCAGCAGCCGCAACAGCCGCAGCAGGTGCCGCAGCAGGATCAATCCACAGCTTCAACTCCGGCCTCCGGCAGCAAGTACAACACGAACAGGAGCGCATCGGGAGCATCTGCCAATAGTTCCAAGTGCTTCTGCTTTGCCAATCCGTCCGTGTGCCTCAACTGTCTGATGAAGAAGGAGGTGCACGCCTCTCGGGCTGGGACACCGGGCTATCGGCCGCCAGAGGTGCTACTCAAGTATCCGGACCAGACCACAGCCGTGGATGTGTGGGCAGCTGGCGTGATCTTTTTGTCCATCATGTCCTCGGTGTATCCGTTCTTCAAGGCGCCCAACGATTTCATTGCCCTGGCCGAAATCGTAACCATATTCGGTGACCAGGCCATCCGAAAGACGGCCTTGGCCCTCGACCGTATGATCACGCTCAGCCAGCGGTCGAGGCCTCTAAATCTGCGCAAGCTGTGCCTGCGCTTCCGCCACCGAACCGTTTTCAGTGACGCCAAGCTGCTCAAGAGCCACGAGTCCGCCGACGGACGGTGCGAGGTGTGCCGCAACTGTGACCAGTACTTCTTCAACTGCCTGTGCGACGACAGCGAGTATGTGACGGAGCCACTGGACGCCTACGAATGCTTTCCGGCCAGCGCCTACGATCTGTTGCACCGCCTGCTGGAGGTTAATCCCCACAAGCGTATCACTGCCGCCGAGGCACTGCAGCATCCGTTTTTCACAGAGGCCGCCGAGGAGGTGGCCGAGCAGCCGCGAAAGGTGCGACGCCAGCGTCATCACAAGCAGATGGTCACATCGGAGCAGCAGCAGGCAGATCTGGAGCTCCAGCAGCAGACCGCGATCAACAACAAATTATTGAACTAGTCCTCATACACCCCAGTCTCGTCATTTGTATATAGATAAGGCACATATCACCACTGTATAGAGGTTTACGCCGATGGTTAAAGGCATCGGCGGCGGCGTAGAGGTCAAAATGACTCGGCGGCGGCGGCGTAGTAGTCAGAAAGAACCGGCGGCGGCGGCGCGTCAAATAAGGCAAAAAGGCCATTTTAATGAGTTATTTATTTTTTTTAAGTTTTATAAAGAACAATGACACTGAAGGCCGCGCTGAAGCTGCGCCGATGCCGCACCAGCGGCGCGCCGCGGCGCGCCGTTATTTTCATAATTTGGCGGCGGCGCGTCAAATAAGGCAAAAATCGGCGGCGGCGGCGGCGTGGCGCGGCGGCGTATATGTCTACCACTGTACATACACACGCACGCACACCCATATATCATCTCATGCATGTAGCGCCCGAAATTCAGTCCAGTGTACCGTGCCCAGTGCGCATCCGACTTACCTCAAGCTGCTTAGGGTCCCGCAACAACACAAAATTAGATTTGTAGGAATGTTTTCTTTTTTTTTTTTTTTTTGATATATCATGAACAATAGGAAAGGAATACCAAAAATAAAAAAAGAAGTGAAAGATAATGAATTGTGAAATATTTATATATATAATGAAGAATCGTAGAGGCAACCCAAGTGCAAGGGCATCCTCATGTTGTATAGTTCGAATAGCTATAGCTAACACCTAAGTATATCATCTATTTGTATGTATCAAGCGAAATTGTGAACGGAGATATATATATATATAAAGAATCAACAAATATATTTATACCGAGGAAAGTCAGTGGAGCTTCTTTATTTACTTCCTGGGAAGTAGCGAAAATATATTCATACGTTTGACATTCTATAGAACAGAGTTGAAAGGGAAGGCTGGAGTACGCGGTTACCCAAGTAGGTTGCACATTAATCTAGGTAGATACCTGGTTAATCCCCCTCCCGACTATGTTTCCATCTTCTCTTCCCTCTTGCGCTTCGCCTTGGATGTGGATGGCTTGTCGTCGGCATCGACTGTTGATGGAATTTCCTCTACCTTGATGCGCTTGCCGGCAATTACTTCCTCCTTGGTTGGCTGTGTCTCCATTGTTCGCTTCTTGGCCTTGACGAAGCTTCCCCGGCCGGCGGCCCGTTCCGACTCCTCGATGGTGTACGGCTCCGTTTCCAGAGCCTTGAGACGTCGCTTGTGCACCTTGGTGCGGAAATGCGCCTGCATGGCGGTGTCATCGATAAAGTACTTGGCACAATGAACGCAGTAGAATTGGGCAAAGCCGGGCTTCTCCAGGTCCACGTTCTGGTTGATCAGCTCGGCGCTTCTGGTGCGCATGTCGTCGTCGATCTGGTCGAGGTCGCGACGGCGGTTGCGCACGCGCCACCGGCGCTGCAGGTGAGTGTCGCCATAGTGCATCTTCTTGCGCTTCTGTACCATTCCCATCTTGCGGCCGTGTGTGTATAGTTCACCTGTTGCAACGTGAATTTAAGATTTGTTTTGCTGCGTCGCTGCACGTGTTTTGGTCCAAGTTGGTCCGTCGGCTGCTGCTTATCGTTTAGAGGTTGCAAACCACCTACAAGTAGTTGGGCTATTAATATCGCCTTAAACGTGGCTGAACTGCAGACTAACCTTGCCTTTAAACGCCGATAAACAATGTTTTTAAAATTTACTACGCACAAACACTCGCCTGCTGGTTGGTGGCGGTGGTAAAGGCTCGATAACTGGAGTTTATCGATAGCTTGGACCGATTTTCCGTTCGGAGGTGTGCACACACTGAGGCCGCAGCTGTTGTGCTTTTCACTTATTTGCTAATAAACTAATCAATTTTAAATAAACACATGTGAATTCAAAGAGTGAAAGGCCGCGGGGCTTGGTAAAAGTGTGCGACAAGACTATCGAACTTTGATCAAGCCCAGTTTGGTTTGGCTCGATTTTTGGCGTTTTTTAGTGCTTTTCTTGTGCGGTGAATAATGATTAAAAAAAAACATATGTTAATTCATCAACAAATTCGTCGGAACAAGTTGTCTGCGGGCGGACGTGCGGATTTTGTTTTGTTTTTTGATTTGACGCCAATCTAGCCGCAGGAAGTAAGCTTGAAAGGATTAAGGACAAGTAAAGGCAAACGACTGACACGAAAGGCTCTCTCTCTGCTTTAATCGTGACGAACACAGCTGCACACCCATACACATGTGCGATTGGATAACACAGTAAATCCGTGAAATAAATTCCGTTTACTCTCCCAGTCCCCATCGCAGATGAGGCTGCTGCTTTTCTATCTTTCTGCCCCTCCCCCCACCCATGCAAAGCTAAGCATATGCTAAGCGATAAAGTGATTTGTTGTGCGTGTGTTTGTATGTGTGTGTGCATGTGCAGGCGATTTAGTGCAAAAAGCCCAGCAACAAAGTAATAAACAGAGACTGTGATTGTGTGGACAACGGCGGGGGGCGGCGGTGTTGGAAGCGCGGCGACAGCTGCTACCGCCTACCATTCGTTCAGTTTTGCCATTGTACTCCGTTCTATACTCTCTGCTGCTGCTGCTGGCAATTGTGGTTTATTGGCATTTATTTGTTGATTCTGTTTTAGCTACATACACATTCCGTTGAAACCACTATTCGCGCGATACTCGCTCTATTTGCCGGCAACATTGCAACAGCATCAAAGACAACAACTGCAGTAAGTAGGGGAAGGGGAACGGTATGCAGCGCACACCAACAACAAATATTCCAAGTTCGAACCAAAAACAAAACAAGAACAAGAAGAGCTTAACAGCTCTCTTATCGATAATCAGCGTTTGCATGCCGATTGCGATTATCAGTGCTGCCGATCGCTTATCAGTCGGTTGACAATTAATACCGTTACACGCACAATTAGTGTGTATGTGTATGTGCCTGTGTGTGTGCTGCGGGTTCCCCTTTTGATTGATATTCGAATTTAGATCACTCTCACTCTGTGATATAACAGCCCCCCGCCCCTCACGCACCAAGCAAATACACTCTCTCACTCCCGTTCTCCGTTGCTCTTCTCTTGCTTATTTTATCTTTATGCTTGGTTTTTGTAGTCCATGCCAGTCACGATTTGACATTTCGCAAATTGGGAGGGAGGGAGGGAGAGAGGGTTGTGTGTGCGAGAGCTCTTGCACTCCACGTCCATGCAAATAGGAGATAGTGGGGCAGACGAAGAGATCGGGGTAAAGTTGCTAATGCAGTTAATGCCCCCCATTGAAAGCGAGAGTGTTAGACGGAGAGGGAGAGTATCAACTGGTTAGGTTGGTGTTTAGCACAGGGCCGTGGTGAAAGGGGGATGATGACATTAAAAGATTTAGGTATTCCTCAAGGATCACTTCGTTGTCTTTTGGGGGATTTTTATAGGATTTAAACTCCATAACTCGTCCAAAAAAGCATTAATTTTCATTCGGACAACTGTTCTATGTTAGTTTTTATGAATTCAATAAATCTGCATACTAAATTTTATATCTTTAAAAAATTAAATTTTTTTTAAAATTTTCGGGAATTTTAACGATGTAACCCCTTATAAAATTTTGAAAAAATTGGTAAAAAATTCTTTACCTCCGGACGTGGCTCAAACGATTCGGCTGTTGATGCTGATCAAAAATATATATTATTTATGGGGTCGGAAATGACTCCTTCACAGCATCCGAAATTATTCTTTACTTGAAACTGAACGCCTTGGGTTGAGGTGTTCATATTTTTCCTTACTTATATTAGTGTTTTTTTTTTTTAATGTCCCATATATTTATTTTAAAAATTAAACAAATATTTATTTATTTACTTGTTTATTTAGTTATACAATTATAAAAATCTTGTTGTACTTGCACTATTTTTTTTAATATAATATTTTATTTACAAGTGATTAAAATCTGTATTATTTTATGACTTTACTGTCTTGTAACAGCACCCCCTCTAGCGCCGTTATGTGCCTCCGCCACTGACCCAATAAGGTATTACAAAATCCAAAGCCCGATTCGCTGCTGCAGCCAAAAGTGGCAATTATGTTCCCAATAATGAGATATTTTGAAAGTCTCCGGCTTCCGCGTAGATCTCTTTTTGTACTGTGGGGTCTACCTGGTGTTAAGAGTTACATATAGAGGCGCGGCAGCAGCGGAGTTGATTTTCCTTTCGTTTGGGGCCCAGAAACGCAAAAGAGGCAGCCAAGCAGTCAGTTAACCAGTTAACCAGTCGTGCCAGTCCGGTCCAGTTCGATTCGCTCCAAGGTTATAGCATTCCATTCCGCGCCAGATCTCGGCAGAGAGCATATTAACTAGTCGTTGCTGCACTTTAGATTTAGATTTCCAGGCTTAGAAGGGTTTCGGGGTAACCAAAGGGGTTACAGAGATGGAGAGATTTTATAGACACGATTCTTTCTAATGCTCTTTGTGATTCTACAATGGTTTTTTTGTGGAGATTAATTACAAACATGACGACGATGTCGGTGGCGTATACGTGTTTTTATCGTTTCGCTGAAATCTGCGGGTTTGCGTGTGTTTGTGTGCGTTATTTCCCCCCGTTTTTTGCATTTTGTTTATTATCTTTGCGAGGGAGAGCAACAAATATATACTAGATATTAACATTTCTATGTATACTTTACGTTTTAAAATTTTATCCAAGGCAAACACTTTTTAGGATCAGGTATAATGTATTTCCGTAACTTTTATAAATTGTATTTTCTATATTTTCAATTGAATCGATCTGAATTTTAACACTCGCATGTATTTTGACCTTTTTGAATAATTATCCACCTTAATTTGTTTCTAACTTTATAATTGTGGAAGCTACAGGCAGTTAGGATGATAATATCAGGATAGTCTCTGCCACAAAACCCCACTTCCTGCGAGTGCGCTATCAGCCAGCTCTGCGTTGCCTTGCCACAAGTGCCGCGAACATATTTTCCTGATTAATTTTTTTTTTTTTTTGTGGCTGCTGCGGTCTCTTGCCCCTTATCACTACCCGCCTCGATATGTACCCCATCTATATAGTATATAATCTGTTTACGATATAGTGCGGTGAACCACAAACAAAGCTTAAACAGACACTGGCGGCGAGAGCTACCGAGCAAGTGTGTTTTTCGAGCGACGAGTTGTTCCCATTGCAGAAGTGGAACAGCAGTTGGAGCAGTCGGTGAATCCAGGCTATAAAGCAAGGTCAGACGTGAGGCGAGAGATGTTAGGAGGAGGGGGAACGATGATGGGAGGGAAGCTACGGAAGACGGAAAACGCTGGCTGGGTGGAGTTATGCCTGGAATTTTCATTACAAATGCCCACGTTTTCGCTTTTGCAATTCGCATTCCCCTGGACTTGGATGTGAAAGGGAAGGGCAGGGGCACACACTCTCACACTTTTGGCCTTTTGTCTTGAGAGATTCGACTTTCTAATTGAAATATAGGGTTGAATGGGTTTTAATGGACTTATGTAGGTTACACACATACAATTGAGGTAGAAACAGTAGAAACTGTGAAACACAATGTAACCAACTCCTTATGGGAGCTATTCCCTTGACCGCAGCTGTGTTGGCCAAGATTTAATTCGACTTTCACTCTGCTTTACTCCACACAGCCATTAACAGCAGCAGCAGCAGCAGCAGCAGCTGATCCTCTGAAACGTCTCTAGCTAGCAACAAAAGTCATGGACCACGCCCACCACAGTGCAGGAGTTGGTGAGTCCTCTAACATTCCCCTGGGAGTTAGAGTTACCTCCCTAACCCTAACCCCCCTCCACAGATCATTCCATGATGCATCACGATCATGCGGGCATGCATCACGATCCCAGTGGAGCAGCCTTGGCAGCCACGGCCGCACCCTCGGATCCTGGTTCTCTGTTCGATCTGATACCGGACACAGACGTCCATGCTGGCCATGTCCATCACAATCATGGAGGTGGCGGCTCGGGAACCGGAATGGAGCACATGATGCCCATGGCGGTGGGTTTGATCTTAGTAATCTTTTGCTGGCTGGCTCTCTAAGCTGAGAGATGATGCTCCCCCTTTACAGTTCCACTTTGGCTACAACGAGACCATCCTGTTCTCCTGGTGGCACATTGAAACGGTGGCCGGACTGGTGGGCTCCATGATAGCCATCTTCCTGCTGGCCCTGATGTACGAGGGCCTGAAGTACTACCGGGAGTATTTGTTTTGGAAGACATACAACCTGATGGAGTATCGTCCGGTGACGGGGCCACAACGAAATCCAGAAGCGCCGCGTCTGCCCTCGCCGGCGGCGGCGGCTCCCTCGCCCGTGCAGTGAGTAAACCACCGAGCATCTTGGTTGCCTTACGCTTTATTTAATGTTTTCCCTTATTTTTGTTGTATATATTTTTGAAACTTGATGTTTTACTTCTACTCTCTCTCTCTTTCGCTCGCTCTGCCACCGCCTCATCCTGCTCCATCCAAATGCTATATATATATGTATATATATCTCGCGCCGTTGTTCCATTTGTAAATCCAAACCATCCACAAAAACCAATATGCTATCCAATATCCAATCTCATGCGCTGCTGCCTCGTAATTGTTATTTGTAAATGATTCACGCGAATCTGTGATTATAACGAAAAAAACTAATTCCTGTATCTGCAATCTGCAATCCTGTGTGTCCTTCGATCGATCCTTTTAGATACGTGGGCGAAGTTGTGCACAAGCAACCGTAAGTATCGCTCCGTTTTGGAACCCCAAAAAAAACCCCAACGCTTATGTTGTTTAGTTTACTTTCAATTGTTCATCTTTCCCCCCACCCTTGTCCTTGTTGATTATTTTTTGAAATATTTCAAATCTTGTACAGTCTTTGTTCTTGTCCTTATTTTTTCTGGGTTTGTTTTTTTTGTAATTAAAATTCTAATTAAGATTTTTTTCAAACGCTGCTCAGACCCTCAATGCTGTCGGTAAACCACCTGCTGCAGACATTGCTGCACGTCCTCCAGGTCACGCTCTCCTTCCTGCTCATGCTGATCTTCATGACCTACAATGTCTGGCTCTGCCTGATGGTGGTTCTGGGAGCCGCCGTTGGCTACTTCCTTTTCTGCTGGAAGAAATCGGTCATTGTGGATGTTACGGAGCATTGTCACTAGCAGAGGAGCACAGACGGCAGCCTCAGTCGCAGATGTCTCACGATGGCTGATGATGATGAGGAGGAGGAAGAGCAGCAGCAGCGGCAGCCTGGATTCTGAGACGGAGGCCTAGACCGTTGGTGCTTTCCGGAAGCTCTCCACCACACACACACAAACACACCCTGCTACTTGCTACTCTCTAGGTATTTAGCCTGTAACTTACCCCCCCCCCCAAGGAGGACTTGTCCTCAAGTCGGATGCAGTGTACAGTGTGCCTAAAAAGCTAAACAGACACTTACATATTAGCTTACTGTTAAGAATCGGAAATCAAAAAAGCAATCTTTATTTTTTTTTGTACTCAATTTTCTTTCCGAAAAGCAAATATATCTATATTTTTATCACTATTATTATACCATTATGTATCCCCCTTATATTATACAACTACGTTTATTATTATTATTTGGTAATAAAAAACCCATTTTTATACATCTCTTTTGTGAAATGATTCAGTAAACTTTCTTTAATTTAAAAAAATACTTTGGAAGTAAATATCCAGTTCAGACGGTGTGCATTGCATTTAATTAGTTTAGGCTCGATGAAATTGTTATATTTGCGAAACAACTGTAGTCATGGTTTAATTACCATGAACCATGTGTATGCCTCACGCATTATACCCTTGACTGGCTTTTCTAATTGGTGTCTGTTTTGAAATTTATATGATATTTGCTCAAGTCCCCTGTTTTCTTTACCATTTCCTATTTGCTTAAATGTAATAATAATAATACCTAGTTTAAAACAAAACCAGCTAGAAAAGAATCGATGTTTTCGATATTTTCCGATTTTTTTGTTGTATGCTGAAATCGATAAGCATTGATAAGCGATAATAATACCTAGTTTGAACCGAAACAAGCTAGAAAAGAATCGATGTTTTCGATTTTTTCGATATTTTCCGATTTTTTTGTTGTATGCTGAAATCGATAAGCATCGTTGTAGATATTAAACTTAGCAAACAAAGGCAAATACATACAGTAAAAAAGGCAAACAAATTTATAAATATTATTATTAATATTAAATCTATGTATACGTATACATTAATAAATATACACAAGCGGATTATTGTTATAACAAAAACAAGGACTTTGAAAATGGGAGAGGGGCAAAGAAAACTACATGTCTTTGTTTTCGGGTTTTTGCTTTGATCTTTATTAGAAAATTATTGCGAGTCTTTCTCAATATATATGTATATATACATATATTAAGATATATATATCTATATATACATATATGTAGAATGTGGGTAACCTTACTCATATATCATCGTAATTCATAATTAAAAACATCGTTACATGACTACAGGCGATCGATCATCGAATTTCTTGATTGGGTTAGACTAAATATACTTTACTTTTCTGCTTATTTGCTTGCTTTTTGCGCCCCCCAATGGGGAGCTCGATTCAATTCAATTGATTAATTTGCGCTAGGTGAATTAATAATAACCGAAAAGGAACTTTGGATGGGGGATAGGTGAATGGGGGGATGTGGGATATGGGATGTACTCGCTGGAACATGTTCTCTTTAAATGAATTGATCGCAGAATGTGGGATATTGGGGCAAAGGTGGGATTGTGGTATCAGGGATTTATAGATAATTTATAAGTATAGATGAGAGAAATTGAGAAATTCACCTCGTTTTGGTAGGTATCATTCATGCCTAATACGCTTCTACACGGTTTTTTCTTCTGTCTCTTCTTCTTCTTCTTCTCATTCCCTTCTCTCTTTCACTCTCTGTACTGCGATCACTGATCCAGGATCAGTTCATTCGTGATCATTCGTGTTCGTTCGTTGATCGTTGATAGTTTGGAGCCGCCTTGTGTCTGTCTTGAAGAAACATTTATGTGTGGGGAGAGGAGTGGCATAGAAGTTACCTGGGGTGGCTCTTCTTCTAAAACAAATCTTCTTTCAACACCTCATTTCCTATTCCGTTGGTCATCATCATCATCATACATCCTGCAGTCGTCTCCTGCGTTGCTCCTGAAATGTGTGCCAGAGTGAAATGTATGAGTTGAGGGAGCTAGGCAGTATAGTTAGTACACTCTGTGGCTTAAACTAAGTCGGGTACACACAGATGCACATATAGACGATATATATTTATATATACATATATGGTTGTTATATGCGGAGATCCTCTGGGGTGTGTTGTGATGGTGTGGCATGAACATCACAGTTACAGATAGAGCTGGAAATCGGTTTTTTTCTAACAAAATTCCAAGTCGATTTAAATCGATTAAGATCGAAAAGGGAAATATTTAAATTAAATAAATTGGATTTATAATTTTATGATTCTTTGGATTTTATCTCGATAGATATATATATATATAATATATGTTTTTCAAATTATAATTAAAAATTTTCAATGCATAGAACTTTTTTCGATTAAATCGATTCAGAAATTGTATATCGATTAATAGATTTGATTTCCAGCTCTACATACAGCGTGTTGGGGGTACAAATACCAGTCATATATGTAGGTTTTTGCTTTTGGGCCTATTTAGTTCGTTCGAAATTTACCTGTTTGGCGAAGAGGACGGTTGGGGGTAACATATGGACGGACACACAGGTGTAGTTTTGGATTTGGGAACTCGAACTCTCTCTCTCTCTTTCACACTCTCTTTCTTTCTTTTTCCCTTTTTCTCTGCCTGTGCTATGTGCTCTGCCTCCCTCTGTCTCTGCCTCTGCCTATATTTATTGATTATTATTTTAATGCGAATTAACGATCGTTGCAATTACCTCGTGGCCTTGTTGGTTGTCTGGGAAACTTGACTTGAAGATTTCGCTGGGTGTTAGTAGTAGTTTCTTGTCTCTTAACTATAATACGGTATAGGGTAGTGCTGTAGGGTGGGAGTGGGATGGGGGCGGATTTCACACCACAAAAATGACAAGGAGGATATATGTATGTATGTATGTTTAATTTTGATTTTAAGATTTTATAAAAATTATTTTTTTTATTTTTGGGAAAAAATCAAAATTTTAAAAATCTATAACTCAGTCAAAAATTTATTAAATTCAATTCGGAAAACGATTTTGTCTTAGTTTTTAAATGCCTAATAAATCTGCATAGTAAAGTTAAAGTCTTTATAAATTTAATTTAAAAAAAATTTTTTTTTGAGAATTTTACGATGTAACCCCTTATAAAATTTTGAAAAAATTGAAAATTTTATTTTTCCTTCCAATATGGCTAGATCGACTCGGCTGTTGATGCTGATCAATAATATATATGATTTATAGGGTCGGAAATGACTCCTTCACTTAAAAAAATATTATTTCGTATTATAAAATCTGATTTTTTATATTAAAAAATATCATAATTCGGCCAAAAATGCATTAATTAAATCGGAAAACTGTTCTGTGTTAGTTTTTATGAGGTTAACAAATCTGCATACTTAGTTGGAAAAAAAAATTTAGGTCAAAAATTGAGAATTTTAATGATGTAACCCCTTATCACATTTCGCAAAAATGGCTCAAAATTTGATTTCCTCCAAACATGGCTTAAACGATTCGTATTTTAATGCTGATCAAGAATATATATGGTTTATGGGGTCGGAAATGACTCCTTCACTATAAAAAATATTATTTTGTATTATAAAATCTGATTTTTTATATTAAAAAATATCATAACTCGGCCAAAAATTCATTAATTTTAAATCGGAAAACTGTTCTGTGTTAGTTTTTATGAGGTTAACAAATCTGCATACTTAGTTGGAAAAAAAAATTTTGGTCAAAAATTGAGAATTTTAATGATGTAACCCCTTATCACATTTCGCAAAAATGGCTCAAAATTTGATTTCCTCCAAACATGGCTTAAACGATTCGTATTTTAATGCTGATCAAGAATATATGGGGTTTATGGGGTCGGAAATGACTCCTTCACTTAAAAAAATATTATTTTGTATTATAAAATCTGATTTTTTATATCGGAGAAAAGGAAAGAAGCTACTCCCATTATCACTCTTTTTCTCATCTTCCTTAAGGTACTAGGTACTCGTACTACAACTACGTACCTCTGGATTACGGTTTACGGAATTCGGAACTAGGATCTCCCAAACACACACACACACTCACAAACACCCAAGGCAACGGACCCAGCAACCCATTCGCCAAGCCAAGCCAAAGCACATGCAGTTCGAGTCTCTCTCTCCAAGTCGCTATATAGTATATACATATATTTACATTCCTTGTTTATCGTTTTGAATTCATGTGGAGGAGGCGTGTGTGTGTCTTTGGTGTGTGGTGTTGGGTTTGGAGTGTGCAGGGAATTGCATGAGATGCGTGGTGAATGGGTTTTATTTTTGTTTTTGGTTAGTTAAGCGCAAAGAGATAAGGAGTAAGGCTTGGTAAATACCTGGTACAGTCACTGTCCCGTCGTCGTCGTCGCTCCGTCTCAACCCAAATCCTCACGGGACCTAAGTAACTAATTATCCGCCTACATATCTTGGATCCTGTAGCCTGAGAGTAACACTACAAAAACAGATAGCTTCTACTATAGACACTCTACAGATGTTTTAGTATATTTTACTATATCTATGGTAAAAAAAAAAACAGGTCAACAGCTTTTTAAATCCAAGAACCGCAATATTTAGTTTTCCTATAATTTTTAATACAAATTTTCTATTCAGTTTTGAAATATTTGAACTTAAAAGCGCAGAGAATACGGTTTTTTTTGGTACTTTTAAGGTTCTGAAACTCCAATATATTTCATTTAAAGAACTGTTTTTGCTTTTAAAAATCAGTTTTTAAAATAAAAAAAAAATATTAAAGTTCTCCGATATCTCTTGAATTTTTATCGATATTTGTCGAATATTTCTGAGAGTATCGAATTTGATGAAAAACCAATTGTGGAAAATATATAAATTTAAAAGACGAAATCTCAAAGATCAATTTAAATATAAAAAATTATTTTGAGGTCACGAAAAGTATTTTTTGATATAACAATAGTTAAAAAAAAAAAAAATAATAAAATAAAATAAATAAATAAAATAAAATAAAAATATAAAAAAAATAATAATTTAAATTAATCTAAAATCCTAAAAATAGTGTTTTTTTTCACTTTTAACTCAAAACCCTGACATATAGAACATTTTCCAAACCTTTGGAAAAGTATGTATATTCCGGTTCTTGGTTCAGCCATTTTTTTTTAAATTATACAATTTTTGTAAAATGCACAATTTAATTTAAAAAAAAAAGTAAAGAAAGTCACTCATTTAAGCATAAATCCATCAATATATTTATAAAGCTTAACAAGAAATAAAATACCTGTTGTGTTTGGTTTTCTGGTTCATTTTTGAAATCGAATTAACAAAGGACCCCCGAAAAGACTACAACATTTAGGAGGAGGTCGGAGTCAGTCGCCTTGATCAATAGATATAGTTATGGTACGAGTACGAGTACGAGTATGTCTACGGAGTGTGGAGGGGCGCACGATGGCGCCAGAGAGAGTGTTACGTTTACGGAGATGATCAAGTGTTGGACTCACCTCTGCGCACTCGTTCTAGCCAGCTCTCAGATATACTGTTTCTTTTTTTTTTTTTTTTTTTTTTTCATATTATTTTGGAAATTGTGTTAATGGTATTTTTTTTTTTTTTTTTTTTTTTTTTTTTTTGGGTACCTCGATGCTGCCTCTGCCGGGGGCAGCTGCTGCTTACGGAGATTGAGTGTCGATTGGGTTGGTCTTGTTCATGTTTTTAGGAAAGGCTTCGTTTCCAAAAATTTCGGACTTCCCGTCTCAGCGTTTGTTTAATTAACTTGACTTTTTTATTAATATTATTCTCTCATCCTTTTATCTTTTTTTTCTTGTTTTTAAATGGTTTTTGGTCTCTAGTAGCGGCTGCGACTTCGGCTGCGACAATGCCTTTCGCGGCTATCGTGCCTGTAGTGGCTGTGACTATGATTATGGTGACGGTTGTTACGGTTGCCACCGCCTCCTCCGCCGCCAGCAGAGCCACCTCCACCTCCACCACTGCGCGAATACGAATGATGCGAGCTGTGATGCGATTTGTGGTGATCTGTGAAGAGAGTAGAATTTAGAGATTAGAGGGCCGTGTGCAACTCCAAGTGGGTGGGAAAGTGTGACTTACGGTGTCGCCGATCTGAGGGCTGGCGATTCTGGCCATAGTCGCGACTTCGCTCCCTGTAGTCGTTGTTGCGTGAGTCCCTAGAGAATAAAAAGGATCAAGATGAAAAGGATTTTTAAACAATGAAGAGAAAACCTCTGTGAGAGAGAACTGAGTTGGCCAGGTTTTAACCTTCAATCCATTTCAGAGTTAGGGGGAATTTCTGGCACACATTCAAGGGCAAGTTGCCAACCAAATTTATTTCGAGACCAAAAAGGTAAAGGTAATTGTGTGCCTCCTTATAAGCTTCTGCCTAAATGGCCATCCACTCCAAATAAAGCTGAACTATTAGCTTTTTACCTTCTGTTATCGTAGGTGTGGAAGCGCTGGACGCGACCCTCTCGCCGGCGTCGATCCTCCTGCTCGCGCTCCTTTTGGCGCGCCTCGTTGATCTCGGCAACGGCATTGCGCAGCTTGGAATAGCCCAGATGCTGCTTGCCCATCAGATGGTCCTCGATACGTTGCTGGGCATCGCCGACAATCAGAAAGGCGCCGCATATTTCGCACACCTTCATCTGTTTCTCCGGCAAGGCTTCGTGCGACCAGCCAGCGGGCTTAGACTCTGGTTTCTCCTCGCTGCTGGTGGGAGTGGCAGGAGCAGGAGCAGGAGCAGCTCCTTCGCTACCTTCTTCCGTAGCAGATGTGTTTACAGCCTCTGTGGCCTCAGCAGCAGCAGCAGGCTGGCCGGGGCTTAGGGGTTCCTCCCTGACGAGACCACCTTCATTGGAGTTGGCTCCAGGACTCCTGGGCAACGGCTGTGGCTGTGGTTGTTCATCACCGCTCAACTGCTGGAGGCTGCTGGTGCTACTACTGTTGGCCTTGTGACTCGTGGCCTCAAACTGCCGCACTAGCTGCTCCCTCTCGTCCTTTAGCTCATCGCAGAGGGTCATCAGGTCCTGGGCCTGATCAACATCGCCCCGTATGCCCGCCTCCTCGGCCTCCGATAGCAGCTTATTGATGCGCGCCGTCAGGTTGGCCAGCTGCTCCTGGTGCCTGCTCAGCGGGGCGGGTACAACGGGCTGGTCGCGCTGCATCAGCTGCAGGCGCTGCTTGCCCTTCTGGATCTTTCGGTCCACATCGTGCAGCATTACATTGCAAAAGCGCAAGAATTCGTCCTCGTACTGCCGTTTCCTTTGCGATGGTCTGGCCTCCTCATACAGATGCCTGGCCTCCTCGTCGTGGATGCGGGTGCAGGGACCCAGATCGGCGCGGGTATTGATGAACAGGTCGTGCGGGCAGAACTTGACATTGTAGAACTGGCAGAACTGTGTGCACGGGAATGGAGTGATAAGGATTTTGCATGTGTAGTAGCCTTGACATTAAGTAACTCACCTCGGGGTCCTCCCAGTTGACCTTGGCGCCGGCCTCCGAGGGATGCAGATTTCGGTTGCGACCCATCAGCTCATCGAGCATTTGTCTGGCGGCGTCCACCATTTTCCTCGCCTCTTCTGCTCCTCCTCCCTTCTTTCTTAATTCTTCCTTCTTTGCTGCAGCCGCCGCAGAACGAGAAGGGTGAAGGTGGAGGGGGTGGGGGGTGTGGACGGTTGATGGTTTATTTTTTGGCTTTGCTTAGTAGGCGCTGCCGGCAGATTGCTGGGATCAATGGATCCGGTGCTGCGGGGTGGCTGCCAGGTGCCGGTTCACATGTGTGGAGCAGCGAGCAGCACTTGGATCAGGTATTTACGCGGAGAATTCTTCTGCTGAATCAATAAAATTCGCGATGGAGATGTGCAAATACACCAAATACATCGATATTTCAACAAGAAAAACTACATATCGATAACATATACCTATCGATGGCCGCGGTCCGTCACTAAAGCCGAGTTTTGCTTGATTGTTTAAAGTTTAAACTTTAAACGTTTTAAAGAAAATGCTATAGAAACCCCATCGGGAGTAGACGACACATTGAACGATGGCCAACGCAGTGGTGGTGCTGGACAACGGGGCGCACACGGCCAAGGTGGGACTGGCCAACCAGGACGAGCCGCAGGTTGTGCCCAACTGTATCATGAAGGCCAAGAGCGAGCGGCGACGCGCCTTCGTGGGCAACCAGATCGACGAGTGTCGCGACACCTCGTCTCTGTTCTACATCCTGGCCTTCCAGCGTGGCTACCTGCTCAACTGGGATACCCAAAAGACCGTGTGGGACTACATCTTCAGCAAGGAGGGCATCGGTTGCACCCTCGATGACCGCAACATTGTGATTACGGAGCCGCAAATGAACTTCCAGAGCGTACAGGAGGCGATGCTGGAGATGCTGTTCGAGGAGTATCGCGTGGGCGGCATGTACAAGACGACGGCCGCCGATCTGGCCGCCTTCAACTATGTGGCGGACAGCGAGGAGCGCACCACAATGCAAACGCTCAACTGCATCATTATCGATGTTGGCTATAGCTTCACGCACATTGTACCCTTCGTCCTGGGGCGCCGTGTGCTCGAGGGCATACGGCGCATCGATATGGGCGGCAAGGCGCTGACCAATCACCTCAAGGAGCTCATCTCCTACCGCCAGCTGAACGTGATGGACGAGAGCCATGTGGTTAATCAGATCAAGGAGGATGTCTGCTTCGTGGCCGAGGACTTTAAGGAGGCCATGCGTGTGCACCAAAGCGAGGAGAAGCGTCGCGAGGTGGCACTGGACTACGTACTGCCCGACTTCACCACGGTGAAGCGCGGCTATGTCCGGGTGCCGGGTCAGCCGCGCGAGGATGAGGACCAACAGCAGTCGGTGCCGCTGTGCAACGAACGATTTACCGTGCCCGAGCTGCTCTTCAATCCCTCGGACATTGGTGTCCAGCAGGTGGGCATACCCGAGGCGGTGGCCGATTGCCTCAAGGCCTGCCCCTGGGAGGCGCATCGCGAACTCCTGCTCAACATACTCATTGTGGGCGGCAGCGCCCAGTTTCCTGGCTTCCTGCCGCGCCTTAAGCGCGATCTGCGCGCTCTAGTGCCCTGCGACCTGGAGGTCTCCCTCATTTGCCCCGAGGATCCGGTGCGCTATGCCTGGTACGGCGGCAAGGAGGTGGCCACCAGTCCCAACTTTGATGAGTTTGTGTACACGCGCGAGGACTACGAGGAGTACGGTGCGCATGGCCTAAGCCAGCGGTAGTCCTAAGGATAACTTTTAAGCTTGTAATTGTAACATTAAACCAGGAGCGAGATCATTTGTAGAACATTCCGTGTCTATATATTGAACTAGGGCTAAGAGGACAACTGCCACGGGTCACTTACCTAGCGCTAAGCATTGTACAACTAAAATTTAACTAAAAAAACACAACTTAACATTTAGCATTCGCTTGCGAAGTAGAATTTACAAGGGGGGTCTCGAGGGATCTCCATTTTGACTTGGTTAATTTACGGTGTCTGCGAGGCGGGTGTGTTGCCAGCGGATCTCCTCTCTGGATCTCCATCTCTGGCTTACATACTGAACGACTCTCCGCAGCCGCAGGTGCCCTTGATGTTGGGATTGTTAAACACAAACTCACTGGACAGCTTCGATTCCACAAAGTCCATCTCGGTGCCTACGGATTTGGGAGTTTATAATCATTCAATTAGAATGTCTGACTGAGTGAGCCACTTACCCAGCAGCGAGAGTTGCGCCTTCTTGTCGATAAACACCTTGACCCCATCCTGGATCACCTCCTCGTCCAGCTTATCTGCTGGCAGATGCGAATGCAGGACACACAGGTAAGGTTAGTAAGCCTTTTCAATTGGAAGATCTCCCCGACTTACCTTTCTGGCTGGCATAGTCCAGCGTGTAGGAAAGTCCATTGCAACCGCGCTGCCGCACGCCTACCTTCAGGCCGACCTGGCAAGAGGAGAGACAGCAAAAAGATTATGAATTTATAATACCCCACCTAACACTCTTGAAAGCCATCATCCTAATCAGAAAGACCTTGAACCTCAGAGTACCTCATAATCTGGTTCAACCACCCAAAAATTTATCATGGCATGAAAAGCTAAGGCTTAACGCTTAAAGATAAATTATAGCTCAAGTTGAAGAATGAAGAGATGCTGCCTTTGCCCTGCCCACTCACCATATCTGGCTTATCCTGCAGCAAGGTCTTGATCCGTTGCACTGCCGCGGGTGTCTGGAAAAGGAACAACAACAACAACAGAACGTAAACAACAGAGGAAACAGTGGACCGAGGACGGGAACCGGGGGCGGCACTGTTACTTCATCAGTTCGTCCGCGCCGATTTCACCACGGGACTCCGGCTCTTACCAGGGTCAAAGCGGCCCGCGTCGGGATCAGCTTGCGTCCCTTGACCGCGCGCACGGTCGCTGTTGCCACCACACGTGTAGCCATCTCGCTCCTGGGGCTTTATATAATTTGTTTTCCCACGATTTTGCGATTCGAAATTATGAGTTCTACTAGCTGGTAGTGATGACACCTACTGCCTATAGATGTCACGTGAATTATGGCTATCGATGGGTTTTATCGATAGGTGCATGAAGAGCTTGACAAATTTTGAGAAATCTGGAAAACAAACGGATAATTTATAGAATTTTGTGTAAATTAAAAATTAAATTAAAAATTTTACAATGTACATAAGACGTGAAATTGGGTTTTTAACTGAAACTCTCAGCTTGCTTTGATATTGGCTGGTAACATGTCAAAGTGCCATCCCTAATAACTGTATTTCACACGGTTCGATCGGATTTAATCATTATCACAGAAATAATAGTTAAACACAACAAAATGAGTGTCCTGAGACAATTGTACACAATCAGCGCAGGTCTGGGAAGACGTTCCCTGTGCGGCAAGGCGAGAAAAGTACAAAACGCAGCCTTTGGGACGCAACTACTGACTGCAGCAACCAGCAAAACACAATCAGCTGTTTTTGGGAGAAGCAACCACAATAGCCACTACTACACGTGCATCTGCAGGACGTGCACGTGCAGGTCCTTTCACAACAGTAATTCGGTTGTAAGTTTGGAAAAATTAATTTTCTAATTAATCTAATTCACAAAACAATGAAATACTTTATGGAATTATAAGAAAAATTATTTAAACTTGCAAGCAGCATGATGCGGACCAGACGGTGGCCACCAACAGCATTCCCCTGGCCGAGCTGCAGACGAAGATGCAGCTGATCTACACCTGCAAAGTGTGCCAGACTCGCAACATGAAGACCATTTCAAAGGTGGCTTACAATCGCGGCGTCGTCATTGTCACCTGCGAGGGCTGCTCCAATCACCACCTCATCGCCGACAACCTCAACTGGTTCACGGACCTCGAGGGCAAGCGCAACATCGAAGAGATTCTGGCGGAGAAGGGCGAGAAGGTGATCCGTCTGGTCGACGGCAACTGCGAGTTCCTGCCCAAAACCGATTAAAGAGACCCCGGTTCGCCGGGCTGTCGTTTTAACTATACACATAGGCGACTTTATTGAGCAGCTGCAGCAGCTGACCACCGGCAGCGGTGGGCAGAAGTGGGCGCAGCTGCTGGCGAAACTGCTGGCGGCAGGGGGAGCACGGAGCCAGCATCAGATGGGTGACATAGGTGGCCTCGTTGACTGGCAATTGGGCAGTCTGAAGAACGGGCGCCTCGGGTGTTAGCTGCATCTCCTCCAGATCCAAGTAGGGCAGCTGTCGGCTCCAATAGCCGATCAAGTAGGCGATCAGGCTGCTGGCCAAGCGGCCATGCTCCAGGCAGGCCCAGAATCTCATCTCGTTGGCGGGCAGGGCGACAAATGTGAAGATATTGTGCAGGAAGCTGGCACAGGCGGAGGAGGTGCCCTCCGTAAGCGTATCGCAGATCATGTGGCGCAGCAGGTGGCAGTCGAGGTGTATGCCACTCTCTCGGGGCTCCCGGAAGAGATGCAGCCACACCTGGAAGCCCACCAGCTGGAGGGAGCGCTGTAGCGCTGTCTCCATGTCCTGCAAGCTGGCCAATCGGCCGATACGCTTCACCAAGCGTCGCATCTGCTGCAGATCGACACTGATCATATCCTCGCTGGTCAGCGCCTCCGAATGCCGCATCTGCGTCCAGTCCAGGTCCCGAATTACACTCCAGGCCGGCTGAATCTCCGCCAGGGCCTTGTGCATCAGATGTAGCAGCGGCGCATGCTCCTCTCCACGTCGAGTGTTCACTATACCGGCGCACAGTTCCCGGATGCACTCTTGCCGCTTGTCACCAAGGAACCCATGCGAGTCGCAGCGTTCCGCCAGCGCCTCCCCGAAACGATCGTGGCACTCGAACAGGTACAGGGTGGCCTTCACCATAGACTCGACCAGCGACTGGCTAAGACGCAGGCGCCGGTGCTGCGACAGCATCTCCTCTTGGCATGCGCGCAACCAGGCCAGCAGCTTGAGACAGTGCGGCACCACGTCCTCCAGCTGGGTGCCGCTGGCTAGGAGCAGTTCCTTGCGTATAAACAAATCCATGACGCGGCGCCGCCGCCGCCGAGCTCTCTTATCGGTTCAGTGTGACCGTTGCCTGTTGGGACCAAGTTACCGAAGCCATTTGGGAGTAGGGAAGATCCTGGGATTGGGAAGATTGGGAAATTATCTGAATTTTCCGAAATAATAAACAAAAAACAAATCTATTACTAAGCCAAAAATACATTAAATTCACTTGAGAAAACTGTTCTTACAGCTTTTAAAAGGTTAAAAAATCAGCATTATTTATTTAAAATTTTGGGAAATTATTTTTTTTTTAATTTTTATTAGTTAAAAATATGGTGATTTTTTTTTTTTTTATTAAAATCCAAACTTAATAAATATGTAACTCAATTAAAAATCCATTAAATTCAATATGGAAAGTGGTTTTGTCTTAGTTTTTAAAGGGCTAATAAATCTGCATACTAAATTTAAGGTTTTTTAATTTCAGTTTTATTTGTACATTTTTAATCATTTTAATTTATAAAATATTATAAAATTTTGATAAAAAATGAAAAAAAAAAATAGTTTTTTTTTTAAGTTGGCCAGATACGGCCAGCATTAAGATCAAGAAAATATATGCTTTTTTGGGGTGGGAAATGACTTCTTCACAGGGTTTACTAGCTTCTTACTTAAATTATTAATATATTATTATTAAAATCAAATTTGATCAAATCCCACATACAACATACCCCCAAAAAAAGAATTCTCCGAAAAATGTATTATGATAAATGAGCGCTTACTCTCTTATTTTATTCCATTCTCCTTAAGTTATATCCGCGACTCATTGTTTCAAATGAAGATAAACATAAAATGCATAACATAGGGACTTAATTCTCTTACATCAAAATACTTTAATCCGTTTAATTATTTCCACCTGCCATTCATCCGACCTTTTCTTCGGTAAGTTCACTTAAGTAAATACGAAACCAAAGCGTATAACCTGTGGTGTGTGTATGTGTGTGTTTTGTTGTTGTTCTCCTTGTTTATGTGCATTTTTTACTATATACTACGCGTATCTGTATCATCGTTTTAGCTATTCTCGACTTGGGTTTCGTGTTGAAAATAAAGGTGTGTTTGTGTTTTGTTTACAATTAAATGTTTACTTTGCAAATAAAGAGTGTATGTGTGTGTGTAGACTTTTAGACTTACAAAAATTTAAGGATGTATACATTTTTTTTTTGGATTTCCTTTTTCTTGGTTTTTCTTGGTTTTTGTTTTAGTTTTTTTTTCTTTTTTTGCATGCTTTCTTCGACTTTTATCGGTTTTTCTTTTGAAAATTTAAGAAAATATATATTGTATATATATAGGCGCGAAAATTAATAATTAATTCAACATTTTTATATATACTATATAACTATATGTACCGTGGTGTACGTTATGTGTGTGTGTATGCAGTTTCTGTTTCTGTTTCTCTGACCCATTTCTCTCTCATTTATCTATCGTGGCTGTTCTGTATCCTCGTAATCCTTATTCTCTCCCCCGAATCGCGTGGCATTTAGGAATAGTTTTCTCAGCTTAGGCAAACCCAAAGCCCTCGGAGCACTCGTGTATGGCCTTGAGCAGGCAGCTGCGCAGCTTGTCGTATGACTTGTACATGGGCAAATCCAATTGGTTGAAGCTTTTGAAAAGTGTTAGAAAATCAAATAAATAAAACAGGAATATCAGAAATGATATAACAAAGATCACTTACCAGGTGTGGGCACAGGGCAAACGATCCGTGGATCGATCGTCGCGATGAATCTGAAACTTTTGTATGCCATTCATGCCCTCCAGCGAGCCAAAGCCCTGCAGTGGCACCTTGGAGGTGCCCGTCACGAATTGCAGGAACTTGGCCCGGTCCGCCTGGTCGAAGCTGCGCAAGGCGCGCCAGAACCATTGTATCTGGAAAGGGGGAAATCACGATTTAGAGAGGGATGCAGGCAAAGACTCTCTCGCTCTCTCTCACCTGTGCCGACTTGGATGTGTACTTGTGGTACTCGGTGTTGGCCTTTAGATCTTCAATATCAATATCCGGCAGGCCGGATATGAGAAGTTCCAGTTCCTGTTCGTTGAAAATCGATATTAAATGCTTTGGAATAATGTCGTAGAAGCCCTCCAGGAATGCGTCCAGTCTAGGGGAAGAAAGATAGAGAGAGTATGAGTATAAAAAATATAATAAATTATAAAATTAAAAAATACTCACTGCTGTCGTATGGAGCCGCTCATCTTGAGCTGGCACACCAGCTGGACATACTCGAACTTGTTCTCCTCGGTCACCGCTATGTCCCGGCCATTGGGCTTGAGATCCCGTATCTGGGTGACGCCAAACTCTTGGACCTCCGTGGAGAAGGTCAGTTCATAGCCCAGCGTGGAGATGTCGTTCTTCATGAGATAGTCGAGGCCCTTGTAGAACTCATAGTCCTGCGACTCCATGTCCGTGTGCTTCACCTGCTTGCCCAGGATGTGCTTGTAGAAGGAGCGTGTGAAATAGCACTCGAGCAGCTTGTTATCGTGAACGGCCTTGGCTGTGGGAGGAGGAGGAGGAGGATTTGAAAAGAGCTATATAGGGTAGGGGGAAGGGCTATATCCTTACCAATTACGCGGCCCACGAACTTGAAGTAGCTCAGGTGATTGGGATTGGCATGGCTCGAGGGATTGATCATGTAGGTGACGCGATCGCCCGGCGATACGCAGAACAAGGCATACATGGGATTGAAGATCTCGCGTGATATAATCACATACCATTCGCGCAGCAAACCGCCAGCATCCTGGCCCTCCTCATCTGTCAGGAAGAAGATTATGATCATGATCATGACCCTGCTTGTAGATGAAAACCAAACCCCAAACTCACCCTCGAAGACAATGTAAAATCGATTCTTCCACTCCTCTGGTCCCAGGCGGTACAACACACGGAAAGAGTCCTCAAAAACGGTGACACGTCGCACACTAACCGTATGCTCCTCGCGCCGTATACCCTCGTCCAGGCGCTCCAGCTCCGTTTGGAAGAATTTGCGCTTTACATCAAAGTCCAGGATGCGAGTATGATCCACCAGGACGGCAAAGGGGCCATCGGAGAGATGAGTGGGCGACTGGCGCAGGATCTGATTGAGCACAGTGCGATGCTTCTCGGCAAACTGAAGGAACTTCTGGCGATCCTGACGCAGCTGGGCTTCGTGAGCACTCAAAGCGGTGCTGGTGCTGCCGGCAGAGCTAGCCTGCTGCTGGTTGGGTGTATTGGTAGAGGCATCCTGCATCCTTGGCTCATCTAAATTATCATTTGTAGAGTTTAGTTTTAGTTTTGAAGAAAATCCCCTAGAGAAACTCACCTTCATAGCTGGTGTTGACACTGCTACTACCATCCTCCATGGGCGGTGGACTGTTCTGCTGTCGCTGCTGCTGCTGCTGCCTCTGGTTAGCTGCCGCCGCCGCCGCCGCTGCTGCCATCTCTGCAGCCAAGGCTCTGCCATTCGGACCGGCCAAAGAGCGCAGACCCAGGACAATGGCACCGCCAATTCTGGGCTTCTTTACAGCATTCCTATGCGAGGCATGGATCAGGAAGAAGGCCTCCACTGTTGGCTGCAGTACCAGGACAGCAAACTCATCCTTGGACTCCTCCAAGGCCACCAGGCACTCGCTGAGCGTGTGCCAGAGCACATCCAGGCAGAGAATCTGGCTTAGCGTGGGCTTGTTGTTGCTGCCGCTGCTACTGTTGCTGCTGCTGCTGTTCGTTGTGGTTTTGGTGGCCATGTTATTGAAGGATCTCAGGGGCTCATCCACATCCAAATAGTCTTCATCGTCCACCTCATCCTCGTCGCCATCTTGCAGGCTAACCTGTGGCAAAGGCTGCTGTTGCTGTTGCTGCTGCTGCTGCTGCTGTTGCTGCTGCTGCTGCTGAGGATTGGTGTCCATACTAAAGATAGACAGAGGCGGCGGCGAGGGACCTGTGCTCACCGATTCGGTGGCCCACATATTGCTACCCGTCGGAGGATCACCCAAAATGTCTATAAAGTCATCATCCTCGTGACCGCCAGAGCCAAGGGTTCTTCTGCCGCCTGATGCCGCACTGCTGCCTGCCCCCACCGTGGGCAGGATATCCGGCGAATCGTACATATCCCGCACCTGCATAAAGATCTTCAGGGTGCGCAGGAAGTAGGGCTGGGCGGAGGAGTTGGACATGAGCTTCTTCATCGACGGTAGCTGCAGCTCGCAGGTGGGCTTGGCATTCTTGGGGGCCGAAATGATGACATGTTCGGCGGTAAAGCGATCTTGCATGATGCCCTCGTTAACGGCCAGATTGGGCAGGAAACTGGCACCAGTGGAGGAACCCGAGGCACCTGAAGGAGCAGCAGCTGTAGATGATGATGTACTGGCCACACCCTGGTGACTATTGTACGCTCGAATCTCATTCAGCAGCGTCTGTATGGCCTGACGCACTTCCTCGGCCAGGCCCAGAATGGCCGCCGTCAAGTATTGTATAAATATGGCATTGGAGGCCTGCGAGCATTGCGTGAGATTGACTATCAGCTTGGCCACATTGTCCAAGCCCTCGGTGGTGCCGCACTGGTGGGTCAGCACCTCGATCACCAGCTGCAGCTGGGAGAAGTTCTTGGCATAGATCTTGCGCCTGGGCTTCGTGGGTTGCACTGGCAGAGCCACGCTCAAGGTGGGCAAAGCCGCCGGCTTTACCCCATCATTACCATCCCCAGAGGCTGGATTTCCACTGGCCGGGGTCACCTCCTCAGTGCTATTGGTGGCCAGACCATCACCAATCTCGCTGGCACTGCTCACCGCCGTTGTTGTGCCTCCTTCAGACGCCGCTGCTCCTGCTGATCCTGTGGCCTGACCTATGGGTATCAGCGGCGGCATCTGTTCCGGCAGCCACTCCTCCTCCTTGGGCAGCTCCGTGCTCAGCGAGGCCAGAAGCTTGACCAGCATATCAGTGAGATGTGGCGACCGGCAGATCACCTTGTAGGGCAGCATCTCCAGCAGCTGGCCAAAGGGTGAGTCGCTGAAGGACAAAAAGTCGGAGGTGTTGGTCTGCCACTCCCACGGTGGCTGCGAGGTGAGCGGAAACTGGTTGACATGCGACATACGCACTTGGGTCTGCCTGTCAATGTTGAGGACCACATCCCAGAAGTTCTTGGCATTGGTTTGGTAGGGCACGGATTGGGGGCTACCACTGGACGACGACACCTTGGCACTGGCCGCTGCCTTGGCTGCTGCCGCTTTGGAGGTGGAGGGGGCCTCATCTAAAGGAGGCTTTGATGATGAGGACGACTGACTGCTGCTGGCTGGCTGCTGATTATCCAGGATACCGCGTAGGCGATTGGCCACTTGGTAGCGACAGAAACGTGAACGAAAGTCTAGAGTTCCACCCGGTGGCACAGCGTCATCCAATCGAGGAGGAGGTGCAACGCCAGCTCTAGCGGTTTCTCCTCCAGCTGTGGGCCAGGGCATGCCTCCTGCTCTAGCGGTTTCTCCTCCAGCTGTGGGCCAGGTTCCTCCTCCGGCTCCCGTTCCTCCTCCTCCTCCTCCTCCTCCTGCTCCTCCTCCTCCGCCTGGTAAGCCCAACACCGCACTTAGAATGCGTCTTGTCTTCACCTCCCTATTGTAGGGCACAAAGCTGCTGGGATAGTGCTTGGCCAGGACAAACAACAGGTCCAGGCAATTCCTTACAATCATCTGAGCCGCCTGGGGATTTATGCTGATACTCCTGGCACTGCCCTCGTACATTCTGTTGATCAGGAAGATGTTGCTCTTGTAGCCAAAGGCGGCATCCACGCGCAGCTTCAGCCACTCCGGCTTGCTACCCGCCTGGCCGCCGGCAGCACCAAAATTGGCATTATCCTCGTTGGTCTTCTGGACAATGCTGATCAGGGCATTGATAATCCAATCCCTGGTGGGCTCATGGTGACACAGATTCCTGATGACCCGATGCAGTCGCATGCTGTAGACCTTCTGGTCCTCCACGAACAGGAACAGCAGCAAGGTGGCCAGCGAGTCGGGATCAAGCAGGATATTCTCATCCTCCATCATAAGCAAGGCCAAGGGCTTGCCCATGGGCGCCAGCTGGTGCGGATGCGGATGATGGTGGACAATCGTGGTGTGCTGATGATGCTGGGGCTGGGCATTGCCGCTGGCATCATACCAAATGGAGCTGTGCCAGCGGGCCTCCTCCAGGCTCTGGAGAGTGGTCTGGAAGCGGGCTAAGGGGGGTGGAGAGATCATTTAACCTATGGTTTCTCTCAGGGATTAGGCAAGAAAGGAAACTCACTCAAGGCATTGCTGGGCGGATGGGCATCCAGGCGGGCGCCATTACGCGACTCCCAGTCGCGACGCAGGAACTGTGCCTCGGCTGCCAACTCCGGTGGCAAGCTGGCTATCTGTGACTCCTCCATGTCCGTTAGGATCTGCAGCCGGGTTAAGCCAAGATTCAGGAAAGGATTCAGTAGAAAAAATCTTGAAAAAACTCACCGCTTGTCGCAGATTCTCGGGCAGATTCTGAAAGAAGGCAGCCGTGTCCACGGGATCCTCCGGATTGGCACTCTGTGCCGCCTGCCTCTGCTGCTCTATGCGCTGCTGCATCAGCACCTCCGACTGAATGTTCAATGGCAGGGCGGCCAGGAATTCGGGATTGACCTCGACCAGCGAGTCATGGGCTATTTGGATGGCATTCTGCTGGGCACGCTGGCGGATGCGTTGCATGCGCAGATGCTCCTGGATCACCTCCTCGCGCATCTCGCTGGGCAGGGCGGCCAGGAAGGAGGGATCAACGCCCTCGGGCACCTCCAGATCACCAAGAGCGGCACGCACTTCTGGGCTCATGTCTGTAATGGTGGCTCCAGCTCCTGTTGTTGTTCCTCCTCCTCCTCCTCCTGCTCCCGCATCTCTGCCCTCTCCCGTCTCCGTACTAACCGCTGTGGCTCCTCCCGCTTCCCCTCCTGACCTGGGCTCTGCCTCTGGCGCCGTTGCTGCTGCTGGACTGCTTTCAGCTCCACCCTCCGCCGTCTGACTGGATGTCTCCGTGGCCCTTTCCCTGGGATAAGCCGTGAACCAAGGTTCCTGACTCGATGTCTCCGGGTTTTCCCTGGGATTAAGTGTGAACCAAGCATCCCTTAGGTTGGCAGCTACTACTCCTTCCGACTCACTACGCGGCATCCAGCGTGCCAGAGCTTCCAGACCATCGTCACCATCTTCATCCTCATCCTCCTCCTCATCCTCCTCATTGTCAATGAGCACCGCCGCCGCCGCTGCGGCATCATCACTGACCACTGCTGGCGCCGGCGGCGGTGGTGGTGGTGGCGGTGGTGGCAATATTTGCGGTTCAATTTGCACCACCACCTCATCCTCCGGATGGGCCTCCTGCAGGGGCATGCCCAGTATACCACCACCAACCGGCGGCATCACATCCACCTCCAGAGACGAGGGCAAGCCAAAGTTATTTCGATTCTCGGAAGGTGTCTGGCCCAGCTGCTGCTCCAGCGTGGAGAGTATGGCAAGTCCTTGCCCAGATCCTGCAGATCCTGATGACGCATTGTTGCTTCTTTGTCCCACAGCGGCGCTATGAGCCTGCACAAGACGCTGCAAGCGGGCGGGCAAATCCCGATTGGGACGAGAGCTGCTGCTGCTGCTGCCCGAGTGTCGGGATGACGGATACAGGCTGTGGTTCACGGGGCGACTGCGAGAGGTCTGGCGATCGGCCAGCTTGGACAAGAGTTAGTATATAAGCCATAGAGTAGAGAGTATGTGTGTGTTTCGTTACCTGCATTAGGAGCAGCTCGGCATCATCCAGACGGGAGTAAGGACGCAAAGGCCTGCCGCTGGTGTTGGTGTTGCTGGTGGTGGTGGTGGGCGAAGGCAACACCAAAGGTAGCCGCTGATTTGGTGAGGAGGAGGCGGACGACGAAGAGTTGGTGAAAAAGTTCTGGTTCACCTGACCCTCAGCTCCTCCTACTCCTACTCCTGCCTCCGGCGTTGGATTGGCGGCGCTGCTGGCCCCTTGGCTATCCGTTTCGTTGGTCAAATCAATTTCAGCGTAAATGTTGAAGATAGATGGGGCACCTGGACGTCCGCGTCGGTGTCCCCGTGTGGCCGTCGTGGTAGTTTGGGATTCGGCCGCGCTGCTGCTGTTATTGGAAACTGCCAAGGGATTGGGGATTAGTTAATGGATCAAAGCTAATCCTTTAGCTTCTGTACTCACTCGTTGTGGGTAGTTGTAGGAATGGGCTGTGGGTGGAGGCACCGGCACCTGCTCCATCGCCAGAGCCCGCTGCTCCTCCTGATGGGGCTGCTGCTCCTCCTCCTGCTGGTGGTGCCGCTCCTCCAAAGTTGGAGGGAATCAGCACAGGAATGGAGCTACGACGGGTTCCACCTGTGGCCGAGGCAGCCACTGGTGGCACCACCACTGCACCACTGTTTGTGCTTGTTCCCATAAACGATGTGGTTGTAGATCCTCCTCCTCCTCCACCCGCTGGCGTGGTCACGGCTGAGGCTGGAGCTGGTCCAGTTGCTGGAGCTACTGTTCCTGCTCCTGCTCCTGGCGGAGTAGCCGCATTGTTAGCCGCCGCTGCCACCTGGCGAGCAGTTTCCTCTTGCTTGCGCTGCTGGTGAGCCACCTTAAGCTCCTTGATGAGATGCGGCAACAGGAAGTGGGCAGCATATAGACAGGCATCCGTTTGGCTTTCCATATCCAAAGCCTTGGCCTCTTCCAGCCACCAGTGGAGAGCTAAAAAAAAAAAATGAGACAAAGAAAAAGGTCATTTTCTGCTCTTTCTCCTCCCGAAAGGATTACAAAACAAAACACTCACCATCCTGGGTAAAGGTCTCCATCTGGGTCTCCTCGGTTGGATTCTGATGCGTGGGCATGCACACGCAGTACTGCTGGTCCAGGTAGAGCAGACGCCTTCGCACTCCATTGGTGCAGAGAGTGGCATTGGGATGCTGGGCAGGGGCAGTGCCCCCACTTCCACCACCACCGCCACCGCCATTGCTGGTGGTGCCTGAACCCGAGGCTCCTGCTCCGCCTGCTGCTGCTGCTCCTCCTCCTCCTCCTCCACCCGATCCTGCTCCTCCTGCTGATCCATCACCTCCACGCGGTTGTTCCTCCAATAGATTGCTCATGTTCTGGCCACTGCCAGAGGCCACGCCCTGGACCAGCGAGGGCGTTAAGAAGGCATTCACCTCGCCACCATTGGCAGTGCCACCACCACTGGTGGTTGCTCCCGTGCCGCTGCCAGAGGCGTCACCGGAAATACTGGGAAGCGCTTCGCCCAGAAAGTTCAAATCTGGAGCCATCCAAGAACTGGATGAGGGACGCAAGGCGTTGGATGTAGAGCTGCTGCTGCTGCCGCCGCCTTGGCCACGCATGGAGAAGCCGCGCAGGGAGAAGCCACCGCCACTGGCAGAGTTGCTGGACGAACCAGTGACACCTGAACCGCTGCCACCGTTACCGCCATTGCCTCCAGTACCTCCATTACCACTTCCACCACTCCCACCGATGACATCAATGTCCAGGGGCTGGGCAATCTGGGCAATGGTGCGGTTCATCCTCACCCGGAAACTATCCGGCGGCGTGGGCATCAAATGAGGACTATCGCCCACCAGGTGCTCATACAGATAAGCCTCCTCCTCGGCCTCGGCGGCGACACGTGTGGGATCTCCATCCGGATCGCGATCATGGTCCGCATCATCATCGTCCTCATCATCATCGTCTTCATCGTCGTCGACCTCATCGTTGCCCGGATTCGTTGTGCGATTGGCACAGCCATCGCCCGAGGCATTGACCGCTGCACTGCGTCGCGGACGCTGGCTGGATGTGGTCAGGCCAATGGCCATGTCTATTTGGTTCTCCAGCTCGGCATCGATGATGCTCTGGCGCTCCTCACGATCCTCATCGTCGCCATCATCATCCTCATCATCGTCAACATCCTCCTCATCCTCGTCATCCTCGTCATCATCATCGGCATCCACATCGGCATCATTGGAGGCCGTTTCCGAGGATTCCGGTTCATAGATATGATCAAAGACTTCGATAAATGGACGCTCTTCATCCACATCCGTTTCGCTATGCTCATCCACATCCTCATCGGGCGCATCCTCATCCTCGTCCTCCTCCTCCTCATTGCGCTCATCATTCTCCGTGGAGGCATCCGAATCCGAATCAGTGGTGCTGACATCACCCAAGAGCGAGGCATTTATCTCGCGGAGATTACGTAGTCCCTGGTCCGAGGATGTGGAGGCGCCATCACTGCCACCGCCACCGATTCCACCGATTCCATTGTCGTTTACAGAGTTGGGATTATTGGCGCCGGCTATGCCACCACCACTGCTGTTATCCACATCCACATCGGGAACCGAGTTGTTTCCCGAATTTGTGGCATTGCCTCCAGTTCCGGCTACTCCGCCGCCGCTGCCTATGGCATTGCTGCCATTCTGCTGGGCAGATGAGCTTCCGCCGCCGCCGTTGGCTCCACTGCTGCTGGAACCATTACTGCCAATGGCCCGCGAGGCCAGACGCAGTCCCTCGCTCTGGAGGAAGTCATCCCACAGTTGATCAAAGTTGAGTACTGGACGGACGGGTCCAGAGCCGGACTGATTGCCGCCGCCAGGAGCCGAGCTAGAGGCTGGAGGATGATCGTTGGTATCTCCGCCATTGCTGCGCTCTTCGACCACATCGATAACAGCGGCGGTGACACCGCCACCTGAACCGGTTCCCGAGGCACCACCGCCGGCTGCACCACCTCCTGCTCCTGCTCCTCCCGCTCCTGCATCGTCTGCATCCACGGCCATTTCATCCGAATTGAAAATAAACTCAAAGGCATGCCGGCGATCCGAGAGCACATTACGGATTATGTCACGAAGCACATGCTCGCCGGCATTGGAGCGTTCGGCATTCAAGGCTGCTCGTGCCGCCAGGCGAGGATACAACCTTCGATTGATGATGGCTCCATAGGTATTGAGCGATCCCGGCCCAGAGCCACCGCCGGTTACATTGCTGCCGTTATTAGTACCGCTGCCAGTGCCATTGGCTCCGCCACCAGCTCCTCCTCCTCCTGCTCCGCCGCCGCCAAAGAGTATCCGTTTGGAGCCCAGCGTTGTGGTGGAGACACTGAATCGTAACAAGATCTCCATGGGCCGCAGGATGGCGGCCAGAGTGCTCAAAGTATTGTGATTCGACAGATCCTTGTACTGGGCCACCTTGGTCAGGTAGGTCATCACACCCTGCCGAAGGAGCACCCGGTACATGTTGTTCCTGTGCATGTGCACCTTGTCGTACAGCATCGGGGACTCGATTAGGTTGGGGAACAGGCTCATCAGGACCTGCAGGCGTGTGTGCTTCTCGGATGAGTCCGGCTGGGCCAGAGCTCGCGCCACTGCGGCATGCAGCTCCTCGGCTACCTGCACCTGGACACCCGGCTGCTGGTAGCAGTCCGAGAGGGAGCACACCAGCACCCGGGTCATGGTGCTCACCTCGGGGACATGATGACGCTGGGTTAGAGGGAGGAACCGATCCAGTAGAACGCCCAGGAAGGTCTGCTGGGGTGCCGAGATCAAGGGGCTGTCGGCCGGCGTGTAGATATGTGAGAGCAGGACACGCGGCACCAGAGATTGATAGGCACGCGTGGCGTCCGCCAGAAGCTTCAGCAAAGTGGCTCGCGAAATCGTTGGCTTGGCATGGCTATGGGCGCTGGTGGGGATGTGCCAGGTGCAGCAGCAGGGCTCAAATTTGTCCGAGGCTGGCTGCTGCTGTGTTCCTTGCTTCTTGCTTGTTGTGGCTTGAGTAGTGCCAGTGTCCTGCTGCCTCACGTCATCCTCGTGACATAATCCTCCTCCTCCTTGGGCTTGCGCTGTGCCCGGCGGCTGATCCGGCTGCACTAGCTCGGCAGCTCCCTGACCCCGGTCCGTGGAGGCTGTGCCGCCATAATGCCAGCAAGGCTGCACCAGTCCATGCAGCAGATCCTTGAGCACGGCCACCGAGGACTGCACTTGCGGATCATCCTTCATCAGATCTTGGTCGTCTTGGTTTTTAGCCGACTGCGGCGATGTTTGGTTCTGCGGTGTGGCTCCGCCTGCCGCCGCCGTGGGCTGCTGGCCAAACTTGGACTTGACCATCACCCGGGCATCATCGGTCAGCGTGGAACTGCTAGAGTTCAAGAGATACTCCCCCTTGAGCATCTCCTTGGCGGCGGCCACAAAGATCTGGGGATTACGGGACACCGCCGTTGAGACCTGGGTGAGGACATAGATGAGGTCACGATGGCCCACTGGAACGATTCCAGCTGCCCGCATGCCCAGCACACGTTCCATGGCCTCCTGCAGCACGGGCGGGGCTTCCAGGACATGTCGTAGGATGATGATGGCATAGGTGGGGAAGCCCATAAAGCTGCAGGCCTGCTGCAGGTGGAGCAGCATCCTCACTCCACCCCGCCGGATAAAGACCTGGGCGTTGTCGTAGTTGCGCGTGAGCCGGGCACACAGACGGAGTAGCGATAGCTTCGTCTCGTTGTGGAGCAGATTCGCCGGCTTGAGGAGATCCACAATGCTGCCAATGATGCGGCCGCAGTCGAACTTGCTGAGGCCCACCTGCTCCTCATTCAGGATGATCTTTTGTGTGCGCTTGGGTATGGGCGGAGAGCTGCCCGTTGCTTGCGAGGAAGAGGTGGTTGTGGTGGTGGAGGTGGAGTTGGAGGAGGAGGACTTGGCCTTAGCGGCAGCAGCAGCGGCCAAGGCGTTCTTTTGCCGGGATTTGCTGCGTGTGGTCATGGCCGGTGGCGGGGAGCCACCACTATTGTCCTCACTAGGTGGTGCAGCGACTGCTCCTCCTGTACCACCTGTACCTCCTGTTCCTCCTTCTCCTCCTCCTCCTCCTCCTCCTCCTCCACTCTCCCCCTCCTTGTTGGCTGCATTCTCCGCCGGCTGACCATCATTAAAGTTAACCAACTGACGCAGTGGTATCAACTCATCCGTTTGCACGGTCCCCGTGCCATCGGGCGAGGTGCGTATGATCCTATTCAGAAAGTTATCCGCCCTGGGCAACACCACCGGATTGTTCATAAACCCAATGGCCTCGCTTAGCTTCAAAGCGGGAAACACAGGACGATGGGTTCCGGAGGCCTCGCTCACCTGGGTCATGCAGTTCAAGCTCACGGTGCACCGCTGCCTGCCAATGTTGATGTGCAGCCAGCGTTCGCCGGCGGCATAGGCATTCCGTATTAACTCATTGTTGGCCTCCGAGTAGGCATTCCATTTGCCCGTGGAGGCATCATACCAGCGCCATACATCACTGCTCACCGCCCGCATGTTGGCCTTGCGCTGGAGGATGTGGCTAATGCTATCGATGGCATCTATTAGATCCACCAAATTCTGTACCCAACGCGGCACCATGGGTCGGGAGGTTTCACTCGCCTGCTCCAGCATCCATTGACTCATGCAGTCGAGGAGCTTGACCAGGGACACCATGGCATCTTGGGCTGTAATGGCCTCCACCAGTGGACGATGCAGATCACTGTAGTTCTCCTCTAGCAGCAAAGTTGAGGTCTTGAGGCGCACAAACAAACGGGTGGCCGTCATGCCCGAGAGGCACTCTTCCAGGCGGGAGGAGGTGGAGGAGGCGGAGGCGGAGGAGTTACTAGTGCCCTTTTCTGGCTCAAAAAGCTGCAGGGTAAAGTCCACCCACTGGATTATGTTGCGCACAAAATTGGTGACAAACACCTGCTTGTTGAGGTGATTGTGGCGCCTGTAGAGGACGGCTATCAGATCGGCGGCACTGTTAACGGTGTCGGGTATGGCCTCCATGAACTCAAAGGCCCGGGAGATGGCCTCGTCGCAGAAGCGATCAAAGATCAGCGAGGGCATCAGCTTCAGGTGCTTGTAGTCGTACGTGGAGGAAGATGATGAGGACGATGAGGAGGGTTGTTGGGAGGCCTCACCAGAAGCACTGGGAGGAGCAGCACCAGCAGTAGCACCATCCATCTCCATGTCTATGTCCATTGTGGCGCTGCTGCTGCTGGTCGGTGGCAAGGGCGGCGGCGGCGGCGGGGGAGCAGCAGATCCTCCTGCTCCTCCTGCTGGATTATTGCTGCTGCTGCTGCTTCCAGGCTGCCACAAAGCACTTGCCTCGGGATTGTTTAGCAGGTAGTCGGTGGCCTCCTCCAAGGATGCATTGCTGCGCAGCGCCTCGATGACATGGTAGTGCATAAAGCCCATGTCCGTGAGCATCTTGATGTGCTCCGCATTCAGGCCATCGTCCGAGCTGCGTATGTACAGATTCTCAAACTTGATCTCCTTCATCCGGGTGTGATACCGATCCAGCAGAGTCTGATGCGACTTGATCAGATGCTTCAGGATGAGGATCATGGTCTCAAACATGCTGGGTCCATAGTTGGGTATGGGGCGACGTGCCCAGATCCGGCGCAACGCCTGCATGGCCAGCTGGTGGATGTGAATCAGGTAAAAGACCGGCTCAAAGGGCACCGAATCCGGCAGATAATTCAAGCGCGGACTCATCGTGTAGGGGGAGTCCAACATGGCCCGGGGATTCACCATCTTCTCGAGAAGCTGCAGCCAGGCATCGAGGAACTCCCCAGTGCCCTCCGGACAGTCACGCTTATCATCCTCATGCGCCACCATCAAATCCTCCATGGAGGCCCACTGATCAAACTCAAACTTCTGGGAGACATTGTCCAGGGACAGCGCCCAGTAGAACATCTCGAAGAAGGCTTTGAGGCCATTCTCGGCACAAAACTGCGAGATCATCAGGTGGAAGGCGCTGCGCTTGTCATCGAACAGCATGGGCCCCGTGAAGCCCACCGAGCAGATGAGGAAGGTTAGCTTCAGCTTGGGCACTGGCTTGGGCAGGATGCTCTCGTGACTGAACCCATTGACCAGGATGGAGCTGAGGATTCGGGCTATTTCACGAGCCTCCGGCGTAGGAACTTTGTTGATATTGCTGATAAGATCGTTGATTCTTCGCTGCCGGGTCTGTGGTGAGCCCACCGATAGCTTCACCAGGGTACCTAGGAGCTCGGCTAGGGCTCTGCCCAGACGGGAGCTGGCCGCCAGCAGGGATTTGATGTACCGGAACTGCTCCTCGGGCGTATACTTGGTACGAAATTCAGCCGCTCGCTCCAGCTTGCGAGAGAGCTCCGCCTCGGTCAACGGATCTGAGGTGCCCGCTGCCGCCGACATTTGGGCGGCAATCTCATCCCAAATCAAATCCGGATGCTGTGTGGGCTCATCGGAGCACAGATTCAGCAGTATGGTGCTCTCCCATACCAGCGAAATGTAGAGCTGGACGAGCTGCTGCAGCAGCTGGACGCCCGTCTCCCGATTAACGCCCCAGCGCTTGAGGAGAATGGTGCGCATCCCGTTGGAGGCATTGCGGCAGAGATGCACCAGCATCACCACATAGCCATGCACGAAGCTCATGTTGTGCAGAATGGGCGTGTACTCGGCATTGGCGAAGCCATCCTCCAAGCGCTGGCAGCAGACGAGCTCTGCAAGCAGGACACTGCCGCCGGGAAAGGTAAAGTGCTTGATCAGCGGCTTCAGCTGGGCCACAATGTCCGCCAGCTGATTGAGTGCCACATCCAGGACCTTGGTCTCCTGCGCCTCGGTGAGTATAGCCTTGCAGACATTGGCCACCGCCTGCGAGGTGGTGGACACAGGCGAATCCACTGGCAGATTGGGCAGGGAAAGCAGCTGCAGAATGGGCTTTAGACCACCATGGAGCACAAAGTCACGGCAGTGATCGCCATTGGCACTGTTGCTAAAGATGGCCTCGATGAACTTCATCACGTTCAGGATGTAATCAATCAGGGGAATGGCCTCCCGTTCCGGTGGCGTGGCCACCTTGACAGCCTGCGAGGTTACAGCTACACCTCCTGCTCCAGCTGCTGCTCCTCCTCCAGCTCCAGCTGCTCCTAGCACCTGCTGCTGTTGCTGCTGCTGCTGTGTCCTAGGCGTGGTGGCGGCACTCACCTGACCGGTCGTCGTCGTCGTTGGCTGTTGTTGCTGCTGCGAGGCGGAGCTCATCTCATCATCATCGTCATCATCCTCGCCGCTGCTATCGTTCGTATCGGCAGCACCTTGGAGCACAGAGACACCGCCTCCAGCACCGGCCACCATAACCATAGGCGAGGGTGCCGAGGCCACATGATGAGCTGCACCATGGCTGCCCGATCCTGAGCCAGAGCCGCCGCCGCCGCTCTCCTTGTTGGCACGCCAGCAAATGAAACTGGGATCCGAGCCCAGGCGTACCAGCTCGTTCAGGAGCCGCACAATTGCGTCGGTGGCATCCGCTCGTAAGTAAGGATGATGCTTGAGCAGATCATCCATGGCATTGCCCAGATTGGTGGCTGTGTCGCCCAATGGGTCCGAGGAACGGCGTCGCCGCATGGCCACCAGATAGTCCGGCGAGAGCAGCACCTTCAGCACCTTGTCGAACGGATCGTACGATAGAAACTCAAACAGTCCACGCTCGTTGAGGCACAGGGCGGAGAAGACATTGGGCAGGGAGCCCAGAACCTCACGGGTGGCCGGCACATCCTTCTGGAGCAACGCCTTCAGCATCACACTGGTAATGCCCAGATCCTGCAGCGAAGAAAGCAGCGAGGGCTCGTTAAATACGTACACGGTGACCACATCGGTGGCCAGCAGAAAGAGCGATGGTCCATAGTACTCGGCATTGGCGATGATGTGACGCAGCGACTGTGTGAGGCTGGTCTCCATTATATTCCGCATGTTGCTGAAGTGAGCATGATCCTGGATGCTCTTCTTCAGGAAATTCAGCATCGACTTGAGCAGAGCCGCTCGCTGGGTAACGCAGGAGGGTTTCTTCGGCTGCAGGCTGCTCGGCAGCTGCGACGAGAGCTCCGCCTTGCGCTCGGCCAGCGGCCGGGCATAGTAACTGTTTGTGGGATACATGGGCGGTCTGGAGGTGCTGCCGTCTCGGTTAATGGGGCCAGGTGGTCCAACTTCGCCCCCAGCGAGACTACGTGCTACGTTCAGGAGACCGGCTCCTGAAACGGCTCCGCTGCCATCACTCGAATTCTCAGGACGGGGGGAACCACTGCCACTGGCTATGGAAGCATTCTCGCCGGTGCCATCTGGGGGAAGAGTTTTGAAAAGATTCGTTGTTTATTAGGAAAAGACATAAGAGAGGTGAGATTATGATTATAATGGCATTGGATATCGATTTAGACATGTTTAAACCAGGAAAATCCAAGATATGAGGGAGAGGCAGGATTACAAAGACATTATATCCGAAAAGCTCGATTCCTCTTAGGAATATTAGAAATTCTAGAAGGGATTATGTTGATTAGAAACAATAACCAAGGAAAGGAGTCTCAGTTCCACGTATTATTTAGGATTCGGATTACAATGACATAAGATAGGGAAAGCTGTCCCCTGTTTTTTGATTCCTCAAGATGAGAGCTTGCTTATTGGATTAATTTCCCAGCCATAAGGCAATCTTGGAAGTCAACCTGAGACCACCAGTGGATGTTTACCGTTAAGCGTTTAAACAGAACTAAAATAAAACCTGTTTATGCCCAGGAAGAGTTCAAAAGGAAACCCAAAACCAAACCAAACCAAACCAAAACCCCCAACCCTAAACCCCTAAACTCACCTTCCACATCCTCATCGACTTGATCCAGCGATGTGTCCAGCTTGTTATCATCGCGCAGCGTTGACTCCTTCAGGGTAATGCCAATGTCGGCCAGCGCCTTGCAGCAGCTCTTAATCTCCTTCTCCAAACGGTCAATAAACACATTGAGACCATTGTTTTGATGGAACCGGGCAATGTCTATGTTGGTGATCAAGTCTATAACGCGCACAGCCCGCGTCACAAATGTTATATGCTCGAGATCAACGCCCGGCCAACTGATGACGCACAGCAGTGACTGCATCATGCCGCTTTTGACCAAAGCGGATCCACCCATCTCGTAGCTAGCCAGATGGTACAGCAGCGAGAAGAGCGAGGTGGCCAAAATGAGCGGATAACGCTCGGTGAGTCCATGTGTAGTCAGGTTATCGATGCAGTCACGCACCAGCAACGGCAATGTACCGCCCTGCCGCTCGGCTCCCGTATAATGGACGATCTTCATCAGACGCGAACCGGCCCTGCTGCACAAGAAACAAACAAAAGTTGGGAGGCAATTATCAAGGGGATCCCTAACACACGGACGAAGACAACCCGATCGCTTACCTGGGCACATTGGGATTGCGGTCAAAGTGCAGCATTGAGGTGAGAGTACGCAGCACTGCTGCTCGTATCTCCACCAGATGCACATCCTCCTTGTCTATGAGCTCGCATAGCTCCTCGCCAAAGCCGGCATACAGCACCTTATCCGTGTTGTCCTGCAGGGCATTGGAGTAGATCAAAATGGAGACGGCCTGCAGGCGGGCTTGGACGAACTGCAGGCGCAGCTTGTAGTTGTTGAACCCGGAGATCAAGCGCACACGATGAGCAATGCGCATCTGTAAAAGGAATCGAATTTAGTAAGGAAGCAGGGGGAAACCCTACGTGAGAGGTTCTTTAAGAACTCACCTTGATGGCCTCACTGGGCTTTGAGATCTGTCCGGCAATCGTCTTGATCACCTCGGGAGCTGCTGCCGTGTGGCAGAGGTCCATCATGTCCGGGATTTCTAGCTGGGCGGCGTGACCGTGCTCGTCCACATAGTCGATGCACAGCTGGTAGAGAAACTCCAGCTTGGGCTCGCCGATGCAGCAGTCCTTGAGCGACAGGCCGTAGTTGGGATCGCCCCAGCGCTGCATTTAAATTAAAAGAATTACAATCAGGGGAAAATCGCAAGGGGAAAAAAAGACCCACCTCGGCTATGTTGAAGAGCTTGACAATCAGCAGCTCCTTCTTCTCGAATGGAAGGCGGGGTATAAAGTTGCTGCGCTTGGAGAACATGTAGAGCAGGTTCAGGACGGCCAGGACTATGTCCATGTTCTGTGAGGAGAGCAGCTGTGTGAGGTGCTCAATGGAGTTGTACAAGTGACGCGAGAACGAGTGCTCGATCAGCAGTGTGGTGAAATTGAGGACATGCAGCAGCAAAGTGACATCCTAGAAATCATAGTGATAGAATCAATTTCTTTCCTTTCCAGGATTATGTTTCTAAAAGCTTACCATATCCTGGAAATTGGTGTCACACTGCAGCACAAATTCATTGGCATTGACATGTCGCGCCGCCTCCTCGAGTATCTTGTCGAATCGGTCGAGTATCTCGATCCAGTGATAGAGCTCGCACTTGCCATAGATCCATACATGGACCGTGTCGAGGAACTCGAGCAGCTCTGCCCGGGTCCGACGCTTCGTCAGCTCATCAATGAGCTCGCGACACTCGGCTGTGAGCTCCGAGGAGCCCTTCTTCAGCTTCACCGTGTCCACCTTCATTGCGACTGTTTCGGTTTATGCGCAGCTAGCAGCGGTGGAGACGGCGGAGCAGCAGGTGGCCACTACCTGAGGGCAGGCAGGGTGCTCCTCCTCCTCCTCCTCCTCCCGGCTCCTCTGTTCTTCGTCGTCGTCTTCTGCTTCGTGGGGGCGTTAGACGTCGGTTGTTTGGATGAGGAATCAGGGATATTGGTGGTGGCACGGGGCGGGGGGGAGTAGTAATGGGTTGGCGGCGATCGTTCGGCGTCGTCGTTTGTTTATTGGTTGGGCATCGAATTGCGGCTCATATGTACATATATACGTCAGCGCGTTCAATGAGCTGCAAAGGTGTACGCGAAAATACGAATGTATGTTTATATGTGTTATTATCAAAATACAAAGGCCAGCACGGAAACGGGAGTAAGAAAATATAAGACCAAATAGAAATTTAAAAAAAATTTATAGAACAACAAAAGCACAAAGCCAATTTTGGGAGAATTTTATTGAGAAACAGAACTGATTTCGAGTTTCCTGTGACTATTCCGTTGCTGCCTCCGATTCTCTCTGACTTTTTCCGTCTCCCTTTCCCGTTTGACAGTCCAAAACAAAAGCGTAGGTCGGTGGCCGGGTGGGGGGCGTTCGGTTCAGATTCGAAAAAGTAACTGCACTTGTCAGCTGAGCCAATTGGACTTCCCTAACTGGGCAACAGAGCGCGCGCGCATTAACGGACTTTTCGCTGCGGATATATAGAAATGAGGTGTACGAGCGACTTGCGATTTCCGAATCAATTGTTTTGCACTATTTTTTTAATTTTATTTTTTACACACCCACATGCATGCACAGAGTGAGAGTGCGAGAGAGCGAGGGGGCACTACCTCACACACACGTATACACATACATATATACAATATATATATATATATATATATATATATATATATATATATATATATATATATATATATATATATATACGGACCTCAAGACACAACGCAACATGTTTGAGCAAAATGTCAAATGAGCGCCAAGCGCAGAAAACAGCAATGAAAGGTGCAAGGCAGAAGAAAGAGAGAGAGAGAGCGCGAAAAGATACGATGCGTAAGTCAAGGTTGGCAGCCGCAACAACAACACCGAAACAGAACAGGGAGACTGCAGCAAACTCCTTTTTCGCCAGACATATATGCATGTACTTACATACATACGGCCGACGGATTGCATGTAGGTTTCCTTGTATGTAGGAATGGTATGTATGTGTGCGTGTTTTGAGCCTGCGAGCTTTGCAGGTTGCAGAAACACACTTTTTCTTACACTTTTCCCGTAGTTGGCTTGATTCCCGGAATATTTGCAATTCACTAGAACAAGTGAAATTGAACTGCTTCTTCGCACACCACCACACAAAACGCACACCAGCGCACACGGGCAAATGCTAGCATTTGTATGTATGTGTGTCTGCTTCACCGAATTTTTCATTATTGCAGCCAGGCCAACAACAACAAAAACTCTCTCCACTCCTTTCAACAATGCATTTTTTTCGCCCTTTCCAAGGGATTCCGCACACGTGTTCACGAAAATATAAACTAGATGAAAAAAATAAACGAAAGAGAAAACGGATCAAGTACCGTAGCTTTAATGTATAAAAAAAAATAGATCCACGAAAAGAAATTGCCACAGTCAGAACAGAAACAATGCAGACGACGACTGTGTGTGAGAGTGTGGCAGCAGCAGCGCCTAGGGCTGTGTACGTGATAGGTTTCGGTCAAAAAGATGAAAGGCGCTGGCGTTGCGATACTCACGATAAGATTAAATGCAGCCAATGCAATTTGTTTAATTTAATAAATCTTCACCAAGCAAAGGCTACGCGAAAAGTGCAGTGTGCTGGCAGGTTTTCCGTTTATGGTGCTAAAAATCGTCGACCGGATTTTCAACTCCTCCGCAGCGGGTCACACTCGAAAAACGCGAGTGATCGAAAATGCAGAGCTGGAGTCTGGCAACGCCAATGCATTGGCCGATTTTCAGGCTAAAAAGTCCGTTTTTTAATTACAATAATTTAAATGTATTATTTATAAATTAAAACAATGTTATGCGTAAAATCCATAAAAATATAAGAGATAAAAAAAATTGAATAACTTTTTTTTAGAGTTTTGATGTCATATTTACAGTTTCTCTAAGGTTAGTGGTCAATTTGATCATGCAAGGAAGCTAAAGTCTAGGATCTTTAAGGATTAAAAGTTGTGCGGCTGCTGGATGTGTATGTGTGGAGTGGTGGCATCAGAACTGGACTGGAACTGGCCAGTTTCCGCCTCAAACAGCACCTGCTGGATGCGCAGCTTGGCCACAGACCGGGAATACGAGTCCATGATGGTGCGCAGCTGAGAGGCGATGCTCTGGCCAAAGATCACCAGTTCGTCCTCTCCGGCAGCGTCAAGTCCTGGCCCAGCGCTGTTGTACTTTACTTTTCGTGCGTTTGGATGCGTTGCTGGAAGCTGTTGTGTTTGCTGCTGTTGATGGGGATTCGTATGAAGATGAGGATGTGCTTGTGGCTGCTGCTGCTGCTGTTGTTGTGACTCGACCAAGCAAAGCGTGGAATCATCCATAATAAGCTCGGTCTTGCCACAGCGCCCGCTCTCCGAAGCCAGGGAAATAATGCAAGTGTTCTCCGGCTGTTCTTCCGGGCCAGGGTGCTCCTCCGTCTCTGGTTCGGGTTCCACCTCGCCCTGCACCTCATCATCCTCCTCCTCCAAGGCATCCTCGTTCATGCTGATATCCGCCGTGGCAGTGAAGAGCAATTTGCTCGGCGACGTCAGGGACTCCGTTTTGGCCGGCGTTTGAGGTGGCTTGATGTTCTTGGTCTGAGAATGGGGGATAGATAGTTACTTGCTTAGGCACTGGTCACGACTGCAACTCACCCGTTTGCAGTGGGAGAGCGACACGGAGCGCAGGAACGAGTCCGCCAGCTTGAACCAGAACAACTTGGGCTCATAGCTTCTGCCCAGCTCCTTCTCACGCATCCAGATGCGCAGCTCCTTGGAGTAGACAGTACGCACGCTTTTGATCTTCAGCTTGATGTCCACCACGGTCAGTTGGGGGATTTTGAGGGCCTTAATTATTGCATCGTAGGCCTTCTCACGGGATATGCGATTCTTGTAAGTGTCCAGAACCGAGTTGTACAGGCACGGCTGGCGGCGGTACGCCTCCAGGAAGTCCGTGATCGGTATCTTGGTATCGCTAAGCTTCGCCATGGCCAACTTGTGGCCTGTTTTGGGCCACCGCTCTCCACTTGCTACTCAAAATTAATCACCAATAACAGACAACAAAATTTTGTTTAATTTAATCAACCTAGTGTGCCCAGCTGCTTTTTTTTTTGTTGGAAGGTCTAACGCGTTTTTCTTTAAAGGCCGTGATATATATCGGTTCGTATTTTTTTTATTATTTTTTTTATTTTTTGTGGAATATATCGTTCGTATATAGCTTGTAAAGTTAACATTTCAAATTAAAAAACACAGGCTTTGTACTTGAAAATAACTTTAAGGAATCACAGATTATTATAAATTTAAAAAAAAACTGCTAAAAAAGAGAGCTGTTTTCAAATTTTTTCCCCAAACGCACGCAAAAATGCCAAATCTGACTGGAAAGAAGAGAAGATAAAGAAACACAGGATTTGTACTTGAAAATAACTTTAAGGAATCACAGATTATTATAAATAAAAAAAAAAACTGCTAAAAAAAGATAGCTCTTTTCAAACTTTTCCGCAAACGCACGCAAAAAAGCCAAATCTGACGGGAAAAGAGAGGAAATGACACCACTGCCGCGAACACGTGGAGACAGTCCCATCCCGTTCAGCTCAGTCGTCTCTCTCTTTTTCTACCGAAACGGCAGCACAGCAGCTGCTCCGTGCGTGCGTGTGTGCGATCCGATCCGATCAGTTCCCCTCCGATCCGAGCAGTTACATATCGTAACTAGCGTTAGACGTCACCCAACCAGCTCACCAGACTCCTGTGCGCGACACTTTCTTATTTATTAACCAGGTCCCCTCGAAGGTGAGTAATTGCACAGGCGGCAGTCATGTCATCTCTTCTCTCGCCGTGGAAAATTCAATAATGTGCGCAGCGCCAATACACATGCAATTTTCCGTTTCTGCGAGTCGTGTCGAGTCCCAAATCGCGTGTGTGTGCGTGTTGTAACATCAAGTGTGCGTTGGAGTGAGCGAGAAGGAGGGGGTTGGCAGGCGGCTGAGAGAGTGAAAAGAGCGCCTGAACAAAAGAACGAGAGCGAGGTGGCAGATCGTGTGTTGCAGTTTTCTTTTTTCTTTTCATTTTCCCCGCCATTTCCCCGCGTCTCAAGGTGATTCCTTTGTACAGGGTATCCCAAGATGAGTCAGTGTCCATTCAGACATCCCCGCCAGACGCGAGGAGGCCGCCAAGTATTCCCTCGGCAACAAAAAGTGTGTGAAAAAGTGTGCGGCAAAGCGAGGGAGAGGGCAAGAGGAAGAACACGAGCGAGGAGAGAGCGGCGCACAGTGGAAATTTTTGAATTTTTGCTGACGCTGTCTAATTTTAAAATTTAGTTCACCAAATTTTTTGTTGAAACAGTTGTGCTGCGCTCTGCTCTGTTAGTTTTTTTTATATATGTGTGTGTGTGTACGAGGCAGCGTGTGTGCGAACATCTGTTTGTGGCAGGAGATGCGCCTAAAAGCAGACAGCACGCGCTCATTCAGGTGTTCTCACATGTGATCCTGCTGCTCTCTCGCTCTCGCCTCCTCTCTTGCCCATAGCAACTGAGAGATTATCGCAATTTTTTTTTCTCTCTCTCCAAATTCCAAGAATTTTGAAGGTTTTCTAGAAAAAACCTGTAAAAATATATATATATTTTTTTGTTTTTATCTCCAAGAGGTAAAATAAAATAATAATAAATAATGTCTAGCCGGGGAACTATGTTGTAGCTTTTGTAGATAAGGAGAAAACCACAACAGACTTGAAACGTCTTCCGGTGCCACCTTATCGAGGTGCTTTTAACCCTATTCCCTTTGAATAGCACAAACCATGGATTTCTACTTAATTATTTATCTTGCATGGTTATTTTAAGTTAGACTTCGCTTACATTTGTTTTTATTCCCAAAATAATTGATTGCAAACTATAATGCAGTAATATAATGCCAACTGTTGGGTTTTCTTATGGAAATTCGCCTTGAATTAGGATTAATAGAATCCAGAGCCTACCTTGCGCGCTAGGATTGGTAGAATTTTCCACACTAATGCCAAAAAAAACCTCTCTAAAGTAATAACTGTCTCTCATTTGCAGCCCTTAATAAAAAATTTAAGAAGAATGCCATCCGACGCCAAGAAACGCGACGCGCAGCGCAAGAAGGATGCTCGGAACAAGAAGATCCAACAGATACCATCCACGAAGAAGGCCAACGGGCAGCCGGAACGCGAACTGACCGAGGAGGAGAAGCTATGCGCCAAGCTGGAGGAGGAGGCACGGATCAGTGCTGAGGCTCGCTCCTGTACCGGATCGCTGGCGGTGCATCCACGTTCGCGTGATGTCAAGATCGCCAACTTCTCGATCACGTTCTTTGGCTCTGAGCTGCTGCAGGACACCATGCTCGAGTTGAATTGCGGTCGGCGATACGGTCTAATTGGCCTAAACGGATGCGGTAAATCCTCGCTGCTGGCTGTGCTCGGTGGACGCGAAGTGCCCATACCACCGCACATTGATATCTTCCATTTAACGCGCGAGATACCGGCCAGTTCGAAGAGTGCCCTTCAGTGCGTCATGGAGGTAGATGAGGAGCGTATTAAGCTGGAAAAGCTAGCCGAGGAGCTGGCCATGAGCGAGGAGGACGATGCGCAGGAGCAGCTGATCGATATCTATGAACGGCTCGATGATATGTCCGCCGATCTTGCCGAGGTCAAGGCTGCCCGCATCCTGCACGGTCTGGGTTTCGACAAGGCCATGCAACAGAAACAGGCCAAGGACTTCTCTGGCGGTTGGCGCATGCGCATCGCCCTGGCCCGCGCCCTCTTCGTAAAACCCCATCTGCTGTTGCTGGATGAGCCGACGAATCACTTGGATCTGGATGCTTGCGTGTGGCTGGAGGAGGAGCTTAAGACATATAAGCGCATCCTGGTGCTCATTTCGCATTCGCAGGATTTCCTTAACGGCGTCTGCACGAACATCATTCACCTGACGAGCAAGCGCCTCAAATACTATACGGGCAACTACGAGGCCTTTGTGCGCACTCGCATGGAGCTGCTGGAGAACCAGATGAAGCAGTACAACTGGGAGCAGGATCAGATATCGCACATGAAGAACTATATCGCCCGGTTTGGTCACGGTTCTGCCAAGCTGGCGCGACAGGCTCAGTCCAAGGAAAAGACACTGGCTAAAATGGTTGCCCAGGGACTGACGGAGAAGGTATCGGACGACAAGGTGCTTAACTTTTACTTCCCATCGTGCGGCAAGGTGCCGCCGCCTGTGATCATGGTGCAGGTAAGAAATTCCTTTTTTTCTTTTGAAAATCAAAAGAGAATCCTTTCCAAAAATGTCAATTGCAGAACGTAAACTTCCGTTACAACGATGAAACGCCTTGGATCTACAAGAATCTAGAGTTTGGTATCGATCTGGACACACGTCTCGCCCTGGTGGGACCCAATGGTGCCGGCAAGTCCACCCTGCTTAAGCTTTTGTATGGTGATCTGGTGCCCACCTCCGGTATGATACGCAAGAACTCTCATCTGCGCATCGCCCGCTATCACCAGCATCTGCACGAACTGCTCGATCTGGATGCCAGTCCGCTGGAGTACATGATGCGCGCCTTTCCCGATGTCAAGGAGAAGGAGGAGATGCGCAAGATAATCGGTCGCTATGGCCTCACCGGTCGCCAACAGGTCTGTCCCATCCGTCAGCTGTCCGATGGCCAAAGGTGTCGCGTTGTCTTTGCCTGGCTGGCCTGGCAGGTGCCGCATCTGCTGCTGCTGGACGAGCCGACCAATCACTTGGACATGGAGACGATCGATGCCCTAGCCGATGCGATTAACGATTTCGATGGCGGCATGGTGTTAGTTAGTCACGATTTCCGTCTGATCAATCAGGTAAGCTGATCTATAGCCTATTTATGTTCTTTGAATAACTCTTAAAAAACTCTTTCAGGTGGCCGAGGAGATCTGGGTGTGCGAGAAGGAGACGGTGACCAAGTGGAAGGGCGGCATTCTGGACTACAAGGATCATTTGAAGAATAAGATCACCTCCGAGAACGAGAAGAAGGCCAAGGCGGGAAAGTAGATGCTATCCTAGAGTTAGTAACCAGGCTTACACCACACACACAACAAACACAACAAACACATACACACAGAGAGACATTCAGGCAACTATCATTGACCTCTCCCCCCTGCCCACCCGTTGAAATTAGTCTTGAGTTTTCACCAAATTACGCAGTAACACAGCATCCGCAAACAATAAACAAAGCAAAACCACAACAACAAACGGGGAGAAACACACACAAATTTTAGCTGAATTTTTTTCTTTTTATGTGTCGAATTAAAAAAAATAAAATTAAAAGGTACATATATAATAATAATATAATAGTTATCAACAAAAAAACAGGAGGAACTACCAACCAACAAACAACTACAAACAGCTTGTGATCTTGCGCTTATGTAATTTCGTTTAATTCTTCGCTAGGTTTCATATAAAAAACATATTATATAAAAGGTATATTTTATTTTTTTGTAATTTATTTACGCCTTATAATATATATACACATATATTAAACAATTAAAGCTACAATACAATAATATGATAATTGAAAATGTTCTGAAAATGTTCGCTATAACAACTGCCCTCCCAGGAGAGACGCTTGTCGTGTGTGTGCGAGAGATTTAATATTTCGAAAACGATAAAAAGCTGGATATTTCATGGAATATACAATGTATGTATGACGGAACACACACGGATGATATTATGATAGGTTATATTTGAACAAATTGGAATTGTAACAAAAGTGCAGAGCCAAAATATCGTATTAATTAGATAACTTAATTGAGAAACACGAAAGAATTGCTTGACAAAGGTAATACAAAAATAATAAACAAATTAAATGACCAAACCGAATTAACACAAAATTGTTTACTTACTTTAGCCACAGTTGTGCCACAACAAAATTTGAAAGGTAAATGCTTACCCCCCTTTAATACCTCAAGTTTCTAGTGAGGATTCGATTGAAATTGCTTACCTTTACCTAATCCAACCCAGAAGTAATATCCACTATATACACCACTCACTCCCAATCCGGATTCCCTTTATTTATTGTACAATTCCCATCAAATCGTGTGTGCTCAAATGGTTAAACATAATTTATTGCGTACATGGTTCCCTCTTCGTTTCGTTTATTGCGCTTTCACTCTTCTCATTCTCCTCGTCGTCGTCTTTTTCTTCTGTTTTTTGTTTTCTGCTGCGCGTAGGCACGTTCAAAGGTTAGTTAGTTGGTAGACTTGGTTACACTTAGCGATAGTTACACGGATTTCTCGTGTGGTCTAGTAGCTCCTGGCCAGATCCGCGTGCATCACTCGGAGCAGCTGCCGTTCCGCCCCGCTGAGGGCCCCAAATTCGGTGGCAAAATCACGTAGCAGATGCTTCAGGTCGCACATTTTGCGCTCCACCCAGGCGCAGGCAATCTCTGCCAGCGCATATTGCTGCTGCGATGGCACAAAGGCGCCCGGTCGCTCCACCGACGACGCTCCACCATCGTCGTCGCTACACGATTCGAACTGTGCCAGGCTATAGTAGTGCTCGATTAGCTTAATGTGCGCAGGCGATTGGCGGGCGGGCGGCAGATTCAGGTGAACCAGAAGCAGCAGACGCAGCACTTCCACGCGTCGCAGCAGCTCGCCATACATGCGAGCACCGCGCCGCTCATACACATTGTCCACAATGTCATCATAGTGCTGCAGGGCGCTCCGGTAGTCGCCCCGCTGTCCGGATGCCTCGGCACTGGTTTCCAGATCGTGAATTTGGTGGGTGGGCGAGGCAAAGCTGCTGGTGCTGTCCAACTGCCGCTGGAGCTGCTTCAGTTCACGTAAAATGGCCGCCTTGAAGACACAGCCATCGACGGCCCGCTCGGCAGCCCGATGGTAGCAGTGTAGTGCTCCCTCCCGGAAGCCCGAGTGCCGGGTGCGCAGATGCAGACGCCCGGTCTCGTTGTGGGCCCGCAGAAATGATCGGGCTGCCCGCAAATAGGCCTCCGACTCGCGCTGTGGCGCCCCACCATATGACTCGCATTTGGCATAGCCAATGTGGCACATGGCCGCGTACTGCAGGATGCCAGCCTCCTCGAAGCTGTAGGCCAGCCGCTGGAAATCCGCCTGAACGTCACCGACGCTGGGGGCAAAGCGTCTGAAAATGAATTATGGGTAATGAATCATGGTTGGATACTTCTTCTTGAGTTTTCTCAGGGAAACTCACTTGAAGAAGCCGGCTCGCTCGAACTTTTTGATCTTGCTGGAAGCTCTCAAGTATTGCTCCAAACTGGCACTCACAGCCCCGGCCCCTTGCTCCATCTTGGTGGCTCCTGCCGCTCTTGCCGAAGCCGGTTATATGGCAAATACCTCAATATTCTCAATATTTCTATATGCCCAGGGGTTTCTTTGTGTTTTTTTTGAGAGGAAATTGTGTTAAATGTAAAAGTTTGTAATGTTTTGTTTATTGGGGGCCAGTCGGGGTGTGACCAGATTTTAATAAAGCCAAAAAGACACACTAACAGCGGTGGCCCATAAAGTCCAATTGGAAAAAAGATGCAGTATTATTTGTTTGTTATTAAAAAAAAATCATATTTAGCCTGATTTTAAATCGCCTAATAATTTATAATTTAATTGCAGGGCATATATAAAAACATTTAGTTGGCTTTATAGAAATACAAGTAAAAGAATTCCCTTAATGTTTTCAGCCAAAGCTTACACCATGATCCATGTCTAATTGTATCCATGGCTTACTTGCCATAGTCTGGTCCCACTATATATATGCTGTCTTTTGTGCTGGTCACACCGGCACAGATACATCGCAGAAAAGGTCGCAATTTTTTTTTGGAGCAGCGCTCACATTCCGGAAATTCAGCAATTTTAAGGCGGAATTTAAGAATACCAACACACATCCCATCCCCGCACCAAGCAGCAGCGGCACAGGACACAATATGGCCATAGCCGAGCATGACAACGTTTTCATTTTTGTGCCAAATTTGATCGGTGAGTTGTTTTTGTTGTATGTTTTTGTCGAATAGATTTCGGAGGGGTAAACAAATCGAATATGTTGATTTATGGGCCACAAACCCACACAAACATACACACTTTGCCATTTGTATAATTGGATTAGTTGGGTGTGCGGCGTTCCTGACAACCTGGAAGCCCCAGTCAAAGTCAAGGGGCAAGCGACACCCCGGCAAGAAACCCCCCCTGCCCCTTCTTCTGTTCCTCCTCCTCCTCCTCCTCTTGGTTATCGATGTTTATAATTGATTTTTTTCCCACAGGCTATGCCCGCATCGTTTTGGCCTTGATCGCCTTCTGGTTCATGTCCACCAACTATGTGATCTCCGGCTGGTGTTATGTAACCTCCGCCTTGCTGGACGCCGTCGATGGACATGCCGCCCGGGCCTTCAATCAGAGTAAGAACAATCATGATTCCCTACCCTAAGTGTCTATCTGTTTGCACTTTGGCCGCCTACGTGAGCCCCCGCCCTGCTCTATCGCTTGTTATCTGCCGATATATACATATATTCAGCTATTGGCGAGCACCGATATGGTCACGGTCCGATGACGTAGTGCCTCGGAAGTTTTTCCATATAGTTTCCGATTTTAAACTTCTAATACATACTCACCTTTCTCTCCCTCTCTAGGCACTCGCTTTGGTGCCATGCTGGATCAGTTGACCGATAGATGCGGCACCACTGGCCTGCTGGTCACCCTGGCCTACTTCTATCCCCGTTACATGTTCTGGTTCCAGCTGTCCATTGCCATCGATGTGGCCTGCCATTGGCTGTTCATGCAGACGTAGGTATCCTCCATATCCTACTTCCTGGATAATTAATGCAACATGTTTCTTCTTCTACCGAAACAGGAGCGTTGTGGTGGGTCGCAGCTCGCACAAGGTCAACGAGAACTTTATAATGCGGCTGTACTATCAGAAGGACATACTCACCTTTATGTGCTGCGTCAATGAGTTGTTCTACGTGTGCCTGTATCTTTTGCATTTCACCTACGGACCGCTGAGTGAGTCACTTGATCGTATTCCCCGGGAAGTAACTTCAATTTTTGATAACTTTTGCAGTATTTGGAGCCTCGCTCTTCAAGATACTCGCCTTCCTCACGGGCCCCTTTGCCGTGCTCAAGGCTCTGATCTCGGTGATGCATGCCTATGTGGCGGGCATCGATCTGGCCGCCGTGGATGTACGCGAGCGGCAGGAGAAGCGACAGAAGGCGGAGCCGGGCAAAAAGCTGGAGTAAAAATCTTTGAACTTCCAGCGAAAGAAAATCTTTTGATTCCAAAAAAAACAGAAAAAGAAACCTTAAGAGAGGACGCAGAGATCAGAGATGGGATGATGTGAGATGAGATGAAGGGCTTTAGGCAACCAAATAGGACGTGTGTGTGTTAGTAGAATTTAAAAACTATTTTTATGCGCTATTGCAAGGATTGTTGACTTTATTTTGTATTTTGTTTTAATTATTTACGGAAAGCAGCAATTATTTTGAATTGAAAAATGCAAGAAATTAAAGCGATTCGTTCCAGGAAACACAGAAATGAATTTGAATAGTCTTAGTATATTTATTTTGCCTTTAGTTTAAATACATTTCTGTGTTACACATTATATATTTTACATATATATACATATATATATATATACAGGCAATTGTCAGACGCAACTCTCTCAATGTAACTAATGTGTATTTCTAATCGTAAGCATAAACAAAAACAAAAACAAATGTAATTGGAGACCTGCAGGAAATAAACGATAAATGGATGTGTTAATGGATTATTTCAAATATTTTATTAATTATTTTAAATTAGGAGCCTTGGCTTCTAAAGTTTTTTTGTGGCCTGGAAATGCACATGTTGTTGGGATCATAATTTCTTCTTTCTTTCTAAAGGTTTTTTTTAAATTAAATTTTTAAATTGATATTTAAAGCACATATTCATTTTTTATATATTTTAATTTAAATTTTTAATTAATATTTAACAAACTTATTTTTAATATTTATTAAATTTTTAAATAAATATTTATTTAGACGTTTAAAAATGTATATTTATAAATCATTATATAAAACTAAACACATATGTATATTTATATATTTTAATTAATTTTTAAATTTATATTTTAATTTTTAAATTTATATGTATATATTTAAATATTTTAATTACATTTTCAAGAGAATTTTTATCACAAATATATTGCAATTAAAATTATATTTTAATATATCGAACTTTTATATATATTTCGATATTTTGTGCCATCCCTAATCACAATTTAATTTAATTTTATTATTTTAAAACAACTTGCTGGGCTTTAACACCATTTTTTTTAATTTTTAGCGCAAGTTTTTAAAGTTATAATTGTATATATTTTTCGAAACCGACTAGACCCTGCAATAATTGTCAAAATTTACAAATGAATGGTGGAAATAAGCTCTCAATTCCGCGGTCCATTCCCTCCAGCCGTTTGAATTGAGCGCCCAAATTCGGTTTGCTTCTTCTTTGAGCTCTTGGAGCCCGCCAGCTGACGCACAGGTTGAGGAGCAGTGCAGCCCTGGGGCCGGATTTTACACAACATAAACATTCTCTCAGGGTCTTTCCCGGACCCGTTTTTGCCCACTGCCAGGACACGGGCAATGCCCTGAGACGGCCATGAAGGTCCTTGCTCGTCTGGGCCGCCTAGCGCGCTACGCGGTGGTCTATGCCGCCATGACCCACTGCACCTTCGAGTACATCGGTGACTTTGTCCTGGTAAGGCTGGCATCTCTGCAATTCAGAGCTTTCCATCTCAACTTAAATGATTTATTTTTGGGTGGCCAGTGCAAGGGACCCTCCATGGAGCCCACCCTGTACTCGGACAACGTCCTGCTCACCGAACGCCTGTCGAAGCACTGGCGCACCTATCGTCCCGGCGACATCATCATTGCCATTTCCCCGATCAACGCCGGCCAGTACATTTGCAAGCGGATTGTGGCCGTGTCCGGTGACCCGGTGCTAACCCAGAAGCCGCATCCCATTGAGAACGAGTTTAGTCCGGAGACCGGCGACAAGGCTGGTGGTGGCAAGACGAAGCCCCTAATGGTGAGGGACTATGTGCCCCGTGGCTACGTTTGGATCGAGGGCGACAACAAGGCCAATAGCTCCGACTCGCGCTACTATGGACCCATACCCATCGGCCTCATCCGCAGCCGCGTGCTCTGCCGCATCTGGCCGCTCTCCGAGCTCACCGGTCTCTAGAATTGGTTTGTTTTACTTTTCTCAAACTTTAACTTGGTTTTCCCCGGCGTTGAGGTCCCTTGGTTGGGGGGAACTGCTGTAGATTATCGTAAACCATGTAGATTCTGTGCGATGTTGGATGTTTTTGGAGGAATAAAGCAGGAGAAGCGTCTCAAGGAACTGCCCATACATATATGTAATACATTTATTTAAACATTTCCTTTGTCTTTTTTCTTAAATAAAAAAAAAAACACTTGCAGAAAACAAGCAGTTAGTCTTTAGTTTTATATACAATTTTTGTTATCAACAGATAAATGTATTTTAGGCATGTTGATGAATTTAATAAATATGCAGAGTGCAAAAGTTGAGAGTATAAAATATATAGAAGGGTCTTTCTGGTTCATTAGTTTAATTATTTTATTTTGTATATTTATGTTTTTCTTAACAAGGAAGTTGAGTAAAAACTATTAAGTAAATTCAGAGAAAAATATTTAACGAAAATATACACAAAAAATATTTTACGTTTTTTAAAAATATTTATAGTTAATTCAGAGTATACAAAAAATATTTAACAATATATTTAAATATATCATTAAATATTTTTCTTTGTATTTGTTTTTAAATATTTAAATATTTTCTTAAATATTTTTTTGTATTCTCTGATAGTTTTTATTTAACTTTCTTGTTTTTAATCATTAATTTAAAGTAAGACTTACGTAATTTACTTAAATTAGGTTTATTTATATTTAATATATATATTTTTTTATTTATGACTTTCTTATTTACAATTTCCTAAAATTAATATTTTGGCAGAGGCATTATCTTAATTAATTAATTAAATAATTTTTAGAATAAAAAAATATGATTCTTTTTTTTCAATTTATTGAACATTATTTAATACTTTAAGCTTAATAAAAAATTTGTTAATAAATTTTGTAAAAATTGTATTTACAAAAATTAATTTTTTTGTAGTTTTTAAAATATATAAACTACTTCAGACTGAAAAATTATGTTTCCTTAATTTTTCCCCATTTTTTCTAACATTATTTTAGACTTTTAACTTCTTAAGAAATTTTTTTTTTAATTTTTTAAGACTTGCTTTTACAAATATTAATTCTTCTTGTAAATGTTGAGGAAAATATCAAACCTAATTCGGTTTTGGATACCTTCGATAAGTCGAAATACCTTAAAGAGTAATAGTTTTTAAGCAAAACTTATTTCTTAAGGAAACCTAATAAGTAATCATTTTAAAATTTTTTTAAAAAGCTCACACATAATTTATTTATTGTCCCTTTTTAAGCAATTCTCAAATTAAATGTCTTTTAAAACTCAGACACAGATTTGAATAATAAACATAAATTTTGATTAATTAGTAATTAGTTAACTTCTTAAATTTTTAAATAATAGACACATTTAGGAGTTTAAATTTAAAATTTTAAATTTTTTTAAATTTAAATTACCAAATTTTCTAGGGTTTATGTATATTAAACACCGACATAAAAACATATTTTAAAAAATTTAATTTAAATTTAAAATTTTATTTACATTTAAAAACGTAATTTAATTCAATTTAAATTTAAAAAATAACTTAATTCAATTTAGATTAAAAAATTTATTTTAAATAAATTTAAATTCAAAAATGTTATTTACTTAAATTAACATTTAAAAATTTAATTCAAATTTATAAATTTAATTTAATTAAATTTAAATTATAAAATTTAATTTAATTGATTTTAAATCTAAAAATGTAAATTAATTAAATTTAAATTTAAAAAATATTAAATTAAATTTAATTCAATTTACTTACGTTTTTTTTTAATGTAACTATTAAAAAAAAACCACAACAAAACATCAGAAAATTTACAACCAAAAACCAAGAGAAAAACTAAACAAAAAAACATTTATAAAAAAAATAGCATTTATTTAACTAAATTATAAACAAATTAGCTGTGCTGTTGACCTAATAGAAATTGCACTAAGGACTTGGCCACTGAAATCAAGCATCTTAAGCCTGGCTGGGATCCCTTTGCTCCTCCTCCACATAATACAGGTTGTACTTCTTCTTGAGCACCTGGTGGACATCGTCGCGACAGGTGATGGTCAGCCCCCGCCGCTGATAGTCCAGATATGTGCGAACAAACTGCCTGTTGGTCTGATGCACCTGCGGATGCTCCAGAAATTCGGCCACCGGCATCCACTGGAGTTTGGCGATTTCACGCTCGCAGCGCTTAAAGTCCAAATTGAGGGGCTTCAAACCCACCACTATATACATATCGGAGCAGCCAAAGCTGCCGCCGTGCGCATGCCGGAGGCTGACCACCGAACGGAACTCGGTGCGAATGCCCGTCTCCTCGGCCACCTCGCGAATTGCCGCATCGATGAGATTCTCCTGCGGCTCTACATAGCCGCCCGGCAGCTTCCAGCTATTGGGTATCATTGCATACCGATCGGACACCACCAGAACCTCGTCCTTCTCGTTGATCACCAAACCGCCGACGCCCATTAGGGTATGGGCATAGGTGGGCAGATTGCTGGACTCGTCCAGCGGCAGCCAGCGGTAGAGGACTACCTCTCCGGTCCGGGCATGATGGAAATCGAAACCATTCTCCGCCAGAACGGGCACCCAGTCGGCTTGCTCCTTGTACACACGAAACCAAATCGCTCGGTTCTTGTTAGCCGTCCAAAAGTCCAGAGATTCTGGGTGTGGGAAGGGGGGGCTAATCATGTAAAGAACTCTTATAAAACTCCTTTTCATACCCACTCTTTAGTTTATCCCTGAAAGAGATGTTTTTGTCCACATTCTCTTCGCGTCCATCCACTGTGACGCCGGCAAAGCGATCCGTGATGCCGCGAAAGACATCCGCTGGAGTTTCCATGACCTTAAAGCTTCAACAGAAGGGATGCAATTGGGTTTTTAACTGGAAATTTCTGAAACTTACCCCCTTGTTAACAGCCGCTGTGGGTGTGACTGTGGCTGTGACTGTAACTGATCTCGGTTCCCAATCCCCCTTAGCTCGGGTCGCAGTGCTGCCGTTGATGATGAGCGGTGTCTAGTGGTCCGATGGAGCGTTCTCCATGAATTGAACGCCGGCAGGGTTAGAACGTTTCTGCGACCCACAAGACCTGCGGCCAACATTAAATAATTGCGCAACTCAAAGGCAACGACGATGACGATGACGACGACGACGACGATGGCAGAGGCCCGCGACCACGTTGGCGTCGCAACTGGAGATCGGAGGAGGTATTTCCAGTGTTCGTGGCGAAGCCAATCCCTGGGCCTGCTGTATGTGTGTGCGTGAAACGAAGCAGAAAAATAGACGGGTTGAAAAAGCCGTACGGCTCCAAACATCAATGCAAATCCGTTGGGCAGGTGGATAAGAAGGAGGAGTATATAGCCCCACTATCTATTTGCTAGCGCAAGATAAGCGATAAAGGCGCTGTTACGTTTCGGGTTTTCTGTTCTTGACAGTTCAAATTTGGCGCTCATGTCAGTATCAGTGTCACCTGCCAGAGATGAGCGACGATTGTTTAAAAATATTATTTTTAGATTTTTAAAATATTGTTTTATTGAAATAGAAATTAATTTTTATTTAATTAATTAAATTTATATATTTTTTAATTTTTTGTTTATAAACTTTAGTAAAATAAACTCATTTTACTAAAAAAATATTATTATTTCCAATAAAAATATACGAAATAATTTAAAGGAAAATATGAAAACCTTTCTTAACCATTATTAATTTAATTTCTAATTTTTATAATTTTATTTTTTATGAACTTTACAAAAAAAAATTAATTTATTTAAAAAAAAAAAGAATATATTACAAATTTGAATCCAATAAAAAATATTTTTTTTAAATATTTAATATTTTTTAAATTTGAATGCAAAAGCTAGCCTCGTGACACGATATCGCTGCCGCCGTTTGCTCATCTCTAGCTAGCAACCTTGAATGACAGCCCAAGGTGCGCGTGTATGTGTGTGTGGGCGGCGGGTGCCAGTGTGTGCGTTTGAATTGGTTTCCGCAAGGGCTCTCTCTCTCGTTGTTGTTTGTGTAGGAACGAGAGAATTGTGTTTATCAAGCTGCGTTGCGTTCGAGTGCTGCTGTTATCAACGCGCCAGACAATTTATGCGCGCGAGTTTAGCTTTTTACATAACAAAACAACAATCTTGTCACTTGCAGCAGCAAAGCTTCACCAATTCCACTCACAAATAGATCACCAATAAGCGAAGCTGTATGAATTGCACTGTATTACCTGGCTAGCTAGACAATTGTTTAATTGTTTAACTGGACTTTGGCACAAAAACAAACACACAGCAAAAACAGCGCGCGATTTCAATTCCTTACACACCGCTTTCCAAGTTCTAGGGATGGACACTGCCGCTCATCAGCTGTTTGGCACAGGTGCCGATAACTTGGCTATTTTTGCAAACAGCTAAAAGCTGTGTTTAGCTTTGAATTTATTGTTTTTGCTACATTTAAACATTCTCTCTAGTAACTAAGAAATTATCAGATCACCTATAACTTGCAGCCAATTAGTTCACAGCTGTTTTTTTTTTTTTTGTTTGCAATTTCATTTACTTTGTATTTAAGGCCAGTGTTGGAAAACGAACGAAAACGAAAAGCAGTGTTAAACAGACTGATCGAGTGAAGTGCTGGCCAATAAGAAACGAAATGGCAATAATTTTAATACATATTCATAGTTGTATTGCTATTTGTGTTAATAAAACTCTCCTAAATCGTTGTTAGAGTGTGGACAACGAGGCGAAGGACGACGAAGGCAAGGCAGGAATCCGGAATCGGGAATCGGTGTGGAATCTTCGTGTTGCGTCTGTGTGCCTCGAATAAGCCGGTCTGCCCCTTCGCTCCTTGGTCGCCTGAGTGTTTTGCGGTTTTGAAACTTTTCATATGTATAAATTCATTGAAAATTTTTTGAAAAGAATACAAAAAATTAGCCAAAAGACAGCAGTGCGAGCCAGTGGCAAACGTGAATTTTATGGCATGTGGCTGCACACACACACACAATACAGTGTTGCAAAACACACGCTAGTCTGCCGGCAGGTGTACACTAAACTTGAATTTTTCAATGAAAACTGGCAAGAAAAACGTGTGTGTGTAAACCAGGCAACCTATTTTGACCCCCGCGGTTCCGGTGTGCTCTCGCGCTTTGTTTCCTTGCGTTGATACATCGGCCAGTGACCCTGGTGCTCCACGTCCACCGCGTCCGCTTCCGCGTCCTCCAGCAACCAAGCATGCATCGTAGCGTTCAAGGCCGAGGATCGCCTGCGCGGACTCGGATGCAGCATGGGCTGCAGGAACGACTCAAACTCCCGGGCCTCGCTGGTGCACCAACCGTACTTGGTCACTAGAACGGCGCTCAAAGAACGCTGCTGGAGATTCCTGATGTGACGCAGCGTTCCATTCGAACGGAGGAAATTGTGCGACATGCAGCCCGTGGCGATCAGCTCCTTGGGTATGGGACCGCAGGTCTCAATGATGCTGGCTATGTGCGTTTCATCCAAGGTGGCCTTTCCGCGACGCTCCTGGGGATTGAACAGATAATCGCCGGTGGCCAGCTCCCAAAAGAGACAGGCGGCACTCCAGATGTCTGCCTTTTCGTTGTAGCCGGCACCCAGAATGACCTCTGGAGCGCGGTATTCCCTCGTCTGAATGTCGTCGGTGAAATGATGATTGAACCAGCAGGCATTGCCCATATCAGCGATCTTCACCTTCAGCGGGCAGTACTCCAAAGCAGGATCCTTGCGGGAAATGATCTCCAAGTTTGGCAGGTGGCTGCGACGCTCGTTCTGAAGCAAAGATGGGGTAAGTGCCAATTTAATTATAATTAATAATAATAAATGGTAAATAATTACCCCCATTGGCGATCCATGCTCGAATACCATCTTCATAATCTTGACTATACCGCTGCTACTGCTGCTGTTCCCCTGCGACCTAATCTTTCCCGCCCGCATGGTCACCACCTTGCCCAGCTTATGGCGCTCTCGCTCCACCCTGTCCAACTCTCTCGTCCTCTTTTGGACATTCCAAATGAACTCTAACGGGCTATTGAATAGCATACGCACAGCTTCCGAGTAGGGTCCCTTTGGCAATGTCCTTCCGATATAGTGAGTTGGCTCTAGCCTTAATTGTGAGCTTCGCTTTCCAGTTTTCTTACCGCCTGAACGCTCCATCTGCTCCAATTGCTCCACTTGCTCAAAGTCCTGTTCGTTCAGGATCACCACGCCGTCAAGGGGTGGCATAAAGGAGAGCCTGCCGGTGACAGCCCGAGCAGCCAGAGTTGGCGTTAGATAATTGCTTTGGGCCAGGATCATGAGATCGTCTATGGCCTGCTGGCGCAACCACTGACGGTGCTCCAGAAAGAAGCTAATGCTGCGCTTGGCACGAGCCCGTAACTTTCGCTTTGCGGTCTTGGTCAGCTTGGTGGCAGAAGTGAAAGTCTTTGTTGTGTTTTTAGGCAAACAATTGGCATTTCTCTTAGTCGAGCGGGAACCCTTGCCAGTGCTCTTGTTCTCGGCGATGCCACAGGCACAGTCATCCGAAACCAGGAAGCTGACGGAACGATGAGCAGCGGCCATGCCACCAGTGGCATTTCTGGGAAATAATTTGACATGCGATATAAGATATACCTTCTCCGCTCACTTACCTCGGCCTGATGAGATGGGCATTGTCCTTGAAGAAGGCAGTCACCACGCGTGTGGCCTGGGCGCGTATAGCCAGATTATTGCCCACCACCAGGACATTCTCGGGCTTCAAATCGGTATGAATGATGTTGCAATGTTTGTGGATATAGTAGAGACCCTCCAGCACCTGAAGAGCTATCTGCTTGACATTACGGATCGGTAGACCTTGGTAGCGAGACCGCTGGATCAGCTTGAGCAGGGTATCGCCCAGGATCTCAAAGACCAAACACAGGTGCGTGCCGTGGGTGCCGCTCACTTGGAAGTGATCTGTGAACTGGACAATGCGATCGCGCAATGGATGCCAGTGGCTGACGGTGATGAAATTGAGAAGCTCGATCTCATCGCGGGCCGTCTCGGTGAAATGATCAGCGGATTTGACCAATTTGATGGCGCAATAGCGTTCCATTTTAATATCAAAGCACATCCAGACGACGGAGAAGTGTCCCCAGCCGAGCTTGTGGATGGCATAGTAACGATCTTTGAAGACATCGCCCACCGATACCGGATGATAGCCACCAAATTTGTACTGTCCTGGGCTCTCCTTCTGCATGGAATCCGAGTCATAATCCACACAAAACTGATTAGCCTCATCGTCCTCGACGTCCTCGCCATCTTCGGTTTCCTCCCCATCCTCAACATAACCAGCGTCATTGTTGTCGTCCTCCTCTTCAACCACGTCCTCGACATCGCCGTCGCCATCATCATCATCGTTATCGTTATCATTACCATTATCCTCCTCCTCTTCCTCAGCATAGGTCAAAGTGGAACCCGGCGGCGAGTCTGCCTCGGCTTCCTCGGAATTCTCATGCTGTATCGGTGGTTCTTTTGGATCTGTATCCGATTCTGAACACTCCTCCCCCTCTTCTCCTTCGATATCGTTCTCGGACCGCAGCACCAAGACCCTAGCACTTGACTCTGAATGTTCCTCACGTTCTTCTGCTTCTACTGGCAAGTGGATTTGGGCCGGTTTCACGCTCAAGTTCTCGTTGGAAGACCCCGAGGTGAAGCTAAAGAACTCTTCGTCTGCGTTATTGTCACTGTTGTCCGTCATCCCTAATGGTTGAAGATTGGGGATATATATCTTTCGATATCGAATTTAAAACTAAGAGAGAGAGAGAGAGAGAGTTCCTAGTGAAGGGAACAGGGGTGACCAAAAATCGACTAAATTAAATGTTTGTCGGTGGGTTTGAGTCTGACAATGGGGGGCAAGGACTACTAGATTTTAGATTGCAAATGTATATAATGTATTAAAATGTATTTCATAAAAAGAATTTTATAAAAAGAATTTCATAAAAAGAATTTCATAAAAAGAATTTCATAAAAATAATTTTCCATAAAAAGAATTTATTGGAAAGGAAAAATATTTTAATTAAAGTACATTTTCTTAAAATATAGTTAATATATATATTATACAAAGAATCACCTATGGAATGCTGTTAATAAAAATAGTAATCAGCCGATTTGATCTAGCCATTATATTTAATATTGTTCAATAACAATAAATATGCATTTAAGTAAAGTTTAGTTAAGTATACGGTATACAGCACATTAATAATATATTATATATATAAATAATTAAAATTAAATTTTAAAAAATCTTTTAATATATATTAAAAAATATATATGTATATTCATTTTTTTTAAATTACATATGCTTAAATATAACTTACCGTTAACGATTTTGCCGAAGTTTTGTCGTTTTTATACTGCAAAATATATACATATATTCTATGAGAATTGCTTTTTCTGCAGAATTTTTTTTCTTTTGTACTTGTTCGTTCCCAAGATTGATACTAAATGATTTTTGTTTCAAAAAAAACCGAAACGTTCCGCAACACTTGAGGGTAAGCCTGCTGATATGTTGAATTTCTGCCTAAAAATAATCTCAAAACTAAGTTCGAAGCTGAAATAGCACGGAAACCTTTGTTATTAATATTTTATAGCATTATTTTAGGGTGTCTTGGGTATGCTGGAGTATGTTATCCTTTTCATGAACACTTTTCGTTATTCCTTAAAATTTGATAGCATACTTTTGTGATCCCATCGAAAGTCCTTCCTAAGTCCTCCCTAAGATATGCTTAAGTATATTTTTAATTTTTAAAATAAACTCGAAAAACACTTGATTTTTATACCCTTTCAGGGTATTAGAATTTCAGTGAGAAGCTTGCAAAATAGTGAAAGAGTCATTTCCGACCCTATAAATCGTATATATTCTTGATCAGCATCAACAGCCGAATCGATTTAGCCATATCCGGGGCCAAATATTTTTTTAGCAATTTTTTTCAAAATTTGATAAGGGGTTACATCGTTAAAATTATCAACAAATTTACAAAAATTTTATTTTTTTTAATTAAAAAAAAAAAGTATGCAGGCTTATTAAATTTATAAAAACTAACACAGTACAGTTGTCCAAATGGAAATTAATGCCTTTTTGGCCGAGCTATGTTATTTTTAAATTAAGCTTCTTACAACCTTAAAACTATTATTTATATTTATTTCTAAACATTTATTTAAATCCTTAAAAATGACTTCTGTTCTGTTTTTTTTATTATTTGTTATTTTATTATTTATTATTTATTGTTGAACATTTTTATTTATATTTTAAAATATATTTCCTTAAATTTTATTTTAAATTTAATATTAATTCCGACAGTTATGGGAATGTTTCAGTTAAGAAAAAACATTATATTATTTATGTGGGTCAATTTCGACCCCTTTTCCATTTTCTTTCTTTTTCAACAATTAAGCAGCACTTGATAATATTTTTGGCTATGCCCATTTGGCTCTTTATTTTATTTATTTTCATTTTGCTATAATTTTTTTTTTTTCAAATAAAAATTGCTGTGCAATTGAGGGCGAAAATCCTTTGTGCTGCCGCTGTGTGCGTTGATTTGGAAAATGCCATTTGGAGGCAGTAGTTGGGAGTTTACAGCGCTGAGTGAAGGGATTATCAAGGGATTATGTGGACATACATAGTTGCAAATACATATATATATATAGATATATGTAGAGGAGTCAGCATGCCTCACTCAGGTGCTTCAGTTTCTCGGACAACAATAGCTCCCATTGATCCCTCCCGTCCCCGTTCTGTTTGTATTTTGATTGCCAGCTTAACATGCTCGTCGTGTGTGTACTTAATTCATTTCCACCAATTTTTTGAGGGAGAAAAAAGTTTCCAAAATATGTGTAAAAAAATGAAAAAACTTACCCCTACCGGAGGGAAATTTTCTGCTGTCTCTGTTTCTATATATATTTGCTCAGTTGTTTAAACAAATTTTCCGCTTAGGGTTGCAGATCGACCTTCTGTTTGCACACAATGGATTTCGATTACGATTTCCCTGCTGGCTTAAGTGAAAATGCCTCCTCAAATATTTATTAAAAAAAAAACTAATAATAATAATAATATTGGGGGGACAACCGTGTTTTAAATATCCAAAAACCTTGGAAAGCCCCGGAAAAAAGCAAAGAGTTTCCCAGGTTCCCAGGCGGGACAACTTGAACCTCCCCTAGGAAAATCTTGTTTGTAATTAGGGAGTTTTCCTTATCATTTTCATTTTTCTCTTCCCCCGAGGAGGAACCCTCCTCGCCTTGGCATTGTTTCTTCGCCAATTAAGCGTAATTTCAAGTGTCCCGTCCCTCACAAACGGGTTCTTTCTTCTAATGAACTGTTTATGTGTGCCCAGCACACAATGGAAGGAAAATTTAAATAAATTAATGTCAATTTTTCCCCGTTTTTTTTTTTATTAAAGCTGGTGGGTGGTTGGGCTGGAAGCCAGCTGGAAAGCCGGGCAATAATGAGCAATGCCTAGGCTTTTCATTTGATTTATTTCCTCAATGCCGAGCAGGGAAAAGCTGGAAAATGAGGCTTTATTATTTAGCCATTTGCATACATCCCTTTTTCCGGGGCCTTTGTCAACAGAAAATTTGATTTTTTTCAACAGGAAACCTTAAACCCTATAGTTAAGTGGCTTAAAGCTAAAATATTTAATATTTATTATAAATAATAATTCCAGTTTTCTACGTCTTTTTAAGAAGTCAATAATATTTATATTCATATTTTTATTTTATAAATATTTTTAATATATTATAAATATTTTTTATATTTTATAATTTTTTTTTAATATTTTAGAAATGTTTTTAATATTTTATAAATGTTTTTAATATTTTAGAAATGTTTTTAATATATTATAAATATTTTATTAACGTTTTTAATATTTTAAAAATATTTTTAATATTTTATAAATATTTTTTATATTTTATAAATATTTTTAATATTTTATAAATGTTATTTATATTTTAAAAATATTTTTATAAATACTTTCAATATTTTATAAATATTTCAAATATTTTTTTAAATATTTTCAATATTTTATAAATATTTTAAATATTTTTCAAATATTAATTTCATTAATTTTTATTAGCTTACTGTTACTATATTAATAAAATAGATTATATTAAATAAGCAAAGAATTCCCCTTTAAACAACTATTAAATTAGGATTATTTTGACTTTTTTTTTTTTGCCACAAAGGATCTTAAAAAAAAAGTCAGCGCCAAGCTCCGGCAGCTGATCCTTGATCCAGTTCCAATTCAAAATTCAAAATTCCCCCCTCTCAAAGATAATGAGCAACGTAATTGGCGCATTTTTGCTGGATTTTTTTTTTTGACAATGACTTGAGTTTGAGATGCTGTGACAAAAGGACCTCGTCTCCTTGCGACGGGCAGCTGCAATGCCAATTGGCACACAATAAAGCGGCGGCACATGCCACACTGCCAAAAAAAAAAAAAAAAAATAGAAAATAAAGAACAGGAGGAGGAAGACAGAAAAAAATAGGACTCCGAAGGACATAACTGCACATTGACAAAAAGGAAGCGTTGCCAAGACAATGGAGAAGTGAAAAATCTCCAGCAACACCCCAAGGACAGCTGTCGGCGTGTCTCCATCTGTTTTTCCCTGCAAACCCTCCACTCGATTCCCTCAAGAAACGATCTTTTGCATACTTAACAATATAACCAACAAAATATGAGTTGATCTTGACACAAACACTTGATTATATTGAATGGGAATAGAATGTCTGATGAGTGAAATGATGGAATTGATAATTGTATTTATTTACTGAAGAACTCAATTAGCTTATTTACATTTTTTTTTGAGGAAAAAGATGATTGAAATGATGGAATTATTAAATATATTTATTTATTTAAGGAGTACAAATTTAATTCTTTAAATTCTATTAGAGGAAAAGATACTTTTGAAGATACTATTGAAGATACTATTGAAGATACTATTGAAGATACTATTGAAGATACTATTTTAGATATGACTTTTCTGACTCATTTCCTTAAATATTAATTGTAAAAACTAATAAAAAAAACCTAATCCTCCCCTTAAAACCAATTATATCTAAAATTTTGTTTCTATTTTTTCTATCTTTATCCTCTCCCCTTTCTATTTTCCATTTTCCTAATTGTAAACATTTAAAATTTTGGAAAATAACGGGGTTTCCCTCTGTAAGCTGAAAGTAACCTTTTTTCATTACGCGCGACTAGGCGCGGTCAATCTGTAATTGGATTAGGCTACTCCTCGTGCAACCCTTTTCCTGGTCCCCATCCCAGCATCCCAGCCAACAACTGTTGACCCTTCTGTGACCCTCAACGACCTTTTTGTGGAAACCAGTGGCCAATCAAGGAATGGCCCTTTGGCTGCTTTGCCTGCCTGCTGATGCTGCAAAGAAAAACACGGGGAAATTAATTAAGAAAACAGAAAACTCTTTCGCTCTGTGGGACCGTATCCCATAACGGATTTTTATTACATGTAAGTTATTTATGCACACATCAGTGAGCACATCCTCTGGCAGGACATACTCTGCGTGACAGCAAACTTGCAGGAAAATTTGAGAAAGCAAGAAATGCTTTAACCTTTTCCCTAGATATGGTATATATATATAAATTCTTGAAAAGATCAAGGATTATTTCAAAACGATTTTAATTTGCTGGCATAAAATGACATCAAAAGGACATCATTTCCTCACCTTCAGTCTTCGTGGGAGTCTTGACATTTGGAGTCACTCCCTGCTTTAGTTTGGTCCATTTATCACACCATTCAGCGGCAGGATGTGCCTATGCTGCAGGATATGACATGGCATAAACTGTTACACATCCTGACACATTGCCACAAAAAAAAACCTTATCGAATCTAAAGGATAGAATAGAACAGGATGCGCAGCTGTCCGGCGGGAAGTCACACGGACAGGATGACACTGCGGTGTAACACCGCAAAGTTCGCGCCCATGTCGCGGCCGCTGTAATCCTTTAACTGTCACAAAAACCAAAACAAACACCGGCACCGAGTGACCGAGCCGCCACGACCGAGAGTGACCTCTTCATTTACACAGCGGCGGCGACAATCTTGGCGGGTCGTCACCCCGGTTCAGCGGCTTGGAAAATTATGCAACAGCGACATTGGATTAAGCGCAGTGAAAGAAACTACTCGTGGACTCCTTCGACTTCTGCACAACTGACCCTGGACTCTTGTTTTTATTGCTTTGTGTCGGACAATTGATTTTGTGACATAAATTTCGGTGTAAACAGCTTCGGGGATTCGGTTTCCAACCCCGCGACGCGTTTAGAGATGGAGTTGTCAATTGCCGAGAGCGGCACATAAATCAGGTCAGTCTCAGTGATATATGGTCCATAGATAATGGTAGGCTATATCTATAGCAATTACATCCATCAGCCTTGTGTTTACAGAAGAAGCAGAAGAGCGTTTTGCAAACAAAAGCTTAAGGCATTAGGATTTCCATTTTTATTTTTGATTTGAAATCTAAAGTCTCTTGTTTGGATTTAAAGTGTAA